TACATCGAGTGGTCTCGCCACTAACAGATGGATGACCAAGCGCACCATCCATAATATAAAACCACAGAAATGATCAGTTAATAGATCCATGTAAGGCGACGCGGTGGCGCAGTGGGTAGCACTTTCGCCTCACAGCAAGAAGGTCGCTGGTTCAAGCCTTAGTTAGGTCAGGTGGCAATTCTGTGTGGAGTTTGCATGTTCTCCCCACGTTGACGTGGGTTTTCTTCGGGTGCTCCAGTTTCCCCCACAGTCCAAAGACATGTGGTACAAGTGAATTGGTCATTTACCGTATTGAGTGTGTGTGTGAATGAGTGTGTATGGATGTTTCCCAGAGATGGGTTGCGGCTGGAAGGGCATCCGCTGCGTAAAAGCTTGCTGGATAAGTTGGCGGTTCATTCCGCTGTAGCGACCCCGGATTAACAAAGGGACTAAGCCGACAAGAAAATGAATGAATGAAATGAATTAATTTATTTATTATTTTAAAAAAAAATTTGACGCATGTACTCATGCATGATGGGAAAACAAGTGCAAGGACAGCGGCACACCATCTTGCAAAGTCCACTCCACCCCAAAGCCCCAGCTGGCTCAGTTTGGCCCTAGGTAGTCAGCGGACTGAAAAAGGCTGGCCACTGACCCCGAGAAAGCCCTGCTTTGGCCCAATCAGGCCCTGGAAGTGACTATGGAAAGCCAACCGGCTGGCTCACACTGGTTCGCTCATATTTAGAAATATCAGCATGCATCTGTACAACACTATGGAGGGCCATTAGGGTCAAATCGAAATGTGTGAAATGTGACTGTAATGTATAGTTTGACATGTCATCCAATAAACAGCTGTGTTTGAAACTATATTTGCAAATGTGACGTTATCAAATAGTGAGATATATACAAGCACAAACTAAATATAATAATGGATCAATATATCATAATATATACAGTATATATATCGATTAATCAAAGACGATATTCATCCACATTTGTCAAAGAAGCCAGTTCCAATAAACATCCAGCATGTGTATTAACATAACGCAGAAATTACTACGCAGAGCCGCAGTTTACAGATAAGCTACGCAACACCGTTTTAAAATAGAATTCAATTTAATCTGGTGGATAATGACGCTGACACAATCATTGTGCGCTAATGACAGCTGTTTGCATAGCATCTCAATGAACTAAGGCTCTGTGTAGTAAATGCAGCACATAAAATACACCTCATATAATAACATCGTTTTACTCCAAACTCTAAGCTTTGAAATAAATCAATGTGAGATGATTTCACAGACCTGTTTGTTAGTCATGCTAAACCAATAAAACAATAAAATCTTCTGTTCATTCAGCAACAGCTGTGGAGATTTCCTGAGTATCTTCATTGGTGTTTAGAGTTTACACAAGAGCGCCCTCTAGCTTTTGGAGTCTCCTGTAAAAAGATGCACGAGTCTTTGCTTAATCGCGTTTCTGAATTATTTATTGTTTAATTTTTATTGTTATTATTATTATTATTTAAATATTTATATTCAAATGTAATTTTTTTAAAAGCCTTCTAAAAATTACTTCCACAGCACAGCCTCAAACTCTGAAGTAGTAGGTACTTTTCGCATACTGATTTTTGAATTCTATGTATTCGGAAATACTACTCGGCTCACATACTGTTTTTAGTGTACTATATAGTATGGAAGTATGCGATTTTGGACGCTAGCCTCTGTGTGTGTTGACAGTTAAATTTCATCGTTTTTTTTTTTTTTTTTTTTAAGTTTTGGCCTTGATTGCCTTCCATACAATCTGCACTTACTCTGTTATGATGAAATCACGTAGTTGATTCATTAGTGTGCCTTAACACCGAAGTATACTTTACGCTCAAGACCCAGACTAATCAACCTAACAGTTTTTGACCTCCCTAAGGTAATTTCAGGAGGCCAGCAGCTCTCTGTTTATGTGTGTATTTTTTCTAGAGCATGACTTTAAAGGCTGTCTGTAATGTTGCTGGAATTTGCAGTCACTTAAATTACACTAAATCCTGGAGGAGGGAGTCTTTTCATTCCTGGCTTTTGAGGAAACAGTTTTTCCCGTAAATGAAGAACACTTTATTATTATTTATTTCATTTTTAAATTATTACTATTGGTCTCAAGAAGACAAACTTTTGATTATATTCTTGTATGCAATTTAAGAGTGAATTTCTGATTATCTAAATTATCTTACAGGTTCATGCTTTACCCAATGCATTTAGGATAGCATTGACTATCAGATGTGTGTAACAAGGTTTGAAGTAGATCAGAGAAAATAACTGAAAGAGAGTGGAGACTGAAAGAAGAATTTTTTGAGGGGGGAAAATCACTTTTATAGTCAACTGACCTGTATAGTGTTTTATGCTGTCCATATGTTTCTTTTTTCTCTCTCGTTCTCCTGTCAGATCTTGTGCATCTGTTTTTAATTGTGCCAGTGTTATGGTGGATCACTGTATTAAAAGTGCTTATTTATTTAAAGTTTAAACATTTTAAATCTTATGACTAATTTAATTCATTTTTAATGTTTTCCTGTATACTGTTTTGGGAGATCTTGAGATCTTTTTTCTCAAATTTTTTTTTTACCTTTTTGCAGTTATTCGTGTCATTTTCTATTTGATTATAAAGTTTAAATGCTGCATTTTAACGAAATTTCAAGCACTTTTTTGTTTAAATAGCTTGTCAGATGGTCATCATAATCACACTTTTTGATGTACCAAAACATTTCCTCAAAGATTTTGGAAAAAAAAAAACATACTTTAAAACACTTATTTATTACATGATTAATCATTTAGAAAAAAAATAGGATTCATTCAAATGTTTTTAATTATAAACTGTATCTTATATTCATTTATTAGGCAAATAGCAATCTGGCCAGCATAATCAACTTTGCTCAGTTAGAATTTGGCCTTTGAATAAAAAAATAAAACAAATAAATGAACAATAATAATGTAGAGCTTTACGAATTTTCTAGATTTTTCTCTTGTAAAAATGTTAAATTGAAAAGTCATGGATAACTATAGCCTGATTAGTAATAAAATCAACTTTAATATGGGCTGCCGCGAATATGGTGCTCCACATCTTTTTTTTGATAATTTTTTTGTTGTATAAAGTTCAAGATTTACAGTATTATTTACTAGTAAAATGTTTTCTCTATTTAACAACCATTCAATTGGTCAGTATTAAAAGATGACAACTTTTGTCAGATTGTATGTTTTCTTGCACATGTGTTGTCTGAAAAATAATTGTTTGCATTGGACAAAACCGATTAGCTGAAGTGGTGTGTTATTTTCACAATTTATGATGGAATAGGAGTCAAAGTAGGACAAATGGGAAAAATTCTGGACCTTTGTCAGTGGGGGGTGGGTCTTTCCCAGATGATGTTTAACAGAGAAAAGAAATTTTCACATTATGTCTGATAATATTTTTCCTTCTGGAGAAAGTCTTATTTATTTTATTTCGGCTAGAATAAAAGCAGTTTAAAATTTTTTAAACGCCATTTTAAGGTCAAAATTATTAGCCCCTTTAAAGGTGCAGTAGGTGATCTGCCAAAATGCGGGAAGGGACTGTGATTCAAAGCCATGCCTCCTGACATCGCGAATGCGTGCAATGCGTAACAACAGCAGACAACCCACTAGTTCATGTCATTCACCAGTTGGTTAGTGTTTGGCCGGCGGCGTGCAGGAATTACATTTATTACAAAGCCATACTTACATGCTATTTCAGAGCAAATATTCAGAGTTGCGGTAAACAATATAGAAGGGCTGTCATTGTTCAACCAATGTGAATATAAAAGCAACTTCAGCTCAAAGCAGGTTAGGCGGAATAGCGCTATTTACTTTAAAAGAGGACAAATTGTTGATGTGTTTTCGCTGGCTCATCTGTGACCAAGACAACAAGTCTTATGTTGTTTCAAAAACCTCTGTATATATAATGTCAAGATACCACAAAGAAAGATGAACAAGCTGTGGACAATGTGGAAAATGCGTTGTTCCGTGATGAGTTCAACTTCACTGTCTTTCCCACATCCGGTAGAGTTACTGTGTGGAACAGCCCCAAAGAAGCGTTCCACCCAGACGGTTGCATGCTCAGAGTAAAACATAAGGGTTGATTAGTGATGGTTTGGGCTGCAATATCATGGCAATACTTAGATGGGCGCATCACTGCCAAGGACTACTGAACCATTCTGGAGGACCATGTTCACCCAATGCTTAAAACATTCTATCCTTAAGGCAGTGCTGTGTATCAGAATGCTAATGCATCAATACACACACCAAGACTGGAGACAGAATGCCTTGATGAACATGAAAGCGAAGTTGATCATCTCCCATGGCCTGCACAGTCACCAAATATAAATATTATTGAACCGCATTGGGAGAGTTTGAAGGACAGAGTCAGGAAAAGTTTTACTCCACCAGCATCGCGTAGTGACCTGGCCACTATTCTGCAATGGTTTTAAATCCCCCTGGCCACTGTGCAGGACCTGTATCTGTTATTCCCAAGACAAATTGATGTTGTAATGGCCACAAGGAGAACCTACACCACACTAATGAATTACTGTGGTCTAAAACCAGGTGTTTCACTTTCACTGTCTAAACCAAGGGTGGGCAAACTCGGTCCTGGAGGGCCGGTGTCCTGCACAGTTTAGCTCCAACTCTAATCAAACACACCTGCTTATAGATTTCTAGTGATCTTGAAGACACTGATTAGTTTGTTCAGGTGTGTTTGACTAGTGTTGGAACAAAACTATGCTGGGACACAGGCCCTCGAGGATCAAGTTTGCCCATCCCTGGTCTAACCCCTGTATATCAATACATATTTTTCTTCTTTTTACAAAAAGACCATGCAAATAGTTGTGTGAATTGTGTAGAATAATAAAAACTCTGCATTTTATGTGTTTTAACCATGGATTTAGACTCACAATAGCATTCAGCCTGAGTGTGAGAGTTGGATGGTATTGCCATTTGCATTGAGTTCACCTTCATTTTCAATCTCTGTTGTAGGAGGCGGAGGGAAGCGTAATGGACGGAGCAAGAAATGGAAGGAGATGCTGAAATTGCCTCATATCAGTCAGTGTGAGGAACTGAGACGCACAATTGGTGAGAAGCATGAATGAAAGAGACCGCCGGAATGTGTGTTTTATTTATTGCTCTTGACTAATGAGATTAATCACAAAACCAAACATTCATTACGGAAGGTTTTAGGGGTCAAAATATTGGTTGTTTCGTCAAACATAAACCTGTCATGGGCCTACAGGCATTTTGCATGGACTAGCAAAACATGGTCTGTAAACAGAATTTAGACACGGGTCAGAGGGCATGATTAATTGCATTACTTTTTCAATGCATTTCATGTTTTGCGCTAAACAGCTCCGGTTGCAAGATATTTATAAATACTGTTTTGTTAGAATTTGTATACAGACAAACTGTTCTAGTCGTGCAAGCACCAGGTGCAGTCTGGATGCCCTTTGGTCACTCAAGGTTTTTTTTTTTTTCAGTGGCTTAAATGAAAGTTTGCAAGTTAAATCTTTTGTCATTACTGCTATTTGATGTCATTCAAGCATCTTCTGTCTGGCTGACACGCAGAACTAAATTTTAATATTGTGGGAAAGGCATGTTTGGTGACTTATGCCGAGTTCAGACTGCATGATTTTCAAAGTAGTCGTGTCACAGATGTTTTCACACTGCATGGCTATCTGGGCTAGCGTTTCGTTGCTGCTTTGTTTACACTGCAAGATGGATAGGCAACAGGGACTTTCACATTGCATGACTTTACTATAGGAAGAATCACCGACAAGTTCGTCCAAACTACGTCTCACAGCCAAAAACACGTATATATCTTTTGTTATTAACTACATAATGAGAAAGAAGCCTTTAATGGGGTAGAAAATGTACATATTTGCTCACCTGGGTTTAAAGGGAATTAGCCATTTCTCCTCAACGTTGATAATAAAGTAATTTATTTCTGTATGAAATGTCAAACAGACACGGTTGCTTCTGAGTTCTGTCAAACCTCCACTAGTTTTTCCTCCATTTCGTGGGTCCAAATAAACCGAAAATGAGCGCTTTTAACTTCTCCCCCAGCCTCCCGCTGGCCTGCAGCAGGTATACACACACACACACACACACACACACTCACAAGTGAAAGCTGCTCTCTCATTGGCTGTAGGCGATCGCCGATGTTATTTTCAGTTAAAAACTCAATTCACACGGCATGATTTGAATCGCCGACAGCTCCAGATATTTAGCACGCCAAATATCTCACAGGCATTGGCGACTCATTGACGATTCTCTCAGATTGCGTCTTTGATAGTTCATACTGTGTGATTGTCACTCACGTGCACGAGCAGCGATTTGCCTGTGATTTCAGGCATTTGTTGGCGATTTCTCAAAACCTGTCGGCGAGCCAAAATCAGGGCTAAAATCGCGCAGTCTGAACTAGGCATTAGATGTTTCAGAAAAGCTGTCTTCTTAATTAAATTTTAATAAATATATTTAAAAAATAATCTAAATTAAAATATAGATAATAATATTCAATGTATTACATGTTAGCGGAGTAATACACAAGAGTAGAAGGCTGTACAAGTTCTGATATTACGGGAATATTGCTCTTCTATCAGCCAATCAGATTTGAGAACCAGACAGAACTCTTGTATGTATATTTATTTTTTAAATGTGTTGTTATAAAGTAAGAAATAATAAAATTACAAAAAAATAATTTTATTCAATATTAAAATGATAACTGATCATTTAAAATATATTGTTTTGCACTGGTTGCACCCATTGCAAATTAAAGGAGCACCTATTCAAATGTTTGTTTTCATTTAGTTCCTTAAAAGGATTGGTTTATTGTGTGAGCCTCTAAACAAAGCATGCTTACTAGTGTACTCCTCATTAAAGGGTTTATATTGTTTAGAATGTAGCTGCCAGTTATAAATTTATGCTGGTTGTGTGGGCAGGTGTGTATGTGTGTTTGTGTCAGGCAGCTGTAGACCTTGGCTCTGTGAGGAAGTCCTCTGTTTCCTCTTGGCCCAGAAGGCATCAGGCCTGTAGTTTTGCAGCACCAGAGCTCAGCTTCAGCTCTCTGATCACCATCGCTGTGATTTACTGTTGGCACTGCATGCTGAGTTCTGCACTTTTTTATGGCGCATATTAAGGAAACGCTTCATCAAAGGGTCAAATCAAATATTTACAGCACTTAATCTCTCCCCTTAGGTCCACAATTATGTTAGAATTTGTCGGAATTTTCCACTGTCTCTGGCACATTCCACAAATGTGCTACAATTTTGTGTCTGGTGATTTATTTCCAAATTAGAGCGTCAGATATAAAGTTTGGCTATAACCCATTGACGACAAAAGTGTCTACATTTACACAAATAATGGCATCTTACTTTAAATGAAAAACTGGATATACCTAGGCATAGCTGAAAAATAAGAGTTCAGTACATGGAGAGGATATACTGTTAGTATCAAACACCATTGTTTCCTAATTCTCATATTATTTCGTAAGTGTAAAATCCAAAAATGGACTGTTATGTTGCACATTGGATCATTAATATGCAAACGTCATGCTGAGTTTGATTGGCCGCAATGTTTTCCAGTGAGATCAGAGCAATGGTAGCTTTTTTTCTGCCGTGTTTTTAGGTTTTTTGAAGCTTATATTTAACTTACTGTAAGTGGGACTCTTATTTTGAAAACAGGAAAAGCAGGGAGACTAAAGCTTGCTGCACTGTGCCACATTTTTACGTTGGCTGCGTCCGAAACCGCTTACTACTCAGTAGGTACTGCATTTGAATGTAGACGTACTACTCGGCTGGTAGAAAAGTACGTTCTATACAGTATGAATGTGAAAAGTATGAAAGGAATTCGGACGTACTACATCCGCCATTTTGTCATGGTCACGCGACCTACCTGCGTCATTTGCGTCGCTTCACTCCCATTCATGAATTCGCTCGTGGGGCATCATGGGATAGCGCAGCGTGCATGGGATGCGCACTCCAGAATCTCGCCGGAAGTAGTAAGTCATCAGGGTACTTCTCGCATACTGATTTTCGAATTCTATGAATTCGGACATACTACTCGGCTCGCATACTGATTTTAGCGTACTATATAGTATGGAAGCATGCGGTTTCGGAAGCAGCCATTGGCTGTTTCTCAATATTCTTTCTCGCGTCCTCATGTTCTCACATAACATCAGCATCAACTGCCAAATTTCAGTTCCAAAACTCAAGACCGGAGAACAGAGGACACATGAAAGTTTGCGGATGTGTTCTTGAAATCAAGGACGCATAGATACAGACTTAAGTGCAAAACTCACTCGAGAAATCCCAGAAGTCATTGTGGCTGAATAAAGGAGGTCAGAAGCACAGCATTCTATACCTGTTTAATATTAACGCTCAGAAATATAACTTATTTATCTCAGGAGTTTCCCTAAATGAGACGGTGAAAGTAAACATTAACATGAAAATCTTAATAAAGGCATCTTTATCTTTACAAGAACTCTTAATATTTGCTGGAAATTTGTATTAAAATCTGTTTCATTTTTATTGTGCAACGTATATTTATAATGTCTTTATGCATAGGGGGAAAACGCTAAATATTTTTTAAATAATTGAAATAATTTTCAATTAAAAACATGTGAAGGTCATGTGACCATCAGGAAGAACCAGGGAGGAACGCAGCATCAAATTTCTCACAGGACTCGTTCTCTGTTTTCGTGATCTTCAGAGGTAACTTAGCAAGACTGGTCTACACAAGAACAAGAGTCCGTTCTCTGCGTTAGTGAAATTGAGAAACAGCCATAGTTTTCTATACATTGCTAAGTGACGTGGACAGATGCTGAATTGCGATGCCATTATATTTTTTTGACAAATAAAGTTTGACTACTTTGCATGTTTATTTCAGAGCACATTAGGCTTTGTGTGTGAGAGAGTGCACTGGGACTGACAAGCTGCTGAGCGTCAGAGCAGAGCTCATTAATATTCATGACCATTTCAAATATGGTCAAAATGGAACTTTTAGTACTCGGGGTCATTTCTATGAAACCGTTTCTGGAGAATTTTCAATTCACATAACCTCGATGCATTTTTTGGCATCTTTAAAATAGGCATTTTATATGAATCTTTTCTTATAATGATAAATGTAATCAAAGGCAGTTATAGTTTTGACACAATTTTGTCTTGTTAAAAATAAAAATAATAATAATTAACTCAAACATAAGTTGTTCCACACCTGCACAGGTTATTTTTCTCCTGCTGAACACAAAGGAAGACACTTTGAAGAATGTGGGTAAACAAAAAGTGGCTATTCTTTACTGACTTGCTGATATAATACATTTTTTGCACACTATGGTGTCAGTGTGAGAAACTAAATAAAAAAATCAAGATGAGAGGGCAAAAAATGATTAAGTTCATTCAAAAAGTGCTAAAAAAATAACTAAACAAATGAACAAAATGAGCTGTGATTGGTTGCTTTACTCGGTGGCCCTTGGCCAATAAAAACTGTGATTGAATCCAGACCTTCTGGCGTCAGTTTGAAGATCTGGACACGCAAGACTAACTCTGTAAGACTGAGCACTTCCCAATGACGCAACTGTCAGTCTGAACTCCCTATGGACTCAAACTACTTGTTTATATATGCATATTTTGCAGTAAACATAAATATAATGTTTCTATGTATATAACATTAAAGTGGTAGCTCAACCAAAAAAAATATTCTGTCATCATTTTTTTACCCTTCACTTGTTCCAAAATGCTTTGACTTGTTGAACATATTTTGAAGAAAGCTGGAAACCTGTAAACATTGACTTCTACATTATTATTATTTCCTACTATGAAAGGCAATGATTACTGGTTTTTAGCTTTTTTTTCAGAATGACTTGTTTTGTGTTCAACAGTAAAACCAAAATCCTCCGATTGACTACATTCACATGGACATCAGTAATCAAATGATTTGCCTTAATCTGAATAGGACAATATTATGATTAAGGTGTTTACATGAGTTCCTTTTTAAAAGTTTCTTTCATGATCCTGTTTGACATGTTACATCACATCATTCGATTAATATCATTGTGTCACCACGCTATCCACATTTCCTCTGGAGTTTCGTGTAATTGTGAGTGTTTCATTTTTAATTTGTTGACTTTAACTGCAGTTTGGCGCTGTCACTTTCATTCAGGAACATTTCATGCATGCCCCCCGTGACAAATGAGATATTGAATGTGTATTAAAATAAAATTTTGGTGTCCATGTAAACATACTCAATGTTATGCTCCACTTTAACTATGAAGCATGTTTTATTTGATTGTGTTGGATTTAATTCAGTGAGGAATTTATTTTATTCAGTGCATTCTTTTGAAGAGGCTGTTAACAGTGTTAACCCAAATACAGTTTTAGAGTTTTAACAAAGTCTCTTTAAGGCAAGTCATTTCACTCGGTGGTCGTCTTTGAAACACCTCTTGGGAAGTATGCTCGGGCATTCTGTCTGAATGGGGAAACATCATAGTCTCCAAAATTGTTTGCCAAGCTTACGATTACATAACATATTTGGAACCACCAATACAATTAAACAACAGCTGTCTATTTAGTTTCATTTCTAAGTGTTCAAATAAAATTGGCATATTTTCAGGTTGCTCAAGCGAATACACTCGAAAGGAAAGCAATCACGACACCAATCTCATTTATGGCCGTTCTACACATTATCATCCTCTGGATTAAAATAGTCCGGTCGCGCTGCTCTTCTGAAGTAATTCACTACTTGGTCTTGATGGCGAGTCTCCTCCAGAAATGACAGCGACTTTTTGTTTACAAGTTTGTGGGCATTTGAGTAGTTGCTGCTGTCATTTGATGTGCGTTACTGCGTTTGACAGGCCGGACTGTACCTCACGTTCATTTTATACAGATTACAAAACCAGAAAACTTTTGTTTTCAAGTGCACTTGGTTAAATTAAAAGCACAGATTTCAAGCTTTATCAAAATCAGGCCTTTATTTGTCACATACACTTATATTGAAATTGAACCCAACCAAGTCTATAGCAATTCATGATTGGCTACTGTACTGTACTTGTAGGCGGGTCTTCAATCGCCATATTGACCGTTACACTTTTCCCCCATTCAAAACTATACTAGTGATATGTCTTGTGTATTCTAGAGTCTTTGGTTTTTAGTTAAAAAGAGCTTAAAACCTTAATATAATCTATAGCTCTAGTCAGAATTATTAGCCCCCCTTTGAATTTTTTTCTTTTTAAAATTTTTCCCAAATGATGTTTAACAGAACATGGAAATTTCGACGGAATGTCTTATATATTTTTTTTCTTGGAGAAAGTCTTATTTGTTTTATTTCAGCTAGAGTAAAAGCAGTTTTAAAAAACATTTTAACGTCAAAATAATTTGCCCCTTAGGCTTTTTTTTTTTTCGATAGTTTACAGAACAAACCATTGTTATAGAATAACTTGTCTAATTGCCCTAACCTGCCTAGTTAACCTAATTAACCCAGTTAAGTGTTTAAATGTCTCTTTATGCTGTAAAAAAGTGTATTGAAAAATATCTAGTCAAATATTATTTACTCTCATCATGGCAGAGATAAAATAAACAGATTAGATTTAGGTCATGACGTCAGGTGTCCAAAATTCAATGCCTAGCCAGCGTCTAAGGCAGGGGTGGGCAAACTCGATCCTGGAGGGCCGGTATCCTGCACAGTTTAGATCTAACTCTAATCAAACACACCTGCTTATAGATTTCTAGTGATCTTAAAGACACTGATTTGAATGTTCAGGTGTGTTTGATTAGTGTTGGAGCTAAACTATGCGGGACACCGGCCCTCCAGGACCGGTTTGCCCACCCCTGGTGTAAGGACAGCATTTTTTATGAATTTGGCTTGGCGTAAAAATGAATGAATGAATAATTGAATTAATCAATCAACAGTGGAACCACTTGAGAAAGAATAAATAGTGATATTTATTATCATTGGCTTTATGGGATTATAGTCCTTTTCCTCACTAAAACTGTTAAGTTTGTTTCTTTATGGTTCTTTGTGGTTTTAGCAAATGCTTGAATTCAAAGCGTGAAAAAAGGACAATTCCTTAAGTCTTAATGCCTGCACTCTTTCTAATTCTGGTTTCAATAAATGGTCTTATTGCACTCTGAGGGAATGTTTGATTTGTGAAAGTTTCAGTCTGTTTTCTTGGCACACTGAAACGTTTCATTCCAAAAGGTCAATTTAATATTTAATAATACGACCGTTTAAAGATTATAGATAAGAAAAAAAAAACATGTGACCGTTAACCTTTTTTTTTTCTCACACTCTTGTTTCTCTGCTTTTTTATCATTTTCAGAGAGGGATTATACAAGCCTTTGTGAAAAGCAGCCAATTGGACGTCAGTTGTTTCGTCAATTCTGTGACACTCAGCCCAAATTACGGCGCTGTATAGAGTTCCTGGATTCTGTGGTAAGAAATCTCGGCACAAACATTCACATATGCACACTTTTCAGATGTTGCCTTTAAAGGTCCCATGAAATTAAAAAAGTTTTTAGATGTTAGTATCAGTATTGTTGATGAGAAGCGTCTTGAAGGGGGTGGAGCATATCTAAGTATGAGGTGGCCGTTGATCCATTTCGGCGAAACTGACAACAATCCTTACATGTTTATATCAGTTTTATATCTCCTAAACACAAATTTTGTCAATGTTTTGGAGCAAACTAGCTTATAGATATCTTAAAAACTTTATTTAAATTTTATGGTACCTTTACTTAGTCAAACTTTATAAATGGAGTGGGAAAATAAGAATAAATTAATGTTACAAAGATATAATTTCACTCTACTACAACAGACATTTTGTTGACCCTAATTTGCATCATATTTTTTGTTATTATCTGTAATTTAAGCATTATTTGTTTGTGTGTGTGTGTTTAGGCAATGTATCAGGTGGCTCCGGATGAGAAGAGGAGAGACGCCGGTTTAAATATTTTAGACACATATTTTAATAACGGGGTAAATATTTATTCATTTCTTTGCACCTGTTCTCCTGTTCATTGAAAGAATTGCTGAATTAGTGGTTGAACTTTAGCCTTTTTTGTCAATTACATCCTATCAACCCCTCTTCCTGTTTTCTCTCCCTCTTTCCCATTGTGCCGTCCTCATGCAGTCAGCCGCTCATCTACCAGAGATGGCTCAGGATGTGGTCGGGGAATGCAGGCAGAAACTGGAACAGAGTCCATGTAAAGAGCTGTTCCAGGAGTGTACCAGGTAATAAAGTTATTTTAAAACAAGTCTGTTCGCTCGGCAGCAATGTTATACTGTGGTTTAAAAAAATCTATTTTGTAGTCAAGCAGCACCAGTGGAACAACTTTGAGGAGAAAACTCCAGGGCGTCCTCTCGAGTTTCATTGAGCATATTTACATGCATACCAATACACTGAAAAATTACAAAAATGAGAATTGAAATAACCTGTTTTACTGGTTTACATGCAAACCAATCAAACCCTGGAGCGAAAGGGAACCACATTTACAAGACTGTTTCTTAGGCCCAATCCCAATTCTATTTTTTAGTACCCTACCCCTACCCCTTCCCCTTCGCCTTAAAAACAAATGTGAAAGGGAAGGGCTTCAAAATGTACCCCTAAGAATTGGGACAGCACTACAGCACCTGCACACGTCATCATATGTCATCGCAATCTCTTGCTTCATATGAAATCAGACAATCGCGACTGCTGTAGTTATTCTAGTTGTGTTATTTTTTGGTATTTGGCATATATTATGTAATTATAACGATCTAATGTGGCAATAAGATCGTAACTATACTGCGCATATACACCATGGCCATATTCATCTATGTAAACTACCCAAAACAACATTAAAGTTATAGCAGACACTGTAAAAAGCTCATTCCCATCCACTAGACTTTTCTTACAGGGTATTCAAGTGTCATTGAGTGACAGAATGTTGTGGGACTGCTGTACAGGAGTCATGATTATGGATAATAGATAGTGACATTTTGCAGTTTTTATTTTTTTGTGTTTTTTATAAAAGTGTGAGGGTAAAACACAAACCCTGTTATGAATATCCGCTTGTTAAGTGGTGACGTGTTTGTGACGTAAGTAATACTGTTTCCGGGTCCAAGCCGCCATTCATTTGAGTGGAGAAATCATTCGTTTATGATCGCGTTTTATTCCTATCACACATTAAAGTTAATTTTATATAAAATCATAGTGTACTAGGGATGTAACGGTATTATAAATACCGTCATACCGCAATATTAAATTTTTTCGATATTACCGAAGTCGCATGACTCGGTAAAACTATAGGTCTTCTGAGAAAATTTGCTCAGGCGAATGAAGCGAACGGGAGGTAGCTGAAACTACATTTCCCATCAGCCCATGCGTGGCCATAATCCTTTGCGGTCTGTTGTCGCTACAGATCCAGTAATGCGGAAATGGAGTGTGCTGCTAGTAGCGGAGATGAAAAAAAGATGGAAATGATCGAACCTAAAGCGGGTGTTGTCGCCGCGCGCGTGCTGAATAGCGGTGCTGTCGCGCGCGTTCTGATCAGCTGTTTTGTGGCGCGCGTTTTGTAAAGCGCCAAAGGGGGGGGGTTGAGCGCGCATACTCAAGAGAGGTGTTGTCACGCGCCTACTGAAGGGCTGGACTGGACTGAGGTTGTGTCGTGTCGCGGGGGCACTTTTGATCGTTTTGGAAGGGCATTTTCTATCCAAGACTAAAAAGGGCATGTGCACTGCACAGGTTGAGCCCTATGTGTGCACGTGCCTGCAAGTTGGGGAATACGACTAATAACAGTCATGGGGACTGCAGAAACACAGCACACTGTTCAGATTGATGCAGACATTGACTTGTACCGCAATGAGACCTCTATCTCACTCATGGTTTGTCTTCTCAAGTGGGGGAAAGACAATGCACAATGTTACCCCACTGCTGTCAACCTGGGCCAAGTCATATCTCTCTTGTCCCAGAAACCTCAGTCCCAAATGAGAGGGTTTTTTTCTGTTGCAGGGGACATTGTAAATACCCAGAGATACCAGCTTTTACCAGATTATAATTATATGATAATTTTCCTTTAAACCCATCTCTATCTAAGTGAGTGAGTGATTAAATGTTGAATGTGATGAGTTTTCAACAATACTAAATTGAAACTTTATTTTTTACATGGTTTAATAATTTTTTGTTATTAAAATTGTAGTTAGTGTTTCAAAGCTTACAGATAGATGGCTAATTTGTATGTCATTGACACTTTTGGCACTTTTTTGGAGTATTTTCAAAAGTTTTTTTTTTTTTCTGTAAATGATTCAATAAATACCGTACCGTGCCATTCATACCGAGGTATTACCGAACCGTGAAATTCTGATACCGTTACATCCCTATAGTGTACACAACAATCTCTGGGCTTGCTGCATCACAAATACCAAAAAAAATTAACAATTTATTAAAAAATTAATCACTTTCTGGCCATCGGATATTAGGCATGGACATATATACTGCGATCGTGATTTTCGAAAGCCTTAAGTCGCTTTGTAAACGTTTTTTATTACCATTTCATGAGTCCCCCCATTCAGTTGAATAGAGCGCTTGGACCCGGAAGCCGCTTCGCGTGACGTCACACTTAACAAGCGGATAGTAAAACTTGTGCGTGTTTATTGTAAAAAATTGTGATAATGAAAAAAATATATACATTTTTGGATCCCCTGACTTCCGGCTGCAGCTATGCTGCCGTTGTAGATGGTGCATTTTGGGAAATTTTCTTACCCAATGGTTTCGAGTGTGGTCCTAAAAAATCTTTGTTTGAAGGGCTATCTACCCTTTCCCCTTAGCCATATGCCTTTAAGCAGAAGAGAACTGGGTAAGGGGAAGCGCTAAGGGGTAGAATTGGGATTGTGCCTTAGTGGCGATGTCCAACAGTATGCTTACTGATGCTGGTTTCTAGAGTAGGGAATAAAATAATTGTAGGTTATATGCACAGAACTGTTGTTCAGCCAATGAAATCTTTCGGGGAATGATTGATGTGACTAATTTCAGTGTTATAAGTGACCTTTTACAGCTTCATTAATGCAGATTTTTATATAGTTTAACAACAAAACATAAGTAAATAGTGCTAGCCTAGCCTGCTTTATTGAGGTGAAGTTGGTTTCATATTCACATTGATTCATTTTTTAAAATGACAACAACTTCCTGTATTGTTTACCGCTACTCTGAATATTCAGTCAGAAATAGCATGTAAGTATGGCTTAGTAATAAGTGTAATTCCTGCAGCCCACCAGCCAACCACTAAGCATACAGTAGTCACTTTAGGACTAAGCGTGTGAGAGAGTAAGACTGATTTGTGAGACTGATGGGAGAATAATGACAAGTTTTGCTTGCTAAGTACACAACTGAAAATGTGCTAGTTTTTCCTTCAGAATTATAGTATAAAAAACTATAAAGTTTTCTAACTGGCGAATGACATGATCTAGTGCAGGGGTCACCAAAATTGCATCAGAAGAGCCGGCGTCCTAAAGATTTTAGCTCCAACCCAAATCAAACACACATGAACAAGCTAATCAAGGTCTTACTAGGTATACTTAAAACATCCAGGCAGGTGTGTTGAAGCAAGTCGGAGCTAAACCCTGCAGGGACATCGGCCCTCCAGGGCAGACATTGGTGACCCCTGATCTAGTGGGTCTCTGCAATCTTTAATTTGCATGTTTGCGTGATTTTAGGAGCCGTGGCTTTGGATGACAGGGGAGGAGTTGTATTTGACAGATATTATGCTAACTGGCTAGCATTTAGGCAGATCACCTACTGCACCTTTAACTATTGACTTATTATCTGACAATTATTAAGAAATTAACTGTTCCTTAATAGTTAAAACGTATGATTTTATTTTGCATTTCTAATCCAACCCAACACCTAAACTTCTACCATACTAACTATTAATTAACACCTAATTAGTCATTTATTAAGCTAGTAGTGTTAGTTAATGGTTTGCTAATACCATGAATTGTGACCTAAACTAAAGTGTTACCAAAATACCTGTTGTTCTTTTTAATATTTAGGATTTTAATTATTAATTTTAGATTATAGCCTAAAAGAGTTTACTGTCACTTTAAAAAAAAATTAATTCATATAATTTAAAAACCAATTGTGGTTTAGTGGCTGTGCATATTTCAGACCATCAGTTTTATTTTAGTTCACACCATGTTTGACATATAGATGTTCTCTACATGTTGAGCTTCAATTGTTTTTGGCTCTGCTCTAAAAAGCACTGCTAGCACGCAGCAGCAGCCACAGCTTACTACTTATTACACAACACTGCTCCAAAGTTAAGACATACTTTGACCATATTGTGTTCATTATCTTAAAAACCGGTTACTGAATAACAACTTAAATTTAGGTGTATCATCTGACCTCAAGAGACACACTGTAGCACACAGCGGTGCTTCCGTCATCAAGATTATTCAGTAATCTATGCTAATACGCGCTAGTTACAGTCATTTATGTTTGGCTTGTCAAGACCCGAAGTGAAATCAACAGTTTATCCTACACGCTCACTTTGCGGTGACACATTGGTGGATCTCAGTTTGTGTTTTTACTGGTATTAGTGTGAAGACTGATGGTTATAGAGTGGACTGTTAGCCGTTAGCTTGCGCTGTTTGGCTGAGAAACGTAAACACGTGACTTTGAATCTAAACAGAGTTCGGTGTGTTTGTGTTTTGCCTCGGTCGGTCTTTTAGTTCTGTTTAGTTTAAGCTTCCTTTCTGTTTGAGAGGGGGTGAGGTGGAGTACTTTAACCCTTCCTGTCAAGTCTCTGTGGGCATGCTGTTTGCTGAAGCATGTGTATGTGTGTCAAATTAGAAGGTGAGATGGCATGAGATGCATCCGGATCATCTCCCTTTCTATTTTTCTGAAAGAAAATCTTGCTTGAGATTACTTACTTTTACCTTTTAATTTGATTGCTGTTTTCAGTTTAGTGAAATGAATTAGTCATTCATTCATTCTTTCATTCATTCATTGACTATTTTCAAATGAGTAGCTTGACTGTGATTTAACTTCTTAAAGGGACAGCTCTCCAAAAATGAAAATTACCTCAGAATTTACCCTCCCTCATGTGGTTTTAACCCTTCATTAGTTTCTCTTCTGCTGAACACAAAAGAAGATATTTTGATAAATGTTGGTTGGCGGAACCTATGTATTGACTTACATTGTAAGAAATAACATTATTATGAAAATTACCACTGAATTTACTCTCCCTCATCTGGTTTTTAACCTTTATGAGTTTCTCTCTACTGCTCAACACAAAATAAGATATTTTGAAAAATGTTGGTTTGCGGTACCCATTGAATTCCATTGTATGAAATAACATTATGAAAATTACCTCATAATTTACCCTCCATCATGTGGTTTTAAACCTTAATGGGTTTCTCTCCTCTGCTGAAATTAAAAGAACATATTTAGAAAAATGTTGGTTGGCGGTACCCATTGACTTGCATTGTAAGAAATAGCATTACTATTTACATTACCTCAGAATTTACCCTCCCTCGTGTGGTTTTAACCTTTTATTAGTTTCTCTTCTGCTGAACACAAAAGAAGATATGTTGATAAATGTTTGTTTGTGGTACCCATTAACTTCCATTGTAGGACATAACATCATTATGAAAATTACTTTAGAAATTACTCATCCTTGTGTGGTTTTAAACCTTTATGAGTTTCTTTCTTTTGCTGAACTCAATAAAAGATATGTTGAATAATAAAATGTTGGTTGATGGTGCCTATTGACTTCTATTGTAGGAAAAAGAAATGACTATGGAAGTCTATGGGATCCAGCATTTTTTTAAATGAATTATTTTTTGTTCAAGAGAAGAAAGAAACTCAAATAGGTTTAGAACAAGTTCAAGGCTGAGTAAATAATAACAGAGATTAACATTTTGGGGTGAACTATCCCTGAATGAATTACTTGCAGCACTCTCATGGCAGTACTGATGTATGGTAAGTGTGATTTCACCAAGTTGGACATGTTCCTGGATTAATATCTCTGTTGATCCTGGAAAAACATTCCAATCAGCCAATCAAAATTAAAGGATATGTTTACCGTTTATGTTAAGTGTAGGCTCACGGTTAAGTGAATGCACCTTTACATGATCGTTTCTACATGGATAGTTGTTCCAGCTATTATTCCTCTCTGATTTTGGGGATAATTTACAGTTATGGTTGGGTTTAGGGGTAGGGAATAGCTATGGATTACATTTTCAAACAAAAATGATGTTTCAGGGTAAACATGGATGTTAATCCATGATCGCTTCGAACTTGGCAAAATCACACCCACCACTGAGGTTCAATGCTTAGATATGATATTTGATGTTTATTTGTACATGTGCTCTAAAGTACCATATCATTCCTCCACACCTTTCTCAAGCATTTCTTCTTTATTTTTCAGGATAGTTCGTGAATATTTAAGTGGAGCGCCATTCTCGGCTTATCAGGAGACTATGTACTTTTCCCGTTTTCTTCAGTGGAAGTGGTTGGAGAGGTGAGTAGCTGATCTACGTCAGTCATTGTGATTGGAAATTAATTTATGAAAAGGAAATGCACATTTTGTTTTTGTCCCTTTGATGGCAAGCTATGCATTATCAAGGCCCAGAAAGGTCCCAGCAGACAAACTACATCATAAGATGTTAATATTAGGTTAGATTTAGGTTGCCAGCGTCTATGGACAAAGTTATTTTGACGTCTAATAATGACGTGAAATGACGTTGATATGTTGTTGATTTTAGGTTGTGTCGGAAAGTGACCAAACTCCAACATTGAGCCAACATCTTAAACCAACGTCATATTGACGTCAAATACTGACATTTATTCATCAGATATGGCAACCAAAATCCAACATCTAATAGATGTCATAGTTATAAAATCTGCACAACGTCAAGCTGTAACATCGTTAGACGTTGATATTTGTTATTTTTAGGTTCCGTTGGAAAGTGACCAAAATGCAACATCTGTCCGATGTTGGACACTGATCAGCCTGATGTTGGGTTCTGACATCAACCTAATTTTCATTTTAAAATACGAAAAATCCCACGAAGTTAGGATACAATGTCAATCTGATGCCATGTTGACGTCCTGTGCCTGCTGGGGTAGTATGGACAATACTGGCCACATTTACACTGCAGGTCTATATACCCAATGTCGATTTTGGGACTGTATCTGATTTTATTTTATATTTTTTGTGAGCTGCATAAATTTTCTTTTAAAAGTAACTCATATCCAATGTCTGCATAAATACTGTACAAAGCAAAACAACCCAGGTAGATGTTCTGACCCTGAAAAAAAATAAACCCAGTTATAAGAATCAGTGGAAGCACTGGACCAAGACAATTCATTATTATACAATGTCTTTATTATTATATAAAACAATTCAATATTATTATACAATTCAGTACTGTACTTGTGTTCTCGCTTTGTCTGAAGAGTGGCCACTGACTGATAGCTGTAGTGATAATAAAAGGGATTTCTTTGCTTGCTTCCTGTATTTAATCTGTACACAGAGTTTAGTTTTTTCCTTGTGCATATCGTCTTTGGCATTGTGTGCTATTTCTCTCACTCTCTCTCTCTCTCTCAACACTGCTGCCAAGCATATTTTTTTTGACAGCCTAATAAAGTTGATTTGTGAGGTTGTTAAAGAAAAGTTCACATTTGGCTATTTTCTGTTAATCTATGCTTTTTTGACCTATATCATGGCCATGTGATGTGATTTCTGCACCATTTGACCGAAATAATTTTATATTTGTTACACTCTCTCTCTCACTCTCTTTATTATATGTTGTATATTACCACATGGTAATACAAAATGTGGTTTGTTTTTAAATGTGAGATTAAAGGTTTAGAACACATGCAGGAATTACTTCTGATGTCAACATCAGCATTAAAGTGCCATGAAACCCCCTCTTTTCAGCAGGGTGTTTTCACACCTCTACTTTGGAAAAAGTCAGAAAATTGGGCGTGTCCAGCTCTGTTTAGGGGGAGTGTCGGAGGAAGAAAAGTGGGATGTTGTGAGAGTGTCTATTTGTGCACGCGCGAGTTTCAGAGTCAAAATACACACACACACATACAGGAGAAAGTGATGGTGTTTAACCTACATGGACATCTGTAGTCGAATTATTTGCCAAATTATTAAATGGTGGACTTTAACTGCAGTTTGGCTCTTTCATTCAGGGAATTCATTCATGCCCCTCGCGACACACAAGATATTTGATTCGAGGAACTGCTCTAAGCGTGTATTTTTCATGCAATGTTTTATACCGCACGGCGAATAAGAGAAAAAAACCCTCCGCATTTCCCAGAAACTTAGATGCACACGACAGGTAGTGTCAGAAATCCGCGCGTGTTATTCCGGTCACAAAATGCGGTAAAAACCCTACACGAGGTTAAAGTTTGGTTGTGGTGCTAATGTGTTTACACTCTGTGCAATAGTTTGTTAGATACGAACAAACTGAATAAACAAAGAGCACTGGTCGCTCACTTACCAAATCTGTAGAGACAGGACAATCACCAGCAACTAGAGCCGCGTCTTTATGAAGAGAATACTACAAACGAATCCAGATCTCAGCGTTTGCAGATGAGAACAGCTCTCAGGTAAACAATAATCCTCCTTAGACACGTAAGTTATTGTTGTCGAGCGTCGCGTACACTGTTAATCCACACGTGACTCCAGCTGCGCTCTCACAGAGAGAAAATGAAAACGAAACTTAACCGCAGCAAACTATAAAAGCAACACTTCACGCTTGTTTTGCCAACACAACGTGGCGTCTCTGTCCTGAAAACACGGTGATAGTAATGAATATTAATGAAGTTGCACAATAGAGCGCGCTGATTTGTTTGAACCAAGCCTTACTCATGCATTAATGCATCACACTGTAAGACGTAATAAGACTCACTCTGGCACAGGCGTCCAGTCTGCACGCTGGAATACACGATATTATGTCATGACCGTGACGCAGCTTCAAAAATTCGTTTCAAACCGGAAGTACGAATTTGCTTGAAATAACGCAAAAACAACCAATTTACACTTTTTAGTGAAATATAGGTGTCCTAATAGTGTTTTTAGCAGTGTGGGACACATATACGACTGTCAACAGCTCAAAAAATGTGTTTTGGTGTTTCGTGACCCTTTAATGTTATTTGCAAACAATATTGACAGGTGAATATCTGATCCGTTTATTAAAATGGCAGTTGCAAATGCGCAAATTCAATTCAGATTTCAGGGTTCCCACTGGTTATTGAATTTCTGGAGTATCGTAGAGTTTTAGAATTTCCAGACATCGAATGTTAGGGAATGTGATAGAAAATGTTAGTCCAGGTCATAGAATATAAGGGTGCTTTCACAACTACACTTTTGTTTCGAAACCTGTTTCGTTTGCCCAGTTATCCGCGCCAAATCAATCGCTCCGAGATCGCTTGAATGAGGTGGTCTCGGCTCGATTGAAACAAGCTCTGGAGCGGATCGATTGCAGTGAGAAAGCAATACAATCCGAGCACGGTTATATCACAGTGTTTTATGGATATGTAATAGGCATACGGCTAAATGAAGAGAGAATTATGAGTAGGACGGGAGGTTTCAGGAGTTTCCCGAATGCCCGCAAACGAGTGATAATCTCCAGGTAATTTTGCGTCTCCTTCCCGGTCCTCAAATACGTCGTGCACGCTTCTCACCCCTCCCCACCGCATCTCTCCTTGCTCTTCAGACACGTCACGCACACCTTGTCAAGCATCATCAAACCACCACCTCCCCTGATATCTGAGAGGGACTCTGCAAAATAAACCCTGATACTCTGACCAATGTGAGGAGAGTTTACTCACATGTGACTTGTTTTAGCTCTTTTGGTCCGTTTAGAAACTTTGCAGTGTGAAAGCGAACCGCTTCAAGAGCAAAGAGCAACAATGTAACAATTTTAATCCCTGTTTCGGAACAACTAAATCGATTCACAGGTGTGAAAGCACCCTAAGAGTCTTTTGTTTGTTGCTTTTAGTTGTCATTTATCAAAATTTAAATATTTGATAACATGTCATGCCATTTTATCCTTTTCCTGGCAGTCACTTAAGACGTGTGTAGTCACCACGATAAAACTGTTAATTACAACAAACATGGAAAGAAAATGTACATTTTCAAGAGCTTTGGTTTCAAAATAATCACTTAAAAGACTGGGCGTTCATTCCTTTTACTTTTGTTTTAAAATGTTAAGGTAAATTACCCATTTTTGCTTTTATAATGGCTTTAAATTCATGAAAACTGATATTCAAGCTCAAACTGTTTCAATATTATGCAAAGCATGGCATTTTTCCATTTATTATAGGCCATGGAAATTCAGCTTTTAGTCCCTGAAACTCTGGGGAAAGTCAGGGAATTGGACATTTGGTTAAGAGTGGGAACACTGGATTTTATTTCCACATTTGAATGAGGACTGAAACCGATCTGAAAATATCAGAATTCATGTGCTATTTTTTCTGCTTATATGATCATGGGTCATAACTGATCTGTAGCTATGCAGTGTAAATGCTTCCATTGAGGTCGTCCAGTGATTCAGCCTGAATTTTATCATGAATGTGCACTAAAGCCCAAAATATAATTTATATATTACACGTAAGCACATGCAAGTAGTCAAACATACAAACTTAGTAAAAGTTTCATTTGGACTCTTATTCCTGTCTGGAAATTGATCTGGAAGTAAAAGAACATTAAAAGAAAATAGTTTTTTGCACATGAAGTGACATCAGCTACTACAGTGATGTTGTTGCTACCTTTCTGGACATTCAAGTCCAGTCTCACTAGTCTTATACGTTTTACAAACAACATGGAGGTGTATAATAAATGACAACATTTTAAATTTTAGTATATCTCTTTAACAAGACCATCATACAAAAACGAAACAAAAGGAAAAAACTATTTTTGAATATCAGCCATACAAGCTGCAGTGTCCATAACTTAAATAAGAAAGCAACAAACATATTCTGGAACAAAACAGAACATTTTGGATGTACTTGACCCGAAAACGGAAACCGAAATTATTATTTATTATTTTATTAAATCATAGTTTAAAACAATGATTTTAAAAAATGTCAGCCAATCTCATGGGCATTGACATTAAATGAGTCTAGAGGTGTCAACTAAAAAGGCATTGCTACGACAGCACAGCAGCCTTTAGATGGTGCATTAAAATGAATGGGTTTCATAGCGCAGCTCTTTCCATGTCTGGTGTGAAAGCTGCTTTTTTTGGCTCACATTTCCTGCTGTTTTTCTCCTTCGATTCATAATTTCGACATCCCTAGTTGAAATGTTTTTATAAAAACAGAAGTTGTGTTATGCATAACCAATAATGGACAACATTTTGAAAACTCATGTGTAAATTGTGTATGTACGAATAAAGTATACTTTGGGATTTACGGTGCATTGTTATTAGTGAATTATGACTCATGCAATGAATTGACTTGAACTCTATTTAATTCGCAGGCAACCAGTAACCAAAAACACATTCAGACATTACAGGGTATTGGGCAAGGGCGGATTTGGTGAGGTGAGTAGTTTAATGTTTTTGCTTATTTAAGAATTTGATATCATGTCCTATTAAGATATTAAACAATAACCCTTGTTAAAAGAGACAGCAGTGGTTGTTAAGTAAAATGCAGTTATTTAATTCTACATTTTCTTACAAATTTTTCACACATAGTCAATAAAACAGTGATTACAAAATACATAAAAACAAAAACTGTTTTTTTTAACAAGTCTGTTCTTTTGTAATGACTGTTTGCTGTTAACTGTTTGCTTACAGTTAAATATAAAAGTTGTAAACACTAATATAAAAAATAACATTAAAATAATCACCCTCTTTGAATGTTGTCATTTGATTGAATGGGCGTTATCAGTGGTTATCAGCTGATAGATATGGGCCAGTAGGTGCCTCCTGCGCCTACTAGTAGGCTCAGAAGGCTGTTATCATCCATCCACATGATTAAGTAGGCATACTTATAGAGAAAACTTCAGATCCAAATCTGTTTTTTACATTACTGTGACAGTTTGGTTTAGGGTTGGGGTGGGGGTAGACGTTAATAAAACACAATTAATGGGAAATTTAATAAATAATATAAATAATTCTTGTTAACTTTTGGCTGCAGCCGTATGTGATCAATAGCTGATTAACCATGAGTATGGATGTTACCAGCTTTCTGAGCCTTCCACAAGCATGGAAGGCCCCTACTGGCCCATATCTATCAGCTAATAACCACTAATAACACCTATTCAATCAAGTGATAAAATTGAAATCGGCTGGAAAAGTAGTGTGTGGCCCTATAAGTACACTGAATTTTATAAATAAATGAATGTTTATTTCTTTCCACCAGGTTTGTGCCTGCCAGGTTCGTGCCACTGGTAAGATGTACGCCTGTAAAAAGCTGGAGAAGAAACGTGTGAAGAAAAGAAAAGGTGAAGCAATGGCATTAAATGAAAAACGCATTTTAGAAAAAGTTAACAGTAGTTTTGTAGTAAGTACTACTTTCTTTTTATTCCTCTTTTTTTACTTGACCTGATGTGATGGTTGCATGATGGTCTTGTCTGTATTATTTGTGTAATGATCTATCTATCTATCTATCTATCTATCTATCTATCTATCTATCTATCTATCTATCTATCTATCTATCTATCTATCTATCTATCTATCTATCTATCTATCTATCTATCTATCTATCTATCTATCTATCTATCTATCCGTCTGTCTGTCTGTCTGTCTGTCTATTGGTCTGTCTGTCTGTCTATCTATCTATCTGTCTATCTATCTATCTGTCTATCTATCTATCTATCTATCTATCTATCTATCTATCTATCTATCTATCTATCTATCTATCTATCTATCTATCTATCTATCTATCTATCTATCTATCTATCTATCTATCTATCTATCTATCTATCTATCTCTATGTCTGTCTGATCAATTATCTATCTGCCTCTGTCTGTCTGTCTGTCTGTCTGTCTGTCTGTCTATCAATCTATCTAACTGTCTATCTATGTGATTTAATTTCTGTGAGGTTTTCATAAGGTGTGAAGGTTTGTTATATATTCTAGTTTAATGTGAGGCAAATCTCTATTTCAAATGCATTTGTCATGAGCAGTTTGGATAAATCTTGCTCAGAGCAGTAGTTCAAAATCAAATGGATTGTTTACTTTCTGACTAGCTAAACCACAAAGCGATGCTGCTGGTTTATGACAGCCGTTCAGCTGCGGCAAGCCATAAAAATTCATTTAATATTTGCTGTGTTAACAGAGGAATTTAGGTTATTTTCATGGTATAAAGAGATTCAAACAAAGCATATTTCACAGGGCAGTCCTGTAACAATCTTGAAGTAGTCACCCACTTAAGGCTGGAAACGCATTCCTGAAACGTTCAAACGATTTTGTCATTATTTTCAACTGTACTGTTTTTTTTTTTATGGGAATCTATGTTCCAAGTTTGTATAAGTGTTGCTTTGTGATGTTTCGAACAAAAATAGAGAATAATGGTTTGTGTGTTTTTGTCTAATCTTTACACAAGGATATTACATGATTTCAATGCACAGGTTATAAGAACCACGTTTATAAAGCTCTATTTGATCATCATTGTTGCCTGAAAAATTCACTTTCACTGAATGGAGGAAAGAGGCTTTACAGAGTTTCTCTTTTTATTTTTTCGTCCCATAGAGAACAATTACAACTGAAATAGCTTGACACGTTTTTGAATAATATGTATTTGGTATTTGGTAACAATGTAAATATCAAAATTCCGTGCTGAACATTCACAGACAATACTGTAAAAAAGACGTCCTTCACATTGTCTTAACACAAATTCATCAAATCAACTTAATTGTTTGTACAAATTAAACATTAGAATTGTGTTGGTTCAGCTTATTATAAATAAGTATTTTTTAAACAAGCAGAATTTTATTTATTTATTTTTTGAGTCAAATGCTTGATCAAAAATAACACAATTGTCAATACTTTGCTCAATTATTTTATATTAATGTAATTGCTCAACACTTTGTGGATGCACCTTTGGCAGCAATTACAGCCTTAAGTCTTTTTAAATATGATGCCACAAGCTTGGCAAACCTGTCTTTGGGAATTTTTGCCCATTCCTCTTTGCAGTACCTCTCAAGCTCTATCAGGTTGGTTGGATGAGGAGTGACTGTGTACAGCCATTTTCAGATCTCTCCAGGAATGTTAGATAGGATTTAGGTCTGGGCTCTGGCTGGGCCACTCAAGAACATTCACCAAGTTGTTGTGAAGCCACTCCATTGATATTTTGGTGGTGTGCTCTGGTTCATTGTCCTGTTGGAAGAGAATCCGTCTCCCTAGTCTGAGGTCAAGAGCTGTCTGAAGCAGGTTTTCATTCAGGATGTCTCTGTACATTGCTGCATTCTTCTTTCCCTCTATCCTGACTAGTCTTCCAGTTCCTGCTGCTGAAAAACATCCCCACAGCATGATGCTGCCACCACCATGCTTCACTGTAGGGATTGTTTTAGCCTGATGATGAGCGGTGCCTGATTTTGTCCAAACGTAACGCCTGGCATTCACTCCAAAGAGTTCAATTTTAGTCTCATCAGACCAGAGAATTTTGTTTCTTATGGTTTGAGAGTCCTTCAGATGCCTTTTGGCAAATTGCAGGCGGGGAGCGGCTTCTGACTGGCCACACTATCATACAGGCCTGATTGCTGCACAGATGGTTGTCCTTCCGTAGGGTTCTGCTCTCTCCACAGAAGAACGCTGGAGCTCAGACAGAATGACCATCAGGTTATTGATCACCTCCCTGACTAAAGCTCTTCTCCCCCAATCACCCAGCTTAGATGGCCGGCCAGCTTTAGAAAGAGTCCTGGTGGTTCCAAACATCTTCCACTTACGGATGATGGAGGCCACTGTGGTCATTGGAACTTTCGGAGCAGCAGAAATCTTTCTGTAACCTTCCCCAGCCTTGTGCTTCGAGACAATCTTGTCTCGGGGGTCTACAGACAATTCCTTTGTCTTCATGCTTGGTTTGTGCTTTGACATGCACTGTTAACCCTGAGACCTTATATAGACAGGTATGCCTTGTCAAATCATGTCCAATCAACTGAATTTACCACAGGTGAACTCCAATTAAGCTGCTGAAACATTTGTTTCTTATTTTTCTGATTTGTTTTCAATTTAGAGCTTCACTGCAAAGGCTGTGAATACTGATGTAGATGTGATTTTTCAGGTTTTTTATTTTTATTAAACTTTTTTCACATTGTCTTTATGGGGTATTGTATGTAGAATTTTGAGGACATGGAATGTGGCTCCATTGTAAATAACCTAGGATCTGAAAAGCATTGTGTTTTAAAGGAGAGCAGGCAGCAGAACATGTGCACAGACGTTGCACACAGTCCCTGCAGTGTAATGTCAGCCTGTGATTCATTCCACTACAGCTGTAGAGCACCTGAGCCTCTGGCCACCCACACACACTAACACTAACACACACTGCCACACGCACACGCACACAGGTAAGAGGTGCTGAGCATTGCAAATATGCGCAAGTGTCTTAAATATATGATGTAAATCCAAATCTAAAGCAAAGACAAATGAGTATTTATGCGTATGCAAAAGCATGCGTGTGTGTGTCTTTGTGTGCATTCATGCCACAGGCAGGAACGATTGCTCTTCATGAACTACTTCACAAATGAGAACATCCCTGTTGCCTGGCAACACTGACCAAACAGCAGCGTTAGAGAGTGAAGTCAAGTGCTCTAAACCCTAAACCCACACACACACTCTTTCTCTCTCACACACATACACACACACAAACATACTCTGCAGCCCCAGAGTGCATTCACTATGTATAAACAGACTCATGTTTAAAAGTTGAGGACGACAAGTAAACTCTAACAGTATAAAGTGACATAATAGCATGACTAATATGAGCTGTGTGTGATGGGAAACAGCTTTTATGCTCTTCGCTGTTCTCTGCTTGTGTCTTATTGCACTGTTAACATGTACTATGTGTATATATACTTAAAAAAGAAACAAACACACACACACATGTAAAAAAAATGCAAAGCACTGCAAGTTATATAAACACACTCATGTAAATAAAAAAAGCTGAACTAGAACTGAACTTGTATTTTCATGTACTAGTGTGTTTAAATAATATTTATTCAACACACAACTGTAATCAACATATGTGCGTGATGAGAAAACAAACCTTTATTTAAAATAGAAGTCTTCTGTAAAGCTTGATATATTATATTTATGATATATATTATTGTCATTTTTATATATAATATATTATTAATATATTATTTTTTTACTCTCTTTATTATTTTAATATAATATTCAAACACATCTGCAACAAACATTTACACAACAATTACAATAAAACATACGATATATATACAATACAAAAGAAAGTAAAATAATAATAGCTACCCAGCAGGCACACAGCATAATAAGACGTTAATATTAGGTTAGATTTAGGTCATGACATCAGGTGACCAAAATTCAATGTCTAGCCAGTGTCTAAGGACGACGTTATATTAATGTCCAAAAAGGAACTCAAATTACGTTAATATTTGGTTGATTTTAGGTTGTGTTGGAAAGTGACCAAAACCAAACAAGGTGTAACATGATTAGATGTTGATTTTAGGTTGGACGTTGGACATTTTCTGCCTGACATTGGATTTTGATGTCAGCCTGATTTTCATTTCCAAATCAAATCCAACGTCCCCTTGATTTTGGGGTACATTGTGGTACAACATCAATATGACATCATGTTGGCGTCCTGTGCCTGCAGGGTAAAAACAATAATTAAATAATATTAAAATAAAATCATATGAACCTTCAGTTTTAATCTAAATTAGTGTAATCCAATATATTTTTTCATTCATTTTCTTTCGGCCTAGTCTCTTTATTCATCTGGGGTCGCCACAGCAAAATGAACCGCCAACTTATCCTGCATACGTTTTACACAGCGGATGCCCTTCCAACTGCAACCCAGTACTGGGATACATCCTACATCCTATACACTACAGCCAATTTATTTTTTTCAATTCACTTACACCGCATGTCTTTAGACTGTGGGGGAAACCGGAAACTGCCAACACAGGGAGAACATGCAAACTCCACACAGAAATGCCAACTGGCCTAAAACTAAAACTTTTTTCTCTTTTTTACACACTATATTTTATTTTGAGAAACATTTAAAATATTTTGGAGCAGTAAACACGTCAGGCCAAATAATTCCAATGAATTATTGACTTCTGCTGTATTCGTTAGTTTCAAAATCACAGATTTATTTACCATTTAAAACAGCATCTTTGGATATCTTTTCTGCTGAAGATACTGCTGTCCTAAAAAACCAACAAAGTAAATGTAAATAAAAAATCTTACACATACCTTAGGAACGATAATACAGAAAACTTTAACGGTTTTGACTTTTCCATACTGCGGTATACCTTGAACGCAGTTATCGTCCCATGCCTACTAACCACTGAGCCACCATGTCGCCCAATTTAACTATTTTCTGTAGAATTAATGTTCAAAGCTTAACACGTGTTGGGTTTAATTTTGGCAAAATTAAAAGTATATAAATAAAAAAGTAGTAATTTCTTATTTAAGGGGAAAAAAAGTTGCCCAAATGTTACGCCTCGTTCACACGGGGCATCAGCATCAACACTTCCCATTCACTTTGAATGGTTAACATCAAGTGGGTTGTTGCTAGATCGCACACGATTGCGGCCAGAAGTTAACAAAAATTATTTATTTTATTTATTAAATTTCTCATTAATTGTATTTTATTAATCTCTACCCTAAACCCAACCGTCACAGTAACGTAAAAACAGTGATTGTATTGAGTAATATTTATGTTATCTATTAAATTACCCATTAAATTTTTTTTTTATGTCTACCCCCACAACAACACTAAACACAAATCCAACCGTCACAGTACTGTAAAAATATGAATTAATGTTATACAGTGTCCTAAAAAATGCTGCTATATTGATGTGCATATCGCACTTCCGTTAAACAACATATCAGATCTAGACTTTACCCGTCAAGCGTTGCAGAACTCAGTTGTGGGTCCCTCGGGGCTGCATTAGGGGCGTTGCTTGCTGAAAACATTTGGGAATTTTTGAAATTTTCATGCGCTAACGGAAGCATCAGCCAATCAGATCGCTTCATGCAAATTTCCCAGCTCAGACAGTTGCCGATTGCGGACTTGTTTCATTGGCTACTATGATGATAGTGTCAGCCCCAACTTCAGACACGGCCTCCGTCAAGCACTGACACTGAAGCCTTGTGTGAATCGGCCATTAGTATATTTACATGAAGTATGTGTTCTGGAAACTCAAGCTGCTTCAACTAGTTAATTTGTTTAGTTACCAGAGTATTTGAGGAATCATTTATTTCCTTTAAATTAAAAACAAAGCACCACTTTCACCACAAATGACTAAATTACTGCATGTGCTCACAGTTTAGTTTCAGTCCACTCGGATTTTGGTGTTGTGTTTCCTGTAAAGCGTCTTTTGATGGTCCTCGTGGTCTTGTAGCGCTGCAGATTTTCACAGCACCATCATCTTCTTGTTTGAGTTCACAGCTTGTTCCCACATCTGTCTGCTTCAGAAACCCAAACCACCCACAATGCTGGGTGTAACAGCTGAAGACTGAGAACCGCTCCCTCCTTCACACGGCGGTTTCCAACTTCTGCACACACGTCACTCACAGGCTGAGGACATACTGCTGTTATAATAATACACCGCTAGGGATTTAACCTTTCTAAACAGACTTTCTGAGGCAAACGTCACCATCATTATTGCAACTTAGGCTTTCTTTCTAAACCTTTCCTGATCCTGAGTATTAAACTTAAAGTTACTAGTCATTTAGGGTTACAGAAATGAGTGATTCCTCAAACTGTATGGTACTTTTTGCACTTTTCAATGCTTTTATTCAGTCTGGCAGATGTTAAAACTGGTGTAATAATGGCTTCAAACATAAATATTCATCAAAAACTCACCACATAAACAAAAACATCCTCAGGAAAGACAAGTACAGTCCAAAATATGACAACAAAGTTTGCTCAAACACCTTAAATGATGCAATGGATTGAATGTTAGCATATGTAATAATAGAAATTGCGATGTAGATATAATTCAATTAATAGTTTTTATATATGGACCACATGCAAAGGACTATTTCTTTTTTACATTTTAAAGTCTGTACTCAGAAATATACTCATTCATATGTGATCATATTTCTCACTTTATTAAGAACTTCAGGCGATTTTGTGAAATAAATATGAATAAAATATAAAAAAAAAACATTTAAAAAAATGAATAAACATTAAAAACATCTCTATATAAAATGCAAAATGTAAACATTGTACTTTTAACCCCTTTGGACGCTGTGTCCATTACAATGGACATCACATGCCAGCCTATGTATTTTGTGGTTCCTGAGCATTTCATCTCATTTAAAGCCTGCAGTCCATGAGAGTGGGTGATTATCAGCCAATCAAATGGCAGTAAGGCTCGGCATGTTGTAATTTGAAAAGAAAAAAAAATCCACTACACTGAAAAGCAGCATGGTATAACTTCATACACAGACATAAGCCACATTTACAATGTTTTTATTCAGATTTATTAATATTTTATCAGTATTATCAGTATTTCATAGATTGTATGTAAAAAACAGGGATTGCTCTTACTAATTAAATTTAAAAATCTTTTTAACATCAGGATTTTTTTTCAAATATGTCTGTCCATTAGGATGTACAATAGGTTTAATGGGATTTGTTAGTGAAATTAAATTTCAAGTAATGCTGATTTAACTTTTTATGTAAAAAAACGAGACTATATTAATGTACTAATTTATTGCTGAAATGAAGAATATAATAGAACAAAGAATAATTTTCTGAAGATAAAATTTGTTAAAAACAAGGTGCAATCTATACAACTAAATCCTCAAAATTAAACAGTGTAGTGACGAGTAATTTCCAAAAGGGTAGTTTCTTTGTCGCAGATCCATTTGAACCATGTTATTTCTAACGTAAAATGCCCATAATGACACTCTAAACTCAGAATTTCTTTGTGCAAATTATATTGTTTTACACGCACACATTTTTAAAAAAACATCCAATATTAGTTTTAGTAAAAACATGCACTCATTTTCCATTTTAATATTTCCATATTATATCCCGGCATCCTGGCAAAATTATATGATTTATCTCACATAAATCATATAAATTGTTAGGCTAATGGTTGTAATTTACAGTAGGCTATTTATTAAGCAAAGAAAAAATACTACTTCATAATAATAATTATTATTATTATTAATGTATTATTATTAAGTAGGATATTGTTTTTTTCTTAAGTCTACTTTTACAGTTTGACACATTTAAACCACTGCAAAAATGTTCTAACCATGTCATATACAGTACAGATATATTTCTTAATGAATAACCTACTTGAAAATATAAGCTTTAACAAATGCTATATATTTTTGTTTTCACAAGCTTTGGTGTTGAATGTAAATTCCACTTTTAAATAATAGGTCACCTGACCCACGGCTGTGTTTAAAATGACATCAATGCTTTCAAAGTGCACTACAAAGGGAGCACAATTGTCAGTATGAAGATTGCTCAAACTGAACTGTAAAAAATTGCGAATGTTCGTTGGAACAACGGATTTGGGAATCGCCAATTTAACAAACTGTTTGAAACAACGCAACTTGCGACCTTAGTTGGCTTACGATGGTTTTTGTAAACACACCCCTGACCTGATGTCCACTGAAATGGTCAAAAATAAATATACTTAAAGGGTGTTGAATTTTTATTATTACAATTTGGTCTCAGAAACTTTGAACACTATTCGGGTCTGAAGGGGTTAAGATTGCAATTGCTATGCCGTTATTCAGGTTTCTGTCTGCATTCCTGTAATAGTGTGTAATAATGGGCTCATAAAAATATTACAGTAAACAATGTATTTTGTGACATCATGAAAGAGCATTTCAAGAGTTCACACTTAGAAATTGTTTGACAAATGTTAGCAGGTTTGGCATGCTGTCCCGGGAGAAAACCCTGAGCTCGGAGATAGTTGAGCCCAGGGCTCCCGCCTGGTTGATAGAGCATGTAAGGGGAGTACGAGATCAGGTGGTTCTCGAGAGCTCCCTGTAGTGAAGGAGGAGAGTGGGAGAAGGGGTGGATGGGGGTTTCTTTGGAAAACGAAGGTAAGGGAGTAGTTTTTGCTAGGCTATTTATAGTGAGTTTGGAATAATCTGATTGGCTAACTAATGATTGCAGATAAGTGACCAGCTGCAGTCAATAATATCACGTGCTCCTCTCTAAATTAGTGTGTGAAACTTCACAATATGAAACGACCGACTTTATATTTTGTCAGTACAATGTCTATCATGCCGGAATAGTTGGCGGTTTATTCCGCTGTGACGAACCCTGATAAATAAGGGACTAAGCCGAAAAAAAATGAATGAATGAATGAATTGAATGAATGAATGAATGAATTTCTAACTTCATATCACACAGCCCTGAGTATCCCTATTAGCCTCTGTGAGACAAAAAGCACTACAGTTTAAAACCATATACAGTGCACTTCCTGTGTCTCCCTTTTGGACCGTACAGTTTAGTCTGTTTCTCCAGGAATAACTGTGTGCACTTACTGAATTGCGCAGTATTACAGGTGCCAGTCATCCAGATGATTTACGTCAGTGTGCTCACACCTGAACAAACATTTCTCATTTGACTGTTTCGCATGCAGCACGAGTATCATGTTTCATACGTTCATGAATGGATAACAATGCGCCTCTTTATGTCTTTCTTTTCTGCCTCTAGGTTAGTTTGGCATATGCGTATGAGACTAAGGACGCTCTATGTTTGGTGTTGACCATAATGAACGGTGGTGATCTGAAGTTTCATATCTATAACATGGGAAACTCAGGTTTCGATGAGCAGCGGGCCATCTTTTACGCGGCAGAGATCTGTTGCGGATTAGAGGATCTGCATCGAGAGCGGATCGTCTACAGGTGCGTTTGCATACATTTCCCAAATCTACAGACAGATTGTTCAAGAAATCAGTGATTCAGTCTGTAGATTTTGTCTTGCTACTATGTGGGAGATGTCTTCACACAATTTGCATGGTAAAAATTGCAAATTTTGAAAATAGAGAAATCCGGTGGTCACGTAGATGTTCAGCTGCAGGATTTGAATGTATTTAAATTGTGTGCATATTTGGGAATCTTTACTTTCCATCTATGTTGGCAGGACTCATGCTTCATGCAAAAGGAATATAAACAAATGCTTTTTATTCAAAGCAGGCAGATTCGGTTTATATTTACCTTGTCACCACAGTTTTACTCATGTTAGTAATTTATTATTCTTATTATTATTTTAAACCATTTAATACCTTTATTTAGCACTGACACAGATTAGCTAACTCTCTGCAACTTTTATATGGTCGCCCACTGTAGCTAAGCAGGGCCGACCCTGGTCAGTAACTGAATAGGAGACCACATGAGAAAGCTAGGTTGCTGCCGGAAGTGGTTAGTGAGGCCAGCAGGGGGCGCTTTGCCTGTGGTATGTGTGTCCTAATGCCCCAGTATAGCGAAGGGCACTCTATACTGCTCAGTGTGCACTGTCTTTCAGATGGGACGTTAAACTAAGGTCCTGACTCTCTGTGGTTGTTAAAAATCCCAGGATGCCCTTCGAAAAAATATAAGGGTTTCATCCTGGCATCCTGGACAAATTTGCCCACTGGCCTCTGTCCATCATGACCTCCTAACCATCCACATATCATAATTGGCTTCATCACTCTGTCTTCTCTCCACCAATGTGTGGTTTGCAGTCTGGCACCAAATGGCTGCTATCATGTCATGCTGCACACTGCTGGTGGATGAGGAGATTCCCCCAAAAAATATGCTAAGCGCTTTGAGTGTCCAGAAAATAATATAAATATAAGCAGTTATTAGTAGTATTATTAATCTGAGTGAATGTTATGTTATGTTATTCTGAATTTTCTTTTAATAATAGAATCCTTAATAAATGGACTCTGGTTTTAAACAAAAAATGATTAAGCCGCACTATTAAAATGATCAACATTGATAATAAGAAGAAATGTTTATTGAGCACCAAATAAGTTTTAGAAGGATTTCTGAAGGACTATGTGGGGTTGAAGACTGGATTAATGATACTGAAAAATCTGCTTTGACATGTAAAATATAATCAAATAGAAATCAGTTCTTAGCGTGTCCGCGGGGTCCTAAAAAGACTTAAAATGTCTTACAACTCAAAAACTAAATTTTAGGCCTAAATTCTCTAAATATTGTGTTGTAGGTCTTTAATGACATTAATTCTTTACATTTTTAAAGCGCTTTTCTAGACACTCAAAGCACTACACAATGGGGGAAGTCTCCTATGTGGGTCCACAATGGGGTAAAATCTATGTACCACCAGTGTGCAGCATCCACCTGGATGACGCGATGGTAGCCATATTGTGCCAGATTGCAAACCAAACACCAGCTGATTGGTGGAGAGGAGACAGAGTGATGAAGCCAATTATGATATGGGGAGGGTTAGGAGGCCATGATGGACAGAGGCCAGTGGGCAAATTTGGGATTTTTAACAACCACAGAGATACAGGACCTCGGTTTAACATATCACTGAGCAGTTTAGAGTGCCCATCAATATACTGGGGCGTTAAGACCAACACAGATCACAGGTTGAGCGCCCCCTGCTGGCCTCACTAACACCACTTCCAGCAGCATCGTAGCTTTCCCATGTGGTCTCCTGGTACTGACAAGGCGCAGCCTTGCTTAGCTTCAGTGGGCGACCATAGGAGAGATGCAGAGAGCAAGCTGCCGGCATTTAAAAATTAAAAATTTCAAATAATTTTTAACAGGTCTTAATTTGAAATGTTAAAAGGTAATTTTAAAAGCTAATCAGGCCGAAACTCATCCAATCATCATCAATCCATCTATATATTTTTATTTATTTATATGTATTTAAGTTTTTAATTTAAAGTGATACAATTCACAACATCTATTAGACATTTTTACAGCACATTCTCTTAATTAAATACCCAAATCAGCAAAAGAAAAGTAAAACAATTCAACAATTTCTCATGATAATAACAACAATAAATACCTTCACATAATCCATTTAAACTAAAACTGTTTACAGAAGTAAGGGTGAGTGGACAAAAGATTTAAAAACAGGCAGGAGACATCGCAAGGTTTCTATTTAACGGAGAGAAGATTTTATCATTTCTAAACATAATAGTTTCTATTTCTCATTTCTAATAACAGATTTATTTTATCTTTGTCATAATAACAGTAAATAATATTTGACTAGATATTTTTCAAGACACTGCTATACAGCTTAAAGTAACATTTAATGGTTTACCTAGGCTAATTAGGTTAACTAGGCAGGATAGGGTAATTAGGCAAGTTATTGTATAATGATGGTTTGTTCTGTGGACTATTGGAAAATATATAGCTTGAAGGGCTAATCATTTTGCCCTTAAAATTGTTTTTCAAAATTTAAAAACTGCTTTTATTCTAGCTGAAAGGAAACAAATAAGACTTTCTCCAGAAAAAAAAAATATGATCACACATACTGTAAAAATTTCCTTGCTCTTTTATGCATCATTTGGGAAATATTTTAAAAAGAATAGAATCAAAGGGGGGCTAATTATTCTGATTGAAACTATATATATATATATATATATATGTATATATATATATATATATATATATATATATATATATATATATATATATATATATATATATATATATATATATATATGTGTGTGTGTGTGTATAATCAATATGATTATTGATGTAAATTTCTTTATAATAAATATGCTTTTAAGAATGTTGACTTGTCAAAATACATTATGGTGAAAAAAGTGTACACAACAAAAATTCTCTTGTTTTGACACAATAAAATATGTGGTTTAGAAAAAACTACTTTTGTTTTTTTTCCAATTCCATTGGCGCCAACTCATTACAAAAAATCTTTAGTGTTTAGCCCTGTATAAGTCAAAAATTTTATAATGGTCTTAAAAGGAGTCTTAAAAAGTCTTAAATCTGACTTGATGAAACCCACAGAAACCCTGGTTGTTGTAAATTGTAATGATTCTTACTCAATATTATCTTTTCCCCTGCATATGTGATCAAATAAATGCATCCTTGATGAACATAAGCCAAAAAAAAAATCATCCTGCAGTAAACAATCTTTTAAATAATTTAGGTAATGACAAAGTTAGCGCTCAGTTCAGTCCAATTCATGTTTTCTCTTTCTTTCACAGAGACTTGAAACCAGAAAATATTCTGCTAGATGATCGCGGTAAGCATTTCTTATTCAGCTTTTCACAGCCTCTTTTTGTTGCTTTCCCTCTCGTTTATGTTGTTCATGTTTATCTTGACTTAAATATGCGCTCTCTTGAGTTCTGCTTGTAAGCAACATCTTAGTAACCACACTGCAATGTCCTGGCGTTCACCCAAAACACCCATGCACAGCGGCGGCACGTTTTACACAAACAAAAACTTCTCACATTCCTTCAGAAAATATACAAATCTGGATTTTTCCTTGTATGAAGATGCTTTTTACTCAGTACGATCACAAGTGAAGTACCCTGAACTCACGTGTAAATGGAAACTAAAGTATTTTGAGCTCCTTCACTTTCAACCACTTCCTGAGAAAAGCATTTGATCTGATTACTTTTGTCGTGCAGATGCTCATGTGGTGAAATGCATTCGAACAGCCACAGAAGTCTGCCTACTGAACAAACATTTGTATATACTGTTGTGATGAAGCGCACCAAAACAACCCGATTACATTAAGTATCGTCGTTGCCATCAACATACTTTTTCAACTCTTTTGTCGACTAACATAACAGGTTTAGTTAAACTGAAACACATTTAAGTGTATACCCACATAGCCAAATTTCTCTGGCCCACACAATCTGGTTTTGCTTGACCCATATGCCGCAGTGATTTTCGGTACATGAATGGACCAGATCTGGCTTCCAGGCAAGGGCCAAACATGGACCATATCTGGGTCAAGTCTCAGTCAATTTATTAACGCATAACGGGGCCTAAACTGGGCCAGATAGGTTGGTGTGTCACGATTGCAATGAAATTGACAAGGCACACTATGGGCATGCTTTTGTTCAAGTGACCTGATTGTTAGAATTTTTTTCTTTACTTCTTTTGCAAATATTTTGGTCACACTTTTTTTTGATGGTTCGTTTGTAGAATTTAAGTTACAATGCATCTGCATGCCAACTAAATCTTATTGGATTATTAGTAGACTGTTAGGTTGAGGTTAGGGTTAAGCCTGATTTATACTTCTGCGTCAGGTGACCGGCGTAACCCACGGCGCATGCAACGCGCGTAGCTGTGCATTTATACTTCTGCGCGCTGTCTCTGTTGGTCTGCATTAACACTTCTGAAACGCTAGTTTGGCAGTGAGGTGTAAATGTTCCTCTGTGTCAAGTTTCTTCGCTTCTGTTTTGCTTTTCCTGAACACTTCTGGGATGTACAAGTGGCTCAAACTTGCTCATTTTGAGGCAGGAACCGGCGGACGTGTAACAACTTTAACTATGAGGTAAACACAAAACAAAACTTTCCATCCGGAGCTCCTTCACGTGACTCCACACTTGTAAACAATCGCTCTATCAGGCTCGCGCTATTCACGCGGCTCTCGGTCCCGCCCAGACTCGTTAGCGCTACCAAGCCGACCAATCACAGAGCTTGCGCTACGCGTCGTTGCGACGTGTAGTTACATTTTTTGAGAGGTGCACGTCAGCGACACCAACGGCCACGGCGAAGGGCTATGCGTCAGCGCCTTAGCATACGCCGGCGTTTGACGCAGAAGTATAAATCAGCCTTTAGTGTAAGTTGACATGTACTTGCAAAGTTTCTAATAGTCAGTTAAATGTCTGTTTTACAGCAGTATCAACAGATATTAAGCAGACAGTCTGCTAATACTCAAATGGACCATCAAAATAAAGTGTTACCAATAATTTTAATATATTTTAAAAATGGGTCAAGACAGGCCAAACTTACATGGCCCACATATCAATTTTTAACTTCTGGGCCAAATACTACATTTTACATCTGGCCTAAATCTTGTGTGCTGCCTTAAAGAGGGTGCCACCGCTGACAAACCTGGGCCATGTTTGACCCACATGCTATATGCCAGTGCCGGATGAATGCTTGCATTGCCAGCTTTATGCCAAATGTGGGCCAGAATTCTTTGCTACCTGCCCACATAACAAATCTTTTCTGGCCCTGCTTTGGGCCACACAATAACTTTTCCCTTGGCCCAAGTACCTCAAAGAATGACAGGCCTGAAGTGGCCCATAACTGGATTAAAGACAAGAGCCACACATGGGCCATAACCGGCCGGAATCTCAGCCAATTTATCACCCTTACATGCCCCTGAACTGGGCCAAAACAGGTTTATTATTGGTACAGATTCTCAGCTATAAGTTTACACTTTAACTAGAAACCCCAAAAACTGAGCCATAACCCAGCCTAATGTTACCTAAACAATGTGAACAACTGCTACACTGACCTGGCCACACACCTCCCATCCACAACTGGCCCAAATGTAATTTGCCGTCATGCATGCAGTGCCATCATTGCCATGCATGGCCCACATTCGGCTGACGTTATGCAAGCCATTGCTAGCAACAATCCAGCAGTGCCATAATGAGGCCACATTTGGGCCAAGTCCACTTGCTATGTGGCTGGGTATCTCGAATTTTTAAGCTCATTATAGAAAATACTTAAACACATGAATGATATTAAAGTTTAAATAATACGGAAATGGATCGAATTGTTTGGACTTAATAAATAAAAACACTATAATCTAGCGATATAAACTAACTGGCCACTTTATTAGGTACACCTTACTAGTACCCCTTTTGCCTTTAAACGGCATAGGTAGAAGGTAGTGTTTTTCAGCCAATGATAAACTTCTGGTGACAGGTTAATGTGACTATTTTCAATTTAATAAGGTTTCTTTTACAGCACCAGTGTTGCAATGCAATTAAAATACATTCAGTTAAATAGACTCCAGAATTAATTAAGTTGTTCAAGCATAAAACGAGATGAAATACAGTGTAAACACTAGCGGCGTCAGTACCAGCAGGCTAACGCAAAAACTTCATTGAAAATAGTGAAAAGACATGGCAGGGAAAATTAATTTTTAGTGCATCTTGTCTGATCTGAAACCCACTTCATATTGTATATCTATCAGGCAGAGAAGATCTCTGATTTTGAAAGAAATTAAATCTTTAACGTAACCATTTCGTAATGACTAGAAAATGTAAGGACACTGAAAACTAAAGTCTGTGGTCATGTACCCCATTGGAAATACATCGTCATACTGAAATAAAGTCTGCAGAAAGTCTTCTGGTTCACACAGACTTTAAAGGTTAAGCTTAAATCTATGAAAAGCAGCCATTGCAAGATTTCCTGCATGCTCTTTGTGACTGAATGCAGAATGAATGTAATGACTGTAGTGCCTCAGTGCAGTGTTTTTCCCTGTAGGCAAACTAATAACGATCAAACTTGTGCACAGTTGCAAAATCGAAAGTGAAAGTAATGTTGCGGCGAGTTTACTTTGGTGCAATATTGAGTATGATGAAATAAGGGGAAGGTATCTAAACAAAACCCGACTAAATGTGTTCATAATTTGAAGGGCCAGTTAATATCATGTGTAAACGGCGATGTGAGTGATCGCTGATTATGCAGTTTAAAACAGGATCTAAAGGGAAGATTCTTTTTACCTGAGCTGATTTGAAGCATGTCGTGTTTAGACTCGTTAGGAATGGCAACACTGCAGATTTTTAATGCAATGCTGTTCTTCAGGGCACATCCGTATTTCTGATCTGGGACTGGCCGTGCAAATTCCAGAGGGCGAGACGATACGAGGGCGTGTTGGCACAGTGGGGTACATGGGTAAGAGCCAGACACTTTCCCTTATCTCTTTTGCTGTGCCTGTCGTGGAGTGTTTGACCTCATTCTTATGCATATGTGTTTTTAGCACCAGAGGTCATCCAGAACGAGAGCTACACCTTCAGTCCTGACTGGTGGGGTTTGGGCTGTCTAATATACGAAATGATTCAGGGTCAGTCTCCTTTCCGTCGCCGTAAAGAGCGAGTGAAGAGAGAGGAAGTGGACCGGCGAGTTTGTGAGGACCAGGAGGAATATACTGAGAAGTTCTCAGAAGACGCTAAAGACATCTGCCGTCAGGTGCACACTTAATGCTCTTCAGGGGTTTTGTGCTGTTGCTCGTAAAGAGAATGCAGGAAGGATCTTATTAATGAGATGAGAACATGTGAATGAAGCCATGCGAATGAAGTCATTTGTAACCAGTGGGAAACTCTTGCAGGAAACTTTTCCTGAATAGTGAGGGTTTTTTTTTTCCAATTCCTTTTTATTATATTTTAAGTAACATGTACATACACAATTCCATGTGTCAGATCCAACACAAACCAACAAACAAACAAATGAACAAACAAAACAAAAGGCTTCTCTGTATTTTACATCAAAATACAATATCACCTTGATTACTAATCTTCACATTTCCAAATCCACCACCTTTTAAAAACAGCGTAAAAGGTCCCCAAACTCTATCAAAAATTATATATCTATTTCTTATCATATAAGTTATTTTTTCCATTTTCATGTTTGTTACCATCTCTTTCAGCCAACAGCCTATAGTTGGTGCACATATACTTTTCCAATTTAAAGAAATAAGCCGTTTCGCTTGTAGAATACATATATTCAAAAATATTTGCTCCATCTTTTTTAACTTGATCTCCTCGGGATATAAATGAAATAAAAAAATTAAAGGAGACATAGGTATATTAACCTCAAGAATATTTTCTATAATTTCTTTCATACATTTCCAAAAGTTCTGTATTCCTTTACATTCCCATATACAGTGATACAACGTTCCTTTATGGTCCCTGCATCTCAAGCAAGTATCTGGAATATTTTCATTATATTTATGCAATAAAACTGAAGTTATATAAATCCTCATCAACCATTTATATTGTAACAGTTTCAGACGAGTGTTCATTGTTAGTGATTGAGCTTCCTCGCACATCTTCATCCAGTCCTCTGTAGAAATATCGAATAGTGAGTTTTATAGTGAATTCAATAGATACTAGGATCAGTGGCATAACAATTTACAATTACACATTTTCTTAGATGTATATATTACAATGTATATGTTTATTTAAATTTTAAATATATATATATATATATATATATATATATATATATATATATATATATATATATATATATATATATACAATTGTTTTTAATTCCCAATGATGGGTTGCAGCTGGAAGGGCATCCTCTGCTTAAAACATGTGCTGGATAAGTTATCGGTTCATTCCGCTTTATTAATTAAGATTAATAAAGGTACTATGCCGAAAAGAAAATGAATGAATTGTTTTTAAGTTTTTGGATAAAAATTATTTTTGATTATATAAACTTATTTCAATAAAAGATCATTGAAATATTTGCATAGCTTTTTCACACATTAATTTAAGGAGCTGGCACTTTTTTATTGTAATTGATAAGTAAACCACATCAGTGTTATTTTATATAGATAAAACTAACAATTTTTTTTTTTTTTTTTTTTTTTTTTTTTACAAATTTCGGCTTCAATTTATTTCAACATTGACTTTGTATATATAACTGACATTGACATTACACTGACTTAAGGGCGTCACTCACCAGATGCGAAGCTCAGCGCAGCGACACGGTGCGCACATGACAGTTGAAAGTATCGCACACCAGATGAGCACATTCGCATGCTATTTAAAATGAAACTATTCAGATGGCGCTCTGTGGCGCGCCAGAAATATCAATAGTGTCCTGAGTTGTGGCTGGGCACCTCAGACAGTCGCCGACTTGCTGCGCCGGTGTGTGTACTTTGATAGAAACGTATGTTTAGAATTGTAAAATTCATGGCAGTGCGTGGCGCGACGCTGCACGTCACCGAGCGGTGCTTCTGGTGTGCGACCTGCTACGATTGTGAATTTGCATTTATACAGCAGTTTTATAAATGTGTATATAAAAAAGTAAATCAAACACGGAGTCTCAAAAATCCTTTTGCACAAGGAACTACTTTCTTCACCCATTCATTCACATCTGCAGCTAACATCAGAACAGCAGAAACCGTTGCTTAAAGACACGTCATTTTAGAGCTAGTATTTGAATGGTTCTCTAGTGTAATGTCTAAATTGATGACAAAACAGGTGATTTTGCTCACATTATAAGATTATAGGGCTAAACATCATGAATTGCCATCAGTCTACAGAGATTTCCCAGTATTTCTCTGTTGCAATTGGAAGATTAAAAAAATAAACCCCGAAAAAGCCAAAGCTAAGCAAACACTAGCAAATTACTATGGTATAAATGCAGCACTACAACATACAAATGAGAGAAATCGACTTAGAATGTCACTTACCTGATTTATAAGGATTTGATCAGTTGTAGTTTGAAATACAAAAAGAACACATGCTAATAAATAGTTTTCTCCCCTAAGGACTTATTATGCAGTCTCTGTTGCCATCCTGTGGCACAACTGTCTTTGCTCTGCTCAGTATTGCCAACATGCTGAATCTTTGCAATTATAGATTTTTAAAATAGACACTGTCCTTATAAACTCCATAGTTGCAATCTAAACAACTACATTCTTGCCTAAAAAAGGCTCAAAAGTACATTATGTTGTCCAACAGTAGCAATATTTAACAAACTGTAGTGAGTTTATTGGTCTGCTGTCACTCTGTGGGCGGAGTAATACAGAAGAGTGAAGAGGCTGTATCTATGTGTGTGTGTGTATATTTATATATATATATATATATATATATATATATATATATATATTAGGGATGTAACGGTATCAGAATTTCACGGTACGGTAATACCTCGGTATGAATGTCACGGTACGGTATTTATTGAATCATTTACAGGAAAAAACAAAACTTATGAAAATACTCCAAAAAAGTGCCAAAAGTGTCAATGACATACAAATTAGCCATCTATCTGTAAGCTTTGAAACAGGAACTTCAATTTTAATAACAAAAAATTATTAAACCATGTAAAAAAATAAAGTTTCAATTTAGTATTGTTGAAAACTCATCACATTCAACATTTAATCACACTCAGCCGATCTACCCAGATCAGAGCTCTGCTAGTCGGACTTCTCATCAAGCATCTCCCGCTGGATCTAATCTCACTATATTTATTAAACGGGATATTTCATTTATCTTGTTGTCTTTATCTAACGACATATTCCCTGACTTTGGGCATTGGAATCTATTACTTGTTCTCAGGTAACGTGTTTTGGCTGAGCGCAAAGATAAGTTAATGATTAATGTAACCACGTACATTCTGTATATTGACTGATCGCCTTTATTTCCTATAATGTATAAACTTATTGTATGTTATACTTTTAAAATGGCCATTATCGATTCTTAAAACTGATACTCAGCAAAAGAGAGGCTGTGTTTCGTATTTTCATTGAAATTGAAAGGAGGCAGTTGTTATCGGCTCCGTTTTGTTATAAATATGCACACAGTGAAGATGACGCTCATCTTATGCAGCACGGCGCCTCAACATTTCTGCTGTCTGTTAAGTTGCTAATATTAAAAAGAAAATAGGCAGTTCCTTAAATCATGTTTACATTTTATTGTTGAGAAAGTGAAACAACGAAGCCAGGGTGATGTGAATGAAGTTATAAAGTACACTGTTCCCTTTGAAGATTTACCCGTGTCCTCGGTATAATCTGCTTTTCCATATCAAACTGAGAAGAAGAGACTGCAGCCTTGATCAAACTTGCGAAGTCTGAACTTACACGGAGATAATGCAGGACTGAACTGTGCGTGTAAAGCAGGTCGCACACCAGAAGCGACGCTCGGCGGCGCGCCGCGCAGCGCCACGCAGCGCCATGTATTTTAGAATTCTAATCATAGGTTTCTATCAGGATACACACACCGGCGCCGCAAGTCGGCGGCTGTCGGCGGCGCCCGGCGACGGCTCAGGACGCAGTTCATTTTTCAGCCGCGCCACAGAGCGCCATCTGATTAGTTTCATGTTAAATATCATTCGAATGTGCGCGTCTGGTGTGCGATACTTTAATCTGTCATGTACGCGCCGTGTCGCGGCGCCGAGCGTCGCTTCTGGTGTGCGACCTGCTTTAGAGTTTTCCAGCTCTTTTCATCCCCGCTTCTAGCAGCACACTCCATTTCCGCATTAACTACTGGATCTGTAGCAACAACAGACCGCAAGGGATGATGGTCAAGCATGGGCTGATGGCAATTGTAGTTTTCGTTACCTCCCGTTCGCTTCATTCGCCTGAGCAAATTTTCTCAGAAGACCTATAGTTTTACCGAGTCATGCGACTTCGGTAATATCGAAAAAAATTAATATTGCGGTATGACGGTATTTACAATAACGTTACATCCCTAATATATATATATATATATATATATATATATATATATATATATATATATATATATATATATATATATATATATTTATAATTTAAACATAATGATAAATGAAAGAATTTTAATAGTTGTATTTAACAAAACACAACAGATTTCATTGAATTTAAATCTACTGAAAAATGTAGGATTAATACCTAGAATAGGTGAAAAAATAAGCTTGTAAACTGTTTTCAACACATTTTTATTACTGTTTTATTATATTATTTTTCTTTATCTTGTACTCTGTTATTCATTTGTCAAATTGTAGCTGACAATGTAAATGTTGTTTTGTGATCAGTAATGTTTTCTGCATGGGAAAGCGGAGTTTGTGGAGGAGTGTGTTGTTTAGTCCTCTCTCATGGTGTCATGGAAGACTGTGACCTCGAGGTCAGTTTGACTTCCACTGGGATTTCAGCCTCTCTTTCCCTCTCTTTTCCACAGTTGTTATGTAAAGATCCAAAGGAGCGCTTGGGCTGTCGGGGCAGTGGAGCGGCCGAAGTCAAACTGCATCCCATTTTCCGCAACATCAACTTCAAGCGGCTGGAGGCCAACATGCTGGACCCGCCGTTCTGTCCAGACGTGAGTCCAGAAAACTGCCTGCTTTCTTCCACAGTTTTTATCTGCTTCAATTAAAAAAACAGAGCATGTATGATAGTTTAAAATGGATGTTTGTGGTGTTTTAGCCGCGAGCAGTTTACTGTAAGGACGTCCTGGACATAGAGCAGTTTTCGACAGTCAAAGGTGTAAACCTGGACCCAACAGATGACGATTTCTACCACAAGTTTGTAACAGGGAGTGTCTCCATCCCATGGCAAAATGAGGTATTACACTCTAGTATGGTGAATTATGAATTAAAAGTTGTTTTTTAATATATATATATATATATATATATATATATATATTTATATATAGATAGATATATATATATATATTTTTTTTATGTTTTATTGTGCTTTTAGTAAAGAGTTATCAGCAATTAAAATAATTGTATTCTTGAACATTAATCTAATTCAGGCTGATCATTTTATTTATTTCATGTCACTTCAGCTTAGTCCCTGATTTATCAGAGGTTACCACAACAGAATGAACCACCAACTACTCTGGCATATGTTTTATGCAGCAGATGCATAATGTTTATTCATTTAAAAAAAAAAAAAAAAAAACATGCTTATGCTTTCAATGGCTGCATTTATTTGATCACAGATATATTAACAATAGTACTGGGCAAAGATTAATCACATCCAAAATAAAAGTTTGTGTTGATATAAGATGTGAGTGTGAACTTTATATATTTATTATATATATATGTAATACACACACATACATAAAACAAATCTGAACAAAACAATTTTTCATGCATAGTTTTTTTTTATTTATATTTAATTTGTATCATGTACATATATATATTTTATGCAAAAAATCGAATAAATATGTATATATGTGTGTACTTATATATGCATACATGTAATAAATACACCACATCAAACCTGTTGTTCTTTTTATAAGATTATGGTAAATCGCATTTTAAATCGCAATCTCAATTTTGATGAGATAAATCACAATTAGATTTGTTTCTTCAAAATTATGCAGCCCTTGTAAATACATTAACTAATGAAGCCTTATTGTAAAGTGTGACCTATGTTTGTATATATTATAGTGACAGTGTGTTCAAAACTGTGTCAGCTGAGGATTTGAATTTTTTTTAAAAATTAGAAATGCAAAATCGACTACACTTATAATGCAAACATGATGTGAACCGTGTGTGTGTGTGTGTGTGTGTGTTTCAGATGATTGAGATGGAGTGTTTTAAGGAGATCAACGTGTTCGAGATGGACGGAGCGCTGTGTGCTGATCTGGATGTGAACAGACCCAATCCAGCACCGAAGCGAGGATTCTTCTACCGTTTATTTCACCGAGAGGCAAGTGGTAGTGCATCGCCCGCCGTGCTCAGAGGGGGAGGGGCTTGAGGTACTTCTGGATCTTTCTGCACAGACTTTTCCAACACCAACTCTTTGGTTTTGTTTCCAGTTCACCTTTGTTCAACATTTATGAACTTGAATGTCTCTCAATGGCCAGACGATGTCTCAGTTCAGTCTGTCTGCCAGTGTTCATACTTCAGGGCTGACTGCATGTAATTAGTGTGGCACTATATATACATATGTAACCCAACAGTCCAACTGCACCCAACCCGGTCTGAGCTGGGATTGAACCGGCGATTCTTTGCATGAGAGTCGGTTGCTCTAACAAGGAGGCTAAAAACCAATGGCCTTTAGCGTCTATAGCCAGAGCACCTTTAGAAGTCAGAAGAGTGAGAGTTACCTGCATAGCACTTTGCTAGCTGGCCTCGTTTATGCTAACCCCCCTAAACCTCACTCCCATCCCGGACGACCCCCCAAGTGTAAACCACAAGTCCTACTGCACCCAACCTGGTCTGAGCTGGGTACAAACTGGTGATTTTTTGCATGAGAGTCGGTTGCTCTAACAAGGAGTCTAAAGACCAATGCCTCTAGCGTCTTTCGCTAGATGAGGTTTACCTGCATAGCACTTCGCTAGCTGGCCTCCGTTAAGCATACATACATACATACATACACATGTACATATACATATATACAAATATATATACATATATTATCACTCGATTGAATGGGCATTATCAGTAATTATTAGCTGATAGATATGGGCCAGTAGGGGCCGTTTACGCAAACTGGTAGGCTCAGAAGGCTGTAATCATCCGTATTCATGGTTAATCAGTTATCAACAAGAATTATTTATATGAATTATTATGTCCCATTAATTTATTAACGTCTACCCCTACCTTAAACCCAACCATCACTGTAATGTAAAAGCAGATCTGGATCTGAAGTCTAGTCTATCAAAGAAGGCCCCTACTGGCCCATATCTATCAGCTGATAATGGCTGATAACCACTGATAACGCCCTTTCAATTAACTGATAACATTCGAAACAGGTGTTTTTCCCCCAAATTTCTGTTTACCGGAAAAAATATTTTTTCAACACATTTCTAAACATTCATTAATTCAACTTATCCAGCATATATTTTTTATGCAGCGGGTGCCCTTCCAGTTTTTTGGATGCTTTTTTTTCCTGGGAAACACCCATACACTGAGATTCACACTCATACACACTGGCCAATTTAGCTTCTTCAATTCACCTATAGCACATGTCTTTGGACTGAACTGAAGCACCCAGAGGAAACCCACGTGAATTTGGGGGAGAACATGCAAACTCCATACCGAAATGCCAACTGGCCCAACCGAGGATCAAACCAGCGACCTTTTTGCTGTGAGGTGACAGTGCTAACCACTGAGCCACCATGCCACATGAATTAAACAGAAAATTATAAATTCTTTTTTATTTTATTTTTGTTGATTTTAAGCCCTGGACTATGAATTGTGTGTCTGTGTGTATCTATGTGTGACTGTGTGACTGTGTGTGTGTGTGTGTGTGTGTGTGTGTGTGTGTGTGTGTGTGTGTGTGTGTGTGTGTGTATGTGTTTGTGTTTTTGTGACATATCAGGACACGAATCAGTATAATGACATATGTATGACACAGGTATTACAAAAAGGAGGTTAAATATGAGGACATTGGTGACGTCCTCATTTCTCAAAAAGCTTATAAATTCCACAGGATGAGTTTAATCAGAGAGTAAAGCTGGACACAGTCTCCTGTGATGGTTGGGTTTAGGGGTAGGGTGGGGTGAGGGCAATATAATATACAGTTTGGACAGTATAAAATGAATGGAAACCTATGTAATGTCCCCACTTTTCACAAAAACAAACATGTGTGTGTGTGTGCGTATGTGTGTGGTGATAGGGACAAACCTCTATTACACTGTTAAAAACTAACCCTTTAATTTAGGCTTACTAACCCTAACCAAAGTAATGCAAAGCTCAAAGCTGATGGTTATTTGACTTGATGACTAGATGGCTAGACGCTTGAATCTATGTGGTTTACCACGTACAGCACTACTCTTTCCAGTTCATTCTTTGACTGTTTTCTCTGAGACTAGCAAACTAACAACCGATCAATTAAAGGGACATGTAACCCAAAAAATGATTATGAGTACGGTTCGGCTCGGTGCGCTTTTATAGTCATTTCCGCTGTCAAAAGGTGTAACGATCCGAACCGTACCACTTTTTCGGCACCCTTTCGAAAGGGTAACAAACACAAGAAAGGGTACCAAAAGGTGGAGCTACACGCACAGCTGAACGCTGATTGGTTACAGAGACACGTCACAAGCTCGTGTGAAGCTAGCCAGAATGAGAACAAAGGAACGGTCATGTTTTTATGCACAGCCAAGACATTACACCGTAAAAATATGCATATAATAATGCCACGCTTCCTATGCAAGTGACGTAATTTACAATCGACACCTGCACCCGTCACGTCACTTGAAATCAACACAAATAAACCAAAAGTAAGTTTCCAGTGACAGCGTTGTCAAATAATTCTAAGTAGTCTACTTACATTGTACAACATGACAGACCCCCCAACCCCCCGAAAAGCAGTTAGTATATTCATCATATGATTATATGCTTTGATGTAATTTTACCAAAGCAGGCTACTATTAACATTCATACCAGTAAAGCTTATTATTTATATCAACTAAATATAAGTCTAAATATACACACAAGGTGTTCTTCCACAGTTATGAATATAAAAACACCAGACAAATTAGAATTTTAGTTTTTATTTTAAACATTTCAAGGAGTGGTAGTATTACAACTAACAGAAACACATTATAGACTTACAGCAATGATTCTTGAACGACTTGGGAAACTATTCTTCATAACTATTCTTGAAAACACGTCTGCGCAGGAGTGCATCCATATGAAATCCCAGTTGCAGCGCAGCTTCGACAGTCTCTACATGATCTCAGCCCAGTTTTATAGGTCCTCCAAACACAATGTCGAGATACGGGAACGTTTCGACTCGCTTAACGAAAGAAATGATGTGAAACATTTCTGTAGAGCTGTTTTAAGGCAAGCATTCGTGGTTCGTTATGATCTGTTTACGTAACTATAGCAACTGCGGCGCCCGTCGCCGTATGTTGCCAGAAACCACAGCGAAACGCTTAAAAAAGAAGGCACTTGTGTAAGGGTGACAGATAAGAAGTTTGCTGCAACGATCTTGATGAAATCCGTTACCTCAGAAATTTTTCCGCCTCAGGGACACCCTTAAGTTAAATTACCGAAGGACTTTCATGCAAGCAGCCACAGGTGGCGATTGTAAGAGACGTCAATTGAGAGTAAGCGCGGTTGCCTGAGTTTGCAAGTCCGAGCCTGCAAGCCTGGAGGTGCAAGTGCACCCAGACTCTATTGCTTCCAGCTGCAACCTATCACTGGGAAACATCCAGAACTGCAGCAGATCGTCTTGAGCATGTTTACATGCCTAAATGCATTGAGTTGCTGCCATGTGATTGGCTGATTAGAAATTTGTGTTAACGAGCAGTTGTACATGTGTATATATACTGTTATTTCAGTCAAACTAAAAGAAATAAGACTTAATACACAAGAAAAATGATTATAGTTAATACTGTGGAAATGTTCTTGCGTCTATTAAATATTACATGGGAAATATTTGAAAAATGTTTACAATTTCACAGCATGATTAATAATTTCTCCTTCAACTGTATATGTGGATTTTAAATAGGTCATGTGAATTTGTTAGACTGCCCAACAGAAAGCTGTTTGGTCTGAAAGCGTCTCTGTGAGCTGTGCAGTATTGACAGTGTATATACTGTTAACATTACCACACCTTTAGACATCAGAAACCCTAATATTTGCGGTGTACCTGCTTCATTTGATGTATGGTCACTGTGTCCTGTACAGGTTTGTTTTGGGAGTGCCAACAGTGAGGAGGAGGAGAAAGAGGAGAAGGAGGAGGAGCCATCTTGACTTAAAACCACTCCCACTTCCCATCAGCTGCCAATCAGAATGCTAAACGTATGAATGTTCAACTGTATTTATGAACTGTATCAAACTGTATCATAATTAAAGAAAAGGGTATGAGTTTAAAGAATTTTGTACATTTGTACTTGAATTATGTGTAGATGTATATTTTCACTAAAGGTTGTATTGTACAAAAAGCCATAGAAATACCACTTGAATGCATATATAATGTTTTTATTGTTATTATTTTTCATCTGTACTGAATATGAAATGTGTATTTCTTTTTAAGCACAATATAAACACTCACCTTTTGTTTCCAATGCTAACGCTCTGTTAGCACTGCCTTTGTTTGTATGTTAACTTAGATCGTTTGGCTGGACAGATCCACCGCGCTTCTTTTGTACAGCAGGGTAAGATCAATCACACATAAAGAGGGAGCAGTACAAATGATCTATTCATATCATATCATTTACAGTGGTCAACCAGAATGCTAATATCAAAAGCAGGGGTGGCTGTGGTCAAATAAAAACAAAAAAACAAACTGTATATAGCCTAGATATATAAAAACGAGGTTCAAAAGTCTGAGAATACCAAGTAAAATGCTTTAGAATATATATTCAGAAAAATCTGGACTGAAAATGAATTGCGTGCAATAATAACACCTTTGTTAAGCAATATGTGGCTAATTTTGAGATTCGAACTGTTAGGAAATATACTCATAATTTCAAAATTAGCCTAATGTTGATGTATTAAAATATATTAATGCTTTATTGCCACCTTCACTCATTCCCCCCCCCCCCCCCCCCCCCCCCCCAATTTTTGTCAAATTTGACATGCCTTTTTCTTCAACCCAGGCTCATTCTGAAAATGTACCCCCGTATACATTTCTGGAGAGCACTAAATACATCCCTGGAGCTACGTCATTGCTTTTTTTTTTTTCGAATTCCCCAGAGGCCGCTGTGTATGCTTTTTAAAATCTCAATTTTTTCTAGCAAGTACCATTTAAACCTGCTGTTCTTGCGTAAATCCACCAGAGGCTGCTGTAAACTGTCCTTCCCTAAACCCAACCAATAGTGTTTCCAATAGCACCGATTGACCCGCCTTCGCTAACCCCAACCGACAGTTTAAAAAGCAATCCAAAAAAAGAAAAGCCCTTGCCTGATTTTTACCATGTTTTCAGATTTTTCCACATTCTCACCCTGTTATTTACTTCATTTTATTTTTTGGCTTCTGTTTTTGTCTTACCCGCTTTCTGGAACCATTCGAACCCTGTCGTTGGGGTCAACTCCTCTCTGCGTCTCAAGTCATACATGACTCGACATACATGGCGAGCTGCTGGACAAACTGATAACAGTAGAAACGCTGTTTACATGGAAGTCAGCGGTCAGCTGGAAAGCGAGAAAAGACCACCCTGTAGCCTTCATTTTAAAGACGAAATGCTGCCATATGTACCTCTGGCTACATAATTCATGATCTTCTTAAATGTATATAGGGCTATGTTTTTAGAGTGAGCCTATGTTGTTGTTGTTGTTTTGTAAATGTTTATTTTTAGGGCTAAATTGAATATATAACTCCAGATTTTCAGTGTGTCCTCAGACTTCTGAACCCCACCTGTGTGTTGACCTCATTGACAAGCTGTCTGGATTTTGTACAAAAGGAAAGTGTTCATACATATGTTAATGATAATGGGTGTGCCAATAGCTAGTGCCAATAGCCTCAAAACAACCAGATGATTAATAGGTCCAATCCAATGACTAATAACAATGTGTAACTTGCGGGTTGTGGAAGTGTAACGTCATTCATTTTCTCCATAGGGAATTTTTTTTTTTAAACTGATAACTGCAGTCTTGTTGTGAGCTCTGAGGTTCTTGATTGTATATGCTGTTGCTGAACTTGTCTATTCACATTAAATCACTTTATTATTTCAACAGTCATTTTTGATTGTAGAATTTGGCCATAACAACGACATTACCCATGATGCTGTGCAGAAAACCAACCAATCAGACAGTTGCAGCGTTTCTGATTGTAGAATCTGGCAAAAGCAACCAATTTACCCATGATACTGTGCAGAAAACTCACCAATCAGACTGTTGCAGTGTTTTTGATCATAGAATTGGGCCATAACAACCACATTAAACATTATGCTGTGCAGAAAACCCACCAATCAGAGAGTTGTAGCATTTTACATTTTAGAATTTGGCCATAACAACAACATTACCCATGATGCTATGCAGAAAACCCACCAATCAGACAGTTGCAGCTGACAAAGCAACTTTACATTATATCACTTTATTATAGTCAATTTTGATCGTAGAATTGGGCCATAACAACAACATTACCCGTGATGCTGTGCAGAAATGCCACCAATCAGACAGTTGCAGCTTTTTTGATTGTAGAATTGGTCCATAACAACTACATTACCCATGATGCTGTGCATTAAAGCCACCAATCAGACAGTTGCAGCGATTTTAATTGTAGAATTTCGCCATAACTACAATACCCATGATGCTGTGCAGAAAACCTATCAATCAGACCGTTGCAGCGTTTTTGATTGTAGAATTTGGCCAAAACAACTACATTACCCATGATGCTGTGCAGAAAAGTTACCAATCGGACAGTTGCTGCTAACAAAGCAACTTCAGATTAAATCACCTTTTTTATTTTAACGATCATTTTTGATTGTAGAATCTGGCCATAACAACTACATTACCCAACATGCTGTGTGCATAAAACCCACCAATCAGACAGTTGCAGCATTTTTTATTATAGAATTTGGCTATAACAACTACATTACCCATGATGCTGTGCACAAAACCCACCAATCAGGCACTTACAGCATTTTTGATAGTAGAATTTGGCCATAACAACTACATTACCCATGATGCTGTGCAGAAAATCCATCAATCAGACAGTTGCTGCATTTTTGATTGTAGAATTTGGCCATAACAGCCACATTACCCATGATGCTTTGCAGAAAACCCACCAATCAGACAGTTGTAGCGTTTTAATGGTAGAATTGGGACACAACAACCACATTACCCATGATGCTGTGCAGAAAACCCACCAATTAGACAGTTGCAGCTAACATAGCACGTCAAGAGATCTTTAACTCCAAAAACTTCCATGAAGCACCCCAAAATATTTTCCAAAAAAGCTTAAAATATGGATAAAACAAACACCTTTAATTGAACAATTTTTTATTTCTTAATCGTTTTAATCTGATTATGTTTTGTGCAATGCTTTATGGGATTGTAGTTCTTTTTCTCATTTAACCTGTTCAGTATGTCTTGTACTTCTTCTCAGATTTGTAAGGTTGTGATTCACCTCAGATGATTAGACAGTTTTATTACTCAAAAAAATAAATATTTTTTAATCCCTATGGTAAAATGAACAGGCAAATACTTTCTGAAAAAGTGAACGTCAGCACTAGTCGTAAAATTGTTCTTTCATTAAATTCATGCAGCTTTAACGAAATGCATGAAACCAATAATCTCTGTGCATCGGGTGACTAATCCCAGTTTTGGTTACGCATTAACAAGACACATATGTATGTTAATTAACGTAGTCACCGTAGCTTTCAGATGCATCAACGACAGGGAACCAGGCATGTTGTTCAACGATAGACTAATATGAGTTTTTTTTTTCAGTGGCAGATAATCGATATCTAGTACCTAGTAATATGGACATGTACGTAAATAAGTGACTGAATGATGGCATATTACACTATATTTACTCAAAACCCACATACGATTGAACATATAAAATGTTTACTATCCATTAACATGGCTGTTGTTCGGTTTTTGGAGTTGATACAAGGAAATGTTAATTACTCTAGCTATGTGTCAGTAGTTTTCAGGCCGCTAATCTGAAATGATTTATTTTTTCCGTTTTGTTGACTGTTTGCTAATATCCACTCTCATGGTTACATTTAGTGCCATCAGGAATCTTTAAACCAACGAAATAAGCTTCATCTTTGAATTTGCTCTTGAACGAGCTGTCGATTTTGCCTTAGGTGTCATGTGTTCGGTCGACATTCCAAACGGAGTATCGATCGATCCCTTAACGATAATCATATGATGTAATTAATGACTGTGCAGTTTGTTCGTTATACACTTGCACATTTTACATTTTGCTTTGTATGTATTTGTGTGGCATATTTTAATCGCAATGAAGGCTTCCATTTAGTGATGGGAATTAGCATCTCGATCTTACGAGAAACTATTTTACATGTCATCAGAAAAGTGGCTAACTTGTACAAATTCGTACGGTTTCATTTGCATGAAAACATAAGATTTTTTTTTAAGTAGGAGTGGCCCCAAACCCCACCCAAAACTTATTCCTCATTGGGTGGAATTAGTGAATCTTATTAAAATGTACATATGAGATCGTACAAATTAATATGAATTAGCCACTACATCAAAAAGTTACGAATTGAGAATTGCGTTGGAATTAGTCTCAAATGTATTGTTCATAAATTGGGTAATATTACATTTGATTTAAATGGAGGAAGTGAAAATTAGTTTTGCTTCCATTCAGTGGTGAGAATTAGCAGCTCGATCTCACGAGGAACTATTTTACATGTCAGAAAAGAGGCTAATTCGTATAAATGCATACAATTTAATTTGTATGAAAACGTACAATTTTAAAAGAGTAGGTGTGGCCTCAAACCCCACCCCTAACCCTACCCGTCATTGGGTGGAATTATCGAATCTTATTAAAATTTACGAATTAGATCGTACAATTAATACAAAATAGCCACTACATCAAAAAGTTACGAATTTAGAATTGCGTTGGAATTCAAATGTCAAATGTATCTTTCGGAAATTGCATAATATTACATTTGATTTAAATGGAGGAAGTGGAAATTAGTTTTGATCTAAAAAATGCTTTTGTCTAACGCACCTTCGAAATCAGAGTCCCAACCAATGGCGTGAGTCGGGGGCGGGGCTATAACATGCTTCAGCACTGACAGTAAAGCTCAAATAGGAACCATTATTTTACCTCCATCACCCATTTTTCTCTTTATGAGGATCTTTATGGTCCCGTTTGCAAAGCTGTGAACTGAAAACAACTCCTCTTCTGTTATTCCCATATGTGTGCATGTTCTACTGTGTCCATGGTTTTACAAGAGGATGAGCACTCACTTTAGTTGACAATAAAGTTATGAGTTGACATATGGCCATTATAATGTACTTTTTCATTCTCTATAACTCACAAGGACGTTTGTTTTAACTTGTATATATTACACTGCCTTTTATCCTGTTTCCCCCCTTCTCTGTGGTCACATCTTTGATTCAAATATTCTATATATAATAAAAATAATTTATTATTCAAAAACGTGTTTAATATGAGATGGATTAGACTTTGTGACTCGATCAGACATTGAAAGAAAGCTCTTTCTGTTGCTGTTTGGCTCTCTGTTTTTGGTTTAATGGCTTAGAAACTACATAAATCTAGTGGTCATTTGTAGAAATGCCAAATAATTTTATTTTAATTTTGATCTGTTGTTCTCTTATTTTTTATGTACATTTTCTTAGACAATTTACAATGCTTAACATAAATGAGTGAAACCCCCTTTGAAAAGAGTTTTTTTCTTTTTAAATCCATTTCTCTGTGAATATTGACAATATATATTGCTGCATTTTTACAAAACAGGTTTAAAAAACACATATATACAGACAGACACACATATTTATTGACAAAAGTATGGTCACCTTGAGTCCAGGACAGGGGTGCCCAAACTCGGTCCTGGAGGGCCAGTGTCTGGCATATTTTAGTACCAACCACAATTAAACACACCTGAACCAGCTAATCAAGCTCTTTCTAGGTATATTAAAACTTCCAGGCAAGTGTCTTGAAGGAAGTTTGAGCAAATGCAGGACACCAGCCCTCCAGGACGGAGTTTGGACACCCCTAGTCTAGGATAATAGTAATATAGTAAATTTTAAAACTTTTAATACTATAATAAATTAAACTATACGCAATAGTCACATTTAATTGTACACATGTAATATTAATGGTAATATTTAATTTGTAATTTTTTTTTGGCAATCTTGATTAACTTTATACTGTTAACACATTTATTGGGGTGCACTTATTCTTTCTCAATGATCCTAAAAGTTTTTTTGTTTCAGTTTTGAATTTGGTATGTGAAACCATTAAAACAGATTTTCACAAAATATTATTGTACACATAATATTCCAGCAGGCACAGGATGTCAACATGACGTCAGATTGACGTTGTACCCCAGTGTCGGTTGATGTCAGAACTCAACGTCAGACCGATGTCAATGTCCAGCGTCCAACCTAAAATCAACCAAATATCAACGTCTAATGATGTTACAGCTTGATGTTGTGTGAACGTTACGACTGTAACGTCAATCAGACGTTGGATTTGGTTGCCATACCTGATGAATAAATGTCAGTATTTGATGTTAATATGATGTTGATTCAAGATGTTGACTCCACATTGGATTTTGGTCACTTTCCAACGCAACCTAAAATCAACAAAATAACGTCTAATGATGTTACAGCTTGACGTTGTGTGGACGTTACCACTATGACGTCTATCAGATGTTGGATGTCGGTTGCCATACCTGACGAATCAATGTCAGTATTTGCTGTCAATATGATGTTGATTTAAGATGTTGGCTCAATGTTGGATTTTGGTCACTTGTCAACCAAATATCAGCGTCATTTAATGTCGTTACTGGACGTCAAAATAACATTGTCCTTAGATGCTGGATAGACATTGAATTTTGTTCACCTGATGTCACAGCCTAAATCTAACCTAATATTAACTTCTTTCGACATTGTGTGCATGCTGGGATTAGTTTAAAAGTGAAATTGATATTTTTTTGAGAAACCTGTAGGGGTGTCCTCTTTTATGTTGAGCACTGTATATTTAATATGAATAGTTATTTATATAAATATTTTATTTAGTTTTTAAAGCTAGCTGCAAGTTGCATGACTAGGTGTGCCAACATGCCATTTAATGGATGCCAACTGTGAGGTGTTGTGTCAAACACAGCGTCTGGAATTATTAAACAACACACTGCCATTTGTATAAAATGTCTTGTCTTGTATACAGTATATATATGAATGCTACAAATCATTTTAAAGGACAGAAGAATCAACTGGTCAACATTGTCTTGCATAAAAAGTATTTCTGCAAACAAGATTTCTGATTAACCTTTTCACTCGTCCTCAAATTGTGGCCTTATATTTCAATGATACCACATATAATCATTGAATATAATGTATGTTCCCACCAAAATCCAATATTATTTTTGGGTGAACTTTAGAAATATGTACAAATCGTGCACAGGTTGTGGAAGATCTGGGATCATTTATTTGAATTCATAACATGTATAGTAAAAGAAAAGGTAAACAAGAAGGAATTAAATGAAAAAGTTAAAAACAAAGACACTGTGTTGGACTCAAATGGTGTTTTTTCCTCCGGAAATGTTAAAAATAAATATTTTCTGTGTTATCTTAAAATTTAGTGGCCTCAAAATATATTTGAACACTTTAAAATTAAACGTTCATGAAAGTCCATGTTCATTCATTCATTTTCCTTTAGCTTAGTCCGTTATTTATCAGGGATCGCCACAGGGGAATGAACCGCCAACTATTCCAGTACTACACTACAGCCGATTTCATTTACCCAATTCACCTATAGCGCATGTCTTTGAACTGTGGGGGAAACCAGAGCACCCGGAGGAAACCTACGGAGGAACATGGTAAACTCCTCAGAAATGCCAACTGGTCCAATCGGGAATCGAACCAGCGACCTTCATGCTGTGAGGCAACAGTGCTATCCACTGAGCGACCATGCCGCCCCAAAGTCCATGAACATCAACATACTGAAATAAAAGGCTCAGCAGCTTGACTGTGATCGCTTTTTAAAATATTAACCCGAATTAATGTGTAAAAAGTTTTGATATTTCGCATGGAATTAAATTGAAGGGTGCTCTTTGAGTGTTCGAGTGTATGTTTTGGGACCACTGTGTTCTCTGTATTTACATTTTTTGGAAAAGCCATATAGAAAGGAGTTAAAGTACTATCAGCAAGATAGGAAAAGCACGTGGCATTAAGCGGTACACTGAGTTCTTGGGTACGTCTTGATAAAAGGCTGGGATTATCCCTCATTTACTGTCCAGGTTATGTGGAGCCATTTACAGCACAGCTCTTCTGTCCGCCAGAGGAGTTTGTTTGAGAAGAGGAGCGAGACGAGGCTTCATCAGCGCTTTGAAAAAGATCCTTCAGTTTTGGATGAAGGTCACCCCACACATCACCCATCTGAAAAATAAAAAACACCAATCAAAATACAGCGTTCGACGACTAGAATAACCAGAAGTCTCAAAAGACTTGTTTGAAACGCACCTCTTTGTGGCCTTGTATTTGCGAGTTGACAAATGTGCCAAGTATTGAAGTTACGAGGGGCAGATTAGTGAAGACCAGCTGGGTTTCTTGATGCAGACACAAAAGGGAGAAATAGCTCCTCATCTCCATGGTGATAATTGTGTTTTCCTGCTGTAGGAAAAGAGATAGTTAGATTTTCATCAAGATACTGCAGCCTCAAATATAATTTGATTTGGCTCACGTCCCAATAGTTTACACGGAGGGATTTATGATTAATACTGCAGGCAGCCATTAGGGGGCACTCAAAATGTTTGAGTCCCATTTATTTACATGTAGAGGATGAAGTTTATGAGCTATATTACTGCCATCCACCAGGGGGTGCACAAAATATTCTAATTTGGCATTGTGTAATTTAGCGTTTCTCAACCACGTTCCTGGAGGACCACCAGCACTGCACTTTTTCTGAGTCTCCTTAATCAAATACAGCTGATTTAGATCATCGGCTCATTAGCAGAGACTGAAAGATCTAAAATGGGTGTGACAGACAAAGGAGACATCCAAAACATGCAGTGCTGGTGGTCCTCCAGTAACATGATTAAGAAACAGTGGTCCAATTCATACCTGGCAACATTTTAGGGGAGTGCGGTGGCAACGTGTGTTTGTCTCTGAATAACAAAGTTGAAAACCGGGTTAGTAACTGCACTCTACTGTTTTGTTAGTTACTGTACGATGGACCGGGTTTCGGATGGCCAATGCAATCGGATACTATTCCAAGGATGGCGCCCCGAGGGTGTCACAGACTGTACCAAAAATCTAAAAAGCTGAGGACCGGGAGCGGGGTGAAATTACATGAGTTTTCTGTGAGAAATGATGGGTCTAAAATATGGGAGACTCCTTGGAAAACCGGGATTGTTGGCAGGTATGGTCTAATTGTTTTATATGAAGAGAATGGGATTTATGAGCAATACTACAGGCAGCCACTATAGGGGAGTATTTAAAATGGAGAAGGCGGGGTTTATGACCTGTAGCCAACCATAAAGGGGTACTCAAAATATTTTGCCTTCCCTTTTCAGGATGTGTGAAGCACGCTTCATATAAGCAGTTGCTTAATCTTGTGCTCATTAAAATGCTGTTTGAATCTAAGTGTATATGTGCTTTTCTTAAATATGTATTTACTTTAAGGTTATTTGATCATTTTTGATTAATGATAATCGGATAAAAGTTTTCACCTTCAAGTTTAATATGGTACAAGAATTTTAAATATTGCCATTCCGGCTTTTATTTTTTTTAATCTAAATTTTTTATAAGGGGTTCCATACTTTTTTAGATGCTTTAAATTTCCATGACTTGTTAATGACCTTTCCAGTCATTCTTAGTCACTGGATTGAATGACTTGTAATCATTTGAAAAGCATTTGCATTTAATTTGACTATTGTGTCCTGCTTTTTTTGGCATCTTTTACAGCACCTTGAGTGCACATTGAAGTCAGACACTAGTTCCCCACATCATGCACTGCTAAAGAAGCAACATGTAATCTGGCAATACAAAAAGAATTGTTGAGCAGGGCCAAACAATCTCCAGACATTTTATATTACTATTTCTGTTTTGCTTAAGCTAGTAAAAAAAATCTGCAGATTTATGCGCAATTGTTTTAACTGTAGGAGCTGATATCTGAACACATAAAATATCCAACCACTTGTTCGATAAGCACAACAACGTGTCTTTTGTATAATACATTGACTAAAAGAAAATGTTATTAATTTTATTGTACTTAAATACTTGCAATAAATAAATAAATAGACTGAATGATAGGTTTAAAATCGGTGGGTATAGATTCTGTGTGGGCCTATTGATGAGTCAAAGTCACATAATCTGACAAAGTGACTGTCAGAACAAAGAGATATTTTCATTTTTTAGATTTAAAGTGAATAATTATACTGCTTTGTACAAAATGTAAAATAAGTCTTTGATTTTTAGTGTGTATGTGAAGTTTCAGCTCAAAACATGAAACAAATAAAGTTTTATAACTCTTTGAAACTGCCCTTTAAGGCCTTGATCCTTACTATGCCATTTCGGTGACTGTCGCTTTAAATTCAAATGAGATTGTGCTCTTTTTAAAAGAGGGCGGCGCTACAAATGCCTATGTGTCAGCATAGTAGCATATTCAAAAACAAGTCTATCATCCTATGCTAATGAAGGAGAGATTGTTATTAATGGGCAGGGCTTTCGCCCACTGTTGACACACACAATCGGAGAATGTCAATCAAAGTGTTTCTTCGGTCTATTATAAAAAATAAAATGAATACATTTTAATCATTAGAAGCTGGTAATATTCACAGACTATTGCCACACAACTGTGTTTAAACCCCTTATAAAAGTGACTTTTGCATTATAGATCCCCATTAGTCTACACATACAGTTGAAGTCAGAATTATTAGCCCCCCCTTTGAATTAGTTTTTCTTTTTTAAGTATTTTCCAAATGATGTTTAACAGAGCAAGGAATTTTTTACAGTATGTCAGATAAAATTTTTTATTTTGGAGAAAGTCTAAACTGTTTTATTTCGACTAAAATAAATGCAGTTTTTTATTTTTTAAAACCCATTTTAAGGTCAAAATTATTAGCCCCCTTTAAGCTACATATTATTTCAATAGTCTACAGAACAAACCATCGTTATACAATAACTTGCCTAATTACCCTAACCAGCCTAGTTAACCTAATTAACCTAGTTCAGCCTTTAAATGTCACTTTAAGCTGTATAGAAGTGTTTTGAAAAGTATCTAGTCAAATATTATTTACTGTCATCATGACAAAGATTAAATAAATCAGTAATTAGAAATAAGTTATATTTTTATACAACAAGTGTATTGAAAAAAATCTCTCCGTTAAACAGAAATTGGGTAAAAAAAATAAATAAACAGTGGCTAATAATTCAGGGGGGCTAATAATTCTGACTTCAACTGTATGTATAGCTTTGTCTGCTTAAGTGTGTGTGTACAGTATTTGTTACCTGTGAGAGTCGAGACTCTGGCTGCTCAATGCTGTTCTGGTACTTTAAATGTGTACCCACAGGCCCGCTGCGCTTTTCAAACGCTCTCTGATGCTCTAATAACACACCGCTATCATGTCGATCACACAAGTCCTACAAACACAAACACATAAATACATATATATAATAGCACTGCTATGTTGTTTATATTGTATTGTTAAAGTATAAAACATCAGTACTCCAAAATAGTGTATGACTGAACTCCTAAGTTACTCCATCTTATATAGTTATTTTGCATGTGCCTCTTTAACATTAATTATCAGAGACAGTGCTCACTTTATATGACTGCAGCTGTTCAAGAAGAAGGTTGAGTTTCTCCACCACTTCATCCTCTTCTCTGGTGCCCTGGTGTGGAAAAGGGGTTTGAAATAGTCAGTTTAATTTCCAGAACAGAATTCCCTCAGAAACTGAAATGACGGTCACATTATTGTGGGTGTCAGATTATTCCAGTGATCTGCGGACTATGTGCAGTGGTGTTTGTGATTGTATTAATGCAGTAATGCTCCTGTTTTAATACCTGGTGTGCAGCTTTGTCTGCGAGAAGACCAAACTCTCCTGACAGCTCTACTAGTGACTTCCTCTGTGTTTTCCAGGCTTTGCTCACTATTGCGTCCTCTGGCAGGTCTGATGTGTCTGAACCCAGTTCACTGTAGATAAATCCAGTAATACCTTCATCACACTTCATTTTTAACATAATAATGATGCATTGATGACATTGATTATTTCGGAGATGTCCACCTATAGGTCATGACTGGCGCTCATCACTCGTGTATCCAACGAGGGCAGCATTTCCTCAGCTAGACATACTGAAATTTGCCCCTGACTTAACGCCCCCTAGCTAATTTGTAATTGCACATTTCAATCAAGTTGGATTTAATCAATATGTTCTCTTTTTGAAATTATTAAAAAATAAAAGCTAAATTCTTAAAATAAAATGGATTAGATTTTATTACAGACATATTAAAATAATTTCAAAGCCAAAAATGCCCTAAAATCAAAATCAGGAAAATAATTTTGTTAAATAAAGTGCACATATTAATATTAATGAAATCTTCAAGGCCACAAATGACTTTTTACAGTGTACACACTACTCATCTTGCTAATTAAAAAAAAATCATGTTTTTAGTCAACTAAATCTAATTATATTATGTTATATTATTGTTTAATTCTATAATTTTACACATATATATATATATATATATATATATATATATATATATATATATATATATATATATATATATATTTTTTTTTTTTTTTTTTTTTTTTTTATCTAATATATATATATCTAATCTCATTCCAGAATTGTGGTTACATTTTAAGAATTTTCCATTAATTTCCCTTGGGATGAGATACAACAAATGTATAATTTACACTAAATTAACTTTTATTAACGTAAAATAATGCAAAATGTTTAATTTGATAGGATTTGTAACTTATTAAACGTACTGTCACACTGTTTCAAACATAACACAGTTGATATTTTCCACCATTTTGTGCTTTAGCTCAAGATACTAACCTCAAAGAAGATGCCACATGCCATGTCTAAAAACAGAATTTGATGTGTTTTCATCATATTATTATATATTTTAAATAAGAAACTTACTAAAACAACCCCGGCTGGGTCAGTAGGCATTTCTGTGTGGAGCTTGCATGTTCTCCCTGTGTTTATGTGGGTTTCCTCTAGGTGCTCTGTTTCCCCCACAGTCCAAAGGCATGCGCTATAGATGAATTGAATAAGCTAAATTGGCTTTAGTGTATGTGTGTGAATGAGTGTGTATGGGTGTTTTCTAGTACTGGGTTGCAGCTTAAAGGGCATCCGCTGCGTAAAACATGCCATATAAGTTGGCGGTTCATTCAGCTGTGGTGACCCCAGATTAATCAAAGGACTAAGCCGAAGGAAAATGAATGAATTAATTTACGGAAACATCACTAGTACATAAGTTATTGAAGGCTGCTATTGGTGTATCCTAAACATTATGTAAAAGTAATAAAAGAGTAATGACGTGACTCAATATCTTCCAGAATTTCCCGCCAGAGGAAGTGACATCACTTAGATGTTACACATACAAACATTAGGTATTGTTTTAGATAATGTCCTATAACTTGTGTTATTATTCAAAACTTTTTGATTAGAAACATAATTTAGGTTTATCTTAGAGACTCAAGAAGCAATTCTAAAGTAATTCAGTGTTTCTCAACCACGTTTCTGGAGGACCACCATTTTCCATGTCTCCTTAGCCAAACACAGCTGATTGAGATCATCAGCTCATTAGCAGAGACCGAAAGACCTGTAATGAGTGTGACAGACAAAGGAGACATCAAAAACATGCAGTCTTGGTGAACCTCCAGGAATGTGGTTGAGAAACACTGTTGTAGATAATGAATATGACATCTACAGACTGCAGTGTTTTTCACCTCAGGTCTTTCCCAAACATGAGCAGGTCTGTGGAGTTCTCCCGCGAGCGCTGCGCCATCCGCTCCGCCACATCTCTGAGCTTGTAGAAGCTGCTGTGGATGCTGGCGATCACCTCTCGGTTGGCGGCCGCCTGGCTCTGGATGTCCTCGGGCAGGTACACCTTGAAAATCACAGTTGAAGTGAGAGTTATTAGCCCTCCGTTTCATTTGTTTTTCTTTTTAAAATATTTCCCAAATGATGTTTAACAAAGCAAAGAAATTTTCACAGTATGCCTGATCATATTTTTTCTTCTGTAGAAAGTCTTATTTGTTTTTTATTTTGGCTAGAGTAAAAGCAGGTTTTAATTTTTAAAAAACATTTTAAGGCTATATATTTTTCGATAGGCCACAGAACAAACCATCGTTATATAATAACTTGCCTGATTACTCTAACCTGCCTAATTAACCTAGTTAAGCCTTTAAATGTCACTTTAAGCTATAGAAGTGTTTTAAAATATCTAGTCAAATATAATTTACTGTCATCATGGCAAATATCAAAATGAGTTATTAAAAATCAGTTATTAAAACTATTCTGTTTAGAAATGTGTTGAAAAATCTTCCATCAATCTGTTTAATCTCTCCGTTTAACAGAAATTGGGAAAAAGAATAAACAGGGGGGCTAATAACTCTGACTTTATGTAGAAGAGGCTAGCTATAAGTGCTGTGCAGGTAAACCTCACTCCTCTGACCTCTAAAGGTGCTCTAGCGTCAGACGCTTGAGGTCATGGTCTTTAGCCTCCTTGAGAGCACCTGACTCCCATGCGAAAGGTCGCCAGTTCGATACCAGCATGAAGCGGGTTGGGTGGCGTAGGACTGGCCGGGTTACATTTACATTTCACTCTCCTACTTTACATTTATGCCTAATGTACTGTGGTGATACACAACGTCTCAATAACATGTTTTTTCTTTCCAAATGATATGTGACATGGACAACAAAACCTCTCATAAAGCTACATTTTTGGAAATTAAGATGTTAACATAATTCGAAATCTATCTAAGCTTTCCATTGATGTACAGTTAAAGTCAGAATTATTAGCCCCCTTTTGATTTTTTTTTTTTTAATATTTCCCAAATGATGTTTGACAGAGCAAGGAAATTTTCACAGTATGTCTGATAATATTTTATCTTCTAGAAAAAGTCTTATTTGTTTTATTTCCGCTAGAATAAAAGCAGTTTTGAATTTTTTAAAAACTATTTTTGGGGCTAAATTATTAGCCCCTTTAAGCAATTTTTTTTTCCGATAGTCTACAGAACAAACGATCGTTATAGAATAACTTGCCTAATTACCCTAACCTGCCTAGTAAAATATTACTTAATGTCATCATGGCAAAGATTAAATAAATCAGTTATTAGAAATAAGTTTTTAAAACTATTATGCTTAGAAATGTGCTGAAACAATCTTCCCTCCATTAAACAGAAATTGGGGAAAAAAAAATAAACAGGGGCGCTAATAATTCTGACTTCAACTGTATGTCCGGGATTTTGGATGAATAGAAATCTCAGTTATCAAAATGAGAAAATTTTCCAGATTAAGTTCTTACACAGTAAAATCAAAAAAGTTAAGATAATTCAAACCATATAAGGGAACCGATTGCAACAAACCATTTAAGTTCAAAAACTAATCCTAATGAGTACTGTGAACTTAATCCATTTTAGTAAACCAAGCAACGTGAGCACAGTAAATCCAGATAAATGAAGAGAACTCAAACCATCTGTGTACTGTGAAACCCAATACGTTAAGGCAAGTCAAACCGTTTGAGGAAACCTATTGCTACAAACCATTTGAGTTAAAAAATTATTTATATGAAAAATGTGAACTTACTAAATTTAAGTTAAAATAATGAGGAATTTCATTAACTCATTACCTTCAACACTGAGTTCAAAACTCTTTTCAAATATGTAGAATTAACTTTCAGTCAATTTTGAGTTAACTACACTCATTTCATTTGATAAAGTTGACTGTTGGGTTTTACAGTGTAGTGATATTAAGCTACTAAAATAATATTTGATGGAATTAATTTAGAAAGTGTCTTTATGGAACAATATATCATCCTAATGATTTTTTAGCATAAAATAAATGCTTTTACTCACCTTGCCATGCAAAGCAATCTGGGAGATGAGAAACTCATCACCTGTCTTTTTATATGAATCACGCAGTTTGTTTTGGACATCCTGTAACATACAAATAGAAAGTAACATGATGAACTCCTGTTTTAATATTCAACAAATATTCAAACGCAAACAAACTTAGTCGTCTAAAGTTGGATTACTGTCCCCCCTCTGCTGGCTGACAGGACTTACTGCACTGCTGGCTGACAGAAAAATGTTGACCAGCTGATCTCCGGCCAGGACTGGATGTCTAATCACCAGGGTCATGAACCTCTGTAAACCACGACGGCGACTGTCATTAAACTCTCTGTCTGATAGTGAGTTCAAAACTAAGAATTGGGAGGAAGAGAGAGGGGGTGGGGATTTAGTTGTTTGAAAACTAATAAGACCTAAGAAAACAAGCTCAACTGGAGAGAAATTTGTTCAAAGCTCACCGCCTTTAAGGATGCGCTTTGGCGGCAGAGGTGGGACCATCCTGTAGATGAACTTTTGCAGGAGCAAACCGTGAAACACCTCGAAATCACTGTACCTGCGCTGAACCGGGATCTGGAAACACTGCCAAATAAGTACACATATAAGTTGGTCAAGAAATGGTCTGTTTTAGTGTCCTCAAAAAGATTAATTCAATAAATGACTTTATACAGCCACTTCAAGGTTTTAAATATCAAATTACTTTATACATATAAAACAGCAGGCGACGCAGTGCACCGTAGGTAGTGTTGTCGATCCCAGTTTACTAAAGGGGCTAAGCCGAAAAGAAAATAAATTAATGAACATAAAACAGCTACTTCAAAATTTTAAATATCAAATTACTTTATATAAAGTAGCTAATTCAAGATTTTAAGTATCTGATTACTTTATATACACATATAAAACAGCTACATTACGGTTTTAAATATCAAATTACAATAAACAGCTACTTCAAGATTTTAAACATCAAATTACTTTATTAAACAGCTACTTCAAGATTTTAAACATCAAATTACTTTATATATACATATAAAACAGCTACTTCAAGATTTTAAATATCAAATTACTTTATATAAAACAGCTACTTCAAGATTTTAAATATCAAATTACTTTATATACACATATAAAACAGCTACTTCAAGATTTTAAACATCAAATTACTTTATATACACATATAAAACAGCTACTTCAAGATTTTAAATATCAAATTACTTTATATACACATATAAAACAGCTACTTCAAGATTTTAAACATCAAATTACTTTATATACACATATAAAACAGCTACTTCAAGATTTTAAATATCAAATTACTTTATATACACATATAAAACAGCTACTTCAAGATTTTAAACATCAAATTACTTTATATACACATATAAAACAGCTACTTCAAGATTTTAAATATCAAATTACTTTATATACACATATAAAACAGCTACTTCAAGATTTTAAATATCAAATTACTTTATATACACATATAAAACCGCTACTTTAAGGTTTTAAATATCAAATTACTTTATATAAAACAGCTAATTTAAGATTTTAAGTATCTGATTACTTTATATACACATATAAAACAGCTACATTACGGTTTTAAATATCAAATTACTTTATATAAAACAGATACTTCAAGGTTTTAAATATCTTTTAAAAAATAAAACATCATAATTTGTTTGAAATAATGTTAACTACTACAAACAAACTACAAAACTATCATTACTTACATCATTATTACACAAACAAACATGTAAAAAGATCAAACATAAAGTTAGAAATAGATTTCATATACAGTCAAGCCTGAAATGGCTTATGAATCATTTTGGGCTTGACTGTATAAATTAAAATGACCAAAGGTACTGCTCATGCAGTTTGTTAGAGGTCGTTCAGTGTAACAGTCACAAAAAGCCATTTTAAAAGCAAATAAAAAGCGGATATTTGGCAGTCTCTGAGGTTAAAAAAGTGCACTGAGGACCATGCTGTGCCCAAAAAGAAATTTTAATTTTTATGGTGTTACAAAATAAGTTGCTAAACAATTGTTTATGGTTAAATGTGTCTTAAAATAAGTAAATGTGAATAATAGTGATTAACTTTACTCGTCTCTGCTCAACTTTACTGTCAGTGCAATGTTTTTGTATTTCATTCATTCATTCATTTTCCTTCGGCATAGTCCCTTTATTCATCAGGAAATGAACCACCAACTTATCCAGCATATGTTTTACACAGCGGACACCCTTCCAGCTGCAACCCAGTACTGGGAAGCACCCATGCACACATACACTACAGCCAATTTAGCTTATTCAATTCACCTATACCATATGTCTTTGTACAGTGTGGGAAACCGGAGTACAGAAATGCCATCTGACCCAGCTGGGAGTCGAACCAGCGACCTTCTTGCTGTGAGGCGACAGTGCTAACAGTCCATCTCACTGAATTAAAGTATTGCTTTAAAAAAGCTCTTTTTGTTATTAGAAATGAAATTGAGTGTACCTTGCTAACAATGCGATACTCCACATGTTTGAGAAAGGGCAGGCCTTTCCTCCGGGGCTCGATCTCCACCAGCACACTGTCCCCCAGCTCTTTTAAGGAGAGCCCATCCATCAGAGGGCCTTGCTGACCCAGATGCATCTTCAGCAAACACTGGTAGCAAACAGACGAAAGGTCCAGTCAAAAGTGTGCACATTATACAATGACTTTCAGGAGAGTCAATACAAAAGTTAATGAAAATTCCTAGCATTTTTAATAGTAAGAAATGTGTCTTTTTGTATATGCGTATGCAGTTGGTTTACATAATTTTACAATAAATAGACTCCCATTCAGATGTTTTTATTTAGACAATAACATGTTTTGTTAAATTAAGGATGCGATCAAATGAACAAAATCAACAGGAAATTGATTTCAAATATTTACACTCACAAGCCACTTTATTAGGTACACCTGTCCAACTGCTCGTTAATGCAAATTTCTAATCAGCCAATCACATGGCAGCAACTCAATGCATTTAGGCATGTAGACATGCTCAAGACGATCTGCTGCAGTTCAAAATGAGCATCAGAATAGGGAAGAAATTAAGGTGATTTAAGTGACTTTGAACATGGCATGCTTGTTGGTGCCAGACGGGCTGGTCTGAGTATTTCAGAAACTGATGATCTACTAGGATTTTAACACACAACCATCTCTAGAGTTAACAGAGAATGGTCACAAAAAGAGAAAATATCCAGTGAGCAGCAGTTCTGTTTATGCCAGAGGTCAGAGGAGAATGGCCAGACTGATAGAAAGGCAACAGTAACTCAAATAAGCACTCGTTACAACTGAGGTCTGCAGAAGAGCATCTGTGAACACACAACACGTCAAACCTTGAGTTGGATGGGCTACAGCAGCAGAAGACCACACCGGGTGCCACTCCTGTCAACTAAGAACAGGAAACTGAGGCTACAATTCACACAGGCTCACCAAAATTGGACAATAGAAGATTGGAAAAACGTTGCCTGATTTGATGAGTCTAGATTTCTGCTGCAAAATACGAATGGTAGGGTCAGAATTTGGCATCAACAACATGAAAGCATGAATCCATGCTGCCTTATTTCAACGGTTCAGGCAGGTGCTGGTGGTGTAATGGTGTGGGGGATATTTTCTTGGCACACTTTGGGCCCATTAGTACCAACTGAGCATTGTGACAACGTCACAGCCAAGTATTGTTGCTGACCATATCCGTTCCTTTATGACCACAGTACCCATCTTCTGATGGCTACTTCCAGCAGAATAACGCACCATGTCAAAGTGTGAATCATCTCAGACTGGTTTCTTGAACATGACAATGAGTTCACTGTACTCAAATGGCTTCCACAGTCAGCAGAACTTAATCCAATAGAGCAACTTTGGGGTGTGGTGAAACTGGAGATTCGAATTATGGATGTGCAGCCGACAAATCTGCAGTAATTGCGTGATGCTATCATGTCAATATGAACCAAAACCTGAGGAATATTTCCAGTACCTTGTTGAATCTATGCCAAGAAGGATTAAGGCAGTTCTGAAGGCAAAAGGGGGTCCAACCCGGTAGCTAACAAATAGCCGATGAGTGTATACCTTAATCTAATTCTGCTCTTTTGAACTTTACATTAATCGCACATCAATAAAGCATGCATTAACTGAAACATACGTTAATAAGCAATAAAATATTGATAAATGATTAATAAAAACTTCTTGAGCCCCAAATCAGCATGATGATTATGATGTCTGAAGCATCATGTGACACTGAAAATGTCATCACAAGAATTAACGTCATTTTAAAATATATTAAAATAGCAGATATATATTTTAAATACACTGTAAAAAATTTCCAGGTTTTCACAACAAGTTACTGTAATTTTTCACAGTAAATTACATTAGTATCCCTTCACAGTATTTAACTGAAAAATTCACAGTAATATGTTGTATTCATAATTTTATTGTGAAATTACGGCAGGTAGCATGATTACAGCAAATTACTGTGAAAAGGGCTATATCTTTTGCACGTTAGTTATGGAAATTCAACCCTTTTTTAACTCAACGTAGAAATTAATACAAATTAACTTTTAACAGATAATAACAGAATGTTATAGCCCCCAAAACGATTTGATTACCAACATCTTTTTGGTTGTACTGCACCTTTATTTAATTTTATACATTTAACATAGAATAGGAAATAATATTTAATGAACAACTGTGTGCTTAGCCAAAACATAATAAACTGGAATAAAAAGTAATTAATTAATGAAACCAAAGACTGTTAAACAGCCAACAATTATTTCAATGTCAGAGTAAATGTCTGCTTTAGACGGTTTCATTAGTATTGGTCACCTGTCATCGCCTGGAGGTCACTAATCTCAGAATTAAATATATATATATAATTTTTTTTTTTATCTATATAAATAAACCACAGATTAGAGTTTTAAACAACTACATTCTAGCATGAAAAACAGTTAAAACTTCATTTTCGGACGCATATAGAGCCATTGAAGACGGGACAATTGTCCCAATGTCTAGCCTGAAGACAGGCGCCTCTCGACGGATACATGAGTAATGAGCGCCGTTACCGCCTGGAGGTCATAGATCTCCGCTACCGGCAAAACACACTTAAAATTACACACAATCTTTACTAACAATCCACAGATTTGAGTTTTGAAGAACTACATTCTCGCATGAAAAAGTGTTAAAACTTTATTTCATTACATATTACAAGCAATATTTATAATATTATGTGCCTTCTCATCCACCATTACAGCTTGATGCAGCTTGGTGCGAAATGAATCCTGGGAGGAAAAAATAATAATTCTCAATACACTCCAAATGAACTTTATTCTTATTGTTAAAGTCAGAGATATGTAATATTTTGAATGGCGAAGAAAATAATTAACTTTATATTTCAATCCATATATTACTTTTGCACTGCTTCGGTTCAGGACTCGTGTGACATTGAATCAGATTCAGATATTTTATCAGACGTGTTCATGAGCTCATAGTCATCAACAAGCAATTCGTGTACAAGCAGTACACGAACCAAGCAATATGATGAAATATTAATGAATTATATGTTTTCGTCTTACAATATTATACAAAACGGAATCGTTTTCAGGCGAATTCGACTCTTTACTGTTCACTTAAAGGAGCCGAATTCGACTCTTTACTGTTCACTTAAAGGAGCCGATTCATGGAACAGAACTGACTCGACTCGACCGCAAACAAGCGCTATCACCATGCCTGCGTCGTCTCTTCACCCAACGGATTTATCCTCGGTAAGTGTTAAAATGTGACTTTTGTCCGTTAAATGATTGTTGTATGTGTATTTCTGTATAGTGCATGTCATTTAACAGGAATTTACCGAGTACTTTAGTTGTACTCGCACGTACAGGGTTTAAGCGCGCCTTTTTTTAAAACAAGAAATTAACGACGCCAGATGGTGATTGTAGTGTTTTCTGAGGTATTAGCATAACGTTAACGTTAGTTACTGAAAAAAGAAAGGGAATTTTCTTTAATTAACTTCTTGTTAACTGCATTTTCTGTTTCAGTACAAGATTGAAGTAAAGGTGAAATGACTAAAGTTAAGGTAAGCTCTGACCTTCACTTAAGTTAACGTTACGGTTAGTCACCATCATGTATGTTAATTTTGTTCACTGTAACGTTAACGTTAAGTTAGTTAGTTAAATAAACTAAACTCATTATGAAACAAGTCTTAATTGTTTTATTAAATGAGGCTTATAATAAAATTCTGTTGTATTCTTTTAAACTAACACTAACACAGTACATATTGTATATTTCTCACTGGTGTTAATGCAGTGCTAACATTTACTAATGAGAACTAATTGTATATTGTCACTAACTGTAGATTTTATTTTTTGGTGTTCAGGTGTACCTAATAATAGCTGAAGTGTGAGGTGAGTGTAAATTCTGAGCACACAAATATAACCTAAATTCATTATCACAATCTAAACCTATATATATATATATATATATATATATATATATATATATATATATATATATATATATATATAGAGAGAGAGAGAGAGAGAGAGAGTATGTGTGTGTGCGTGTGTTAGGTTGAGTCTTATTCTACTCTTATTCATATTTTTTTGCAGCCACAGCCACTGATGTTGAAACACTGATGCTACCAATCACCCCTCGCTTGATTATTAAAGGTAATGTTGATGCCTTCCTCATTTTTATTAGATTTTTAAATGTCAGGTTTTTCACAGATTTGTTGTGAGCAGTTTCTTGTACAAACTCTTTTTCTTCTTCCAGAAGTTCCACCAGTACCTCCAGTAGTAGTAAATATTAGACAAAGATTTTTTTAAACTATAGTTTTTATTTTTATTAGCAATTTTACTGGGCATGTGTGTTTGTTTGCTTGGTTTTTAATAGGCAGAGCATGGAATGTCAACTTTGTTTCTACAAACAAATTTAATTATTCACAAACACCTCTAATTTAGTCCTTCTTTCCCCCTTTTAGTCTTATTCCTTGGAGGGTCGAGTGGTCATGGGACCTCACCTAGATTTCACAACTGACTTTGGATCTGGTCTGAAACTGAAGTATGCTGAAGATGCCTTTTGCACTCTGGAATTTAAGGTAATGTCTACAATAAATATTGTAACTGAGGGCTTGTTTTCGGGGGGTTAAACAAGGAATGTATAGGAGCACAAGTCATGACTCCCCTTGTCCCCTTGTTATAAAGGGCCGTGTTGCAGACTCAATTTGTTTGTCTGTGCTGGAGACCAGAAGGGAAGCTGTCTTTAAAAGGATGGGGCTCTTATACCATATGTGAAGTTACCTATTCAGGTGAGTGGATTACATGCAAGTCATTGCAAATGCATAAATAGTGGGAAATTTTTACTGGGCAGCACAAATTAAGTGAAACTCAAAACGTTGAAAAATATTTGGAATTTTTGCAAAAAACTTGATTGAAATAAATACAACACAAGTGCTGTATCACTTCAATCAAGTTTTTTTTGCAAAATTTTCCTAATATTAAATCATGAAAAATTAGCTTGATGCAAGAAACATCCTGCTAGTATTCAAGAGCAAGTACTGTGATGCATGTGTTAACTTTGCAATAAGTGTGAACCCAGCATTAGATTATAGACTGTAAACAGAAGGTGTAAATCAAATCAACTGTTTTAAAATGCTCTGCCGAGGTCATTAAAACCACTATTTGTTGTTGGACTGTTCTTGATTGTGTGTTTGTGATGGAAATGTTTTTCAGATGTTTTCGTTTAAATGATTGCAGTTTGACTGAGCTACAGTATTGTCAGCATGTTCAAACTAAGCTAACAGTAATTTTGCTCTGTAGTGTCCCAGTAGTGTTGTATAAAGCTAACTGTTTGTCTGCCCTTTTGCTTATAGGTGCTTTTTGGGCTCCAGTTTGGAGATCGAAGACAGACGAAGTCAAAGAAGCAGAGAAGACACATTACCAGCAAGTGTGTAAAATTATCAGGAAAATGATTGACCTTGAATAGACGACTGCCTAATTTAGCAAAATGTTTTCTCTCTCTCTCTCATGTGTGTATATATATATATATAATGATATGTATATCATATAATATGATGTGTATATCATATAATGAGAGAGAGAGCGCACTCTGAAGCACTGATTTTTATATGTATGCTACATATGATGTCAGATTTTTTTATTAATATGTTCTTGTAGTATTTTTTGAGGCTTCACCTTCACCTTTTGAAAGTTTTCTGAAATGTTTACACAGATGTCATTGAGCTGTTAAATAAATCTGTAAAATGTATATGTGTTTCTTTTTATTTTGATTTTAGAGTCTTCTCAGATCACCCAAAAATTAAGATTCTGTCGTCATTTACGCATCCTCAGGTTGTTTGGACGAAACGTGGAATATTTGATATTTTTATTCCTGTGTTTAACAAAAAAAATCATTTTTAACAGAGCTGGAACAACCTGAGGGTGAGTAAATCAAGATAGAATTTTCATTTTTGTGTGACCTAAAATTGCTTTGAAATTTTACAGCACCACACTGTTAAATTACAGTAATCCGGGATATGACTGTAACTTTACAGTTAAATCAGGTATTTAAACTGCAACCTACTGCTAAATCACAGTAATCGTTTTGCAAATTCACAGTAAAATATAGTTAATTCTACAAGATAATACTGTGAAATCACAGCAACAGACTTTATTATCTACTGTAAAGTTACAATAAATGGTTGTAATTTCACAATAATTTAATGTGACAAAACCACAGTAAATTACTGTGAACTACCTCACAATAATTTACTGTGAATTTACATACAGTAATTTACTGTGAAAGTAATGCAATTATTAGCCAGTAATTTACTGTGAATTTAAGGTCAAATTTTTTACAGTGTAGTAATAATAATTCATAATGTGCATATTTTTACTATATTTTTAATTTAATAAATGCATGGCGAGCATAAGAGACTTATGTCCATTCTGGCATTAACTGAAATGGCTTCTTTTGCTTCACATTTATCCACACCAGAACGATTTGAATTTCTCAATAATAGTGGCTGATTAAGTAAAAAAATTCAATATCCATTTGTATTATATAACACTCAAGCAAATTACTAAAAACATACAGCAGAATATTGTGATGGATTTAGAGTCATCCCCAATATGGTTTAAGTGAAGCGTTTTTAATCTTCAGCAGAACAAAGTGACCTATTTCACATCAGATAGCAAAAGTCGCTTTGGATAAAAGCGTCTGCTAAATGACTAAATGTAAATATAAATGTAAAAGCGATGCTTAAAATGAACATTTCTGACGTAAATAACCATGGGGTATTTGATATTAATGTGCATACGCCTATAGGTACACGTTAATTAATAACTTTTGTTATTCATCACCATACGTTGTACTATTTGTCATTCATTCTATATAGATATAATGCAAACACAATATCAGTACGTTCTGTCCGTCTCTCGCGTCTCGGTGTGTAAGTACATGCTGTAGGGTTGTAAGCTGCTGGTAAAAATAGGTTTTGTTACCTTGTCACTGGAGCAATAGGTGATCTCAGGTGATCTTCAAGTTGATGTGCTCTGATGAGGGTAAAAAAGGGTTTAAAATTGATATTATAATTCACATTTAGCTATATCTATGACAAAACTGACTATTATGTATATGTGTCTTTTTGTATATATACTAAATAAATTTTTAATAGTGTTTATTATTAATGATACAGCCTTTTTTTTGTCCCTATATATATATATATATATATATATATAAATATATATATATATATATATATATATATATATATATATATATATATATATATATATATATACACACACACACACACACACACACACACACACACACACAAACACACACACACACATACATTTATGTCTACACACACATATATAGACGAAAAAGGCTTTATCATTAGTTTTGAACATCATTAAAGTATATAAATTTAAATATACATATAAATATAAAATATTTAAATGTACATATATTTTTTAAATTTTTGATTAAAAATGTGTCTCTATTAAAACAAGCATGTCACAAACATGTCTAAAAAAGGAAAATAAAAGTAATATTTTAAATTAATGTAGACACAATGCACAAATAAAACAATTCCTCTATTCGTCAAACACACAAGCTGACTTGAGATTGTAAAGTTTCTTCGCTGCTTACCAGATTGCCAATGTGTTCAGTGTTCGTTTCACTCAGTGATTCCCAAGGGACCTTTGTTTAGACCCGATCTGATCTCTTCACGCTCAACATCTGACTGCGGCTGTAAAGACTAACAAATCAGATAACAGTCTCTCTCTCTCTCTCTCTCTCTCTCTCTCTCTCTCTCTCTCTCTCTCCATCACTGCTCTTTCCCTCCCTCTTCGCATCCCTCAACACATATTACCATTAATCACCTTAAGAGGATAGGACCTCTTTAAAAAAAAAACATCACAGCCTTGGAAGGCAAGCTGGAATTAAAGCTTATGTAACTGTGTTATAATAATGAGAATGGCTCTGCACAAGATTTAGGGTATTTGTACAGACTTTAAAAGCTTTGCAACAGAGCTGCTTGATGACTAGAAACAAGCAAGAGAGGGTGATTCAGGACACTTACACGTTCATTACAGTTTCATTGATGGAAAAGAAGAGCATAGCTGAACATTGTTTTAAGGAAATTATTAAAGCAATATTAACAGGTGGCTTTTAATACACTCTTGTAATCCCTAAAGCAAATCCATCTACAGTATGAGATGTCCATCATCACGTGTGGGTAATGTGATTGTGCTAAATGACCAACGCAAGGTCATAAGCACTGCTTTTTCCCTGCACAGTTACCATTAAATATTAAATTATAGCAGCAGTGGAGGATTATGTCCCCTGTAGTGCTGCAGCTGTTCACCACTTCCGGTTTCTGTATAACATTATTTTAATGACTATCAAATCATCACAATTTGATAAATTAGTATGTCACATAGCTACTTTGATATATTGGGGAAATGTATTTATGAAATGTATGAAACATTATATGCATATACAGCTGAAACCAGAAGTTTACATACACTGTATAAAAAGGCACATAACAATTTTTAAAAAAGGGCAGATGTTAATGTGACTAAATTTTTCCTCTTTTAGGTAAGTATGGATTATCAAATTTGTTTCTGTTATGCTTAATAGCAGAATAAAGAGAGAGATATGTGTTGAGAAATTTGTATAACTTTTCTTGAATGTCAAGTTTACATACAATAAGATTATTATGCCTCTGAAAAAGATCAGTTGATGGTGTCAAGGTTTTGGAGGTTTCTGATTGGCTAATTGACAACATTTGAGTTAATTGGAGGCACAACTGTAGAATAGTATTTAAGGAAAACCTCAAACACACTGCTTCCTTGTGTGACAACATGGAAAAATCAACAAGCCAGAATCAACAAAAAAGTCACATTACAATGTGCTAAATTACTCTGGGAAAAATAATATTTTTTTGGGACATGTCCTGTGGTCTGATGGAACTATTAAACTGTTTGGCCATAATGACCAGTGCTACATTTGGAGGACAACAGGGAAAGCTTACAAGCCTAGGAACACCATCCCAACTGTGAAGTATTGGGTGGTAGCATCATGTTGTGGGGCTGTTTTGCTGAAGGAGGGACTGGTCCACTTCATAGCATAGATGGCATCATGAAGAAAAAACATTATGTAAAAATACTGAAGCAACATCTCAAGATATCAGCCAGGAAATTAAAACTTGGCCACAAATGGGTCTTCCAAACAGAGCATGACCTTAATCATACAGCCAAATTAGTTAAAATGTGCTTTGAGGACAACAGACTGAATGTTTTGGAGTGGCCATCACAAAGCCCTGAACTCAATCCGATAGAAAATTTGTGGGCAGTGTTGAAAAAGCTTGTGCGAGCAAGACAGCCAGCAAATCTGACTCACTTGCACCAACTCTGTCAGGAGTAATGGGCCAAAATTCCTTCAAACTATTGCGAGGAGCTTGTGGAAGGATACCCAAAACTTTTGACCAAAGTTATATAGTTTAAAAGCAAAACTAAAAAAATACTAAGGAAATGGATGTAAACGATTGACAAAAACGTTCGTAAATCATTTAGGTAATCATAACGGACCTAAAATAGTAAATGTTTAGTATGATTTACCATCAGACTTTTTTTTTTTTTTTTTTAAATGGTTATGTATGTACTTCTGGTTTCTACTGTATGTTTTTTTTTAATTCTAGGTCTGATAATTTTTTTCAGAATTTATGAAGTAATATATAAAAAAGGTATTAAAATAATAATAAAATAAATAATAATTTATTACCTTTTTTATTGGGCAGGACCATTAAATAGCATTTCTGCAAATGCTCTAGAATTAGCCAGAAGGATATTTTTTGTTCGTTGTCCCTGAACAGATGTTAAAATTGTCATCCTAAAAACAATACAAAACTTATACAACTCATCAATCTCATGAAAGAAGCACAAAAATAGACATATTTAAGTAGATTTTAATAAAAAAATGTATGTGTACAATATAATCTAAAAACACCAACATAATAGAGATAGCAGTTGACACATCTGATGTTATAAACCAGATTTTTTATTGTTATTGTAGATATGTTTATATAGCCTAGATATTTTAAAGATTCTACTATTATGTGTGCGTGCAAGAAAGAGGTAAAAAAAATATGACATTTTAATTTTTTTCTTCAAAATAAATGATTTAGTGCTTCATATCGAGAACAAAATGAGCATTTAGGGCAAATATTGTTATTAAATTTAGCTAGTTTTGGGGTAGCAATTATGAATGATTTTTATTGAGACTTTGACAGCTTTATTAGATAAAAATATTTTTTTCCGAATAAGCCAAAAAATGTTCCCAATCTGTGTCACCAAATAATTTTTATGATGTAACGTTAGTAGAGCTGCATTTCGCCCAGACCGCCGCTCATTCACGGTGTGCACAAGTGGTGCGCAGTGCTGACGCGCTTAAACACGTTTGATTTTCTGTTTATTGTCATGTTAAACATTTTCGGTTGCTTGACGACAATAATGCACAATACATCCGTACAGCGACGACAGACGCGAAAAGAGGCTGAGCAACATTACTCTGTTACCTGTATAGCTTTCAAACATAAAATCGGCGCAGGACCCGCTGCTTTTCTAAACGGCGACATCAGCAAACCGCTGCATCTTGGGAACTTCTTAACAAAACAGACCCATTTCACAGCTCGTTTAGGCTGTTTGATATCAGGATTTATGCACATCTTTGAAATAAGGCGACATCATAATACGCGGACATTGCAGGTCGTAACTCTATAAATCACACGCGATGAGAGAGTATTATGGTTCCTTTGTTTGTAAAAGGTGATGATAAAATAAAAGCAGCTATCAGATAGGCTATAATGTCTGTGGTAGCTGGAGAACTTGGCACTGAAGAGGAGGTAGAGGATCTGGTAAGTACATTAACAGTTTTAAACCGCAACAGCACTCACAAAGTACTTCTGTATTTACTATGCTAACAGTTAATACCCTGAAGTACAGTAACGTTACCACCTCTTACAGATACACGTGAAGCAATCACCTGGATATCTGCTGTATTTCAGCCTCATTTCCATGGCGTGTAAACATGTCAACAAAAATCAAACAACTTTGTTTCCATACAGTTATAGTTAGCTGTGTAGATTACATGGTAAATAAATATTAAACCTATTTAGTGCCATGGTTTATATTTGAATTCAAGCAAATAATCTCTTAGCCTATACAGTTGAAGTCAGAGTTATTAACCCCCCTGAATTATTAGCCCCGTTTATTTTTCCCCCAATTTCTGTTAAACAGAGAAAAGATTTTTCCCCCACATTTCTAAACATAACAGTTTTAATAACTCATTTCTAATAACTAATTTATTTTATCTTTGCTATGATGGCAGTAAATAATATTTGACTAGATATTTATCAAGACACTTCTACACAGCTTAAAGTGACATTTAAAGGCTTCACTAGGTTAATTAAGTTAACTAGGCAGGTTAGGGTAATTGGGCAAGTTATATAGGTATGGTTATGTAGGTTAGGTATAACGATGGTTTGTTCTGTAGACAGTCGAAAAAAATGTAGCTTAAAGGGGCTAATAATTTTGGTCTTAAAATGGTTCTTAAAACTGCTTTTATTCTAGCCAAAATAAACCTAATAAGACTTTCTCCAGAAGAAAAAATCTTATGAGAAATACTGTGAAAAATTCCTTTCTCTGGAAAAAAAAAAAAAAAAAAATTATATATATATATATATATATATATATATATATATATATATATATATATAGATTTATATAAATTGAGACAAACCATTTTTTTAGTGTATAAAATAAGTTTTGTAAATTAATTGGACACAAAAATTAATTTTTCGTCTTGTGTGTTTTACAGGCAGAGGACAGTCTATGTAGCAGCTATGTGTCCGACACTGAAAAGGTGAGATCTTTAGCTTTGGGTCAATCAGATTAATTGGTTATGCTGTAGTTCTTTGATTCTTGGACTTTTGTATAAAAATTATTGACTGAAGCAAGAAATAATGTGTATGCACTTATAATAAACTGAATATCTAAGTGTTCGATTTGATTTCAGCAGCCAAGAAAAAAGAAAGTTTCTGGCAGACCACCTCCTTCTCCTAGTAAGTTGTCTTTTACAACATGCCATCACATGTTTTATTTATATCAACATAGTATTATCAAAAAATAAAAATTGTTATAATATATACAATCACTGCAATTCTAAAGAGTCAGAAAGGGGTTTCTGAAGTAAAAAGTAAAAAAACAGTAATTCTGTGAAATAATATTACAATTTCAAGTGTCTGAATTACTGTTTTATCATTATTGAAATCGGCTTTGTTGCTTAATGATTTTGTGGATGTGGACTGTTCTGATTTCTTTGCTGATTAGAAGGTTCAAAAGAACAGCATTTATTTGAATTAAAATTATTTTGAAACACGTTTGGTAATTTTAAAAATTTTCAGAGTCGCCATATCTGAACAGTGCAAACTTGCATATGAAGAGAGCTCCAGCTGCATCATGTAGGACGATGAAGGGGTTGCAGCTCCAAAACTGTAAAACCCCTCCAGCTGCTCCACACAGAGACGTCTGGCTGCACTTACAGGATGATGGACATGGTCGGACCCTTTTTTTTTTATTATGTGGCTATAATTTTACATTGTATTCTGCATTATTCAGTTTTGAAAGTTATGCTACACTTATATGCACTTCTGTTTATAAATGTGCTTTTATTTCATCAAAAATATGGTAAAACTATAATATTTTGAAGCATTGATACAATTAAATATTATTGCAAATATAATAAAATATTTTTAATAACTTTTTAATATATATTTTTAAGTAATTAGTGAAGTAAATACATTTTTTTTGTTATTTTAAGATGGGATTTATTAATTAATGGCAAAGCAGATTTTTCAGCATTATCACTCCAGTTTTTAGTGTCACATAATTCTTCAGAAATAATTGTATTTTCCTGATTTGCTGCAGAAGTCAACATTAATTTAGTTTAGAATTTAGTTTTTCGTTTTTTTGGGTGAAAAGTTTAACAGACATTGATTTTTTATGTACATTGAATTTTGATCAATGTAAAGAATCTGTGCAGAATAAAACATATTAATTTCTTTTTAAAAATATTATCTAAAATTGTTGAATAAATTGTACTTTGGTAAATGTTTTTCGTTTTAAAGATATTTAAATATTATTTACTGGCAGAGCATACAAAATAGCTGAAAATAAAATGACTTGATTGCATAAATCATTATATATGAAGCATATCTGATCTAATGAAAACATTTAGCTGAAAATGTATGAATGTATTTCTAAAAGACGTGCAGTGGTAATTTCGAATTCATTCTCTTTAGGGTCATTGTCAAAATCTCCAAAAGTCATGGATTGCAGTGTCACACAGAGCAGCATTAGCAGTGCCAGAACACCGGAATACTTGAAGGAGGCCTTAGGAATGAAAAAGCCCAAATATTCCCGCTCCGCATCTAACGGTAAGATAAAAGCAATAAATCAGGAACAAGAGTGTTCTGAAATAACTTGACATCCTCCACCCCCCCACCCTCTTTTTTTTATAATTTGTTTTACAGAATTTTTTTGTGTATAACCATATTTTTACTTTATTTTTTGAGTACTTATTAACTGATTTGGTTTTACATCTCTTTGGTTTTTTTATTCATATTATTTTATCATCTGAGTTTTTTTCTTGCAAATGGAAAAGTAATTTTATACTCAGCATATATAAGTACACCCCTCACATATCTGTCTTTTAAATTTATATTTTTAATAGGAAACTATACAATATTATATTTGTGCATATACATTAGAATAGTCAGTACTAAAGCCCAAAATAACTTTGAATAACGGTCCAAAAACTAGTACACCCAAATTTATGTTATAGAAAAATATTAAATACAAATTTAAAAAAAGAGGAAAAATCAAGAGAAAAAAAGAAAAAGAAAAAGAAAACATTTGTTGAAATTTTGTATGTTGTAATTTTTTTTTTGCAAGATATTGTTTGAATTTAATTGTATTTCAATTTCTAAATAAGTTTGGTGACTATTTTAATAAATATATCTGTTTAATAAATCTGTTTTGTTAAAATGCACCAAAATACACTTTCTATATATTAACTGAGAAATAGATAAAAATATTCTTTTTCAAAATGCGGTGTCCTCAATTATGCTGAGCACTATACATATAATTTCAATATAAGTGTTTTTCTGTTTTTTCTCTCTTCAAAAAAACAATAAAGAAAATGTTCCGATAAAATAATCAATGCACCGGTTATTTTTTTTAAGCATTCTGATGATGTCACTGTATATTATTATTTTACAATTCCTCACCAGGTTACGTTCCAGGGACCCCAGACTACAAAGACAAGGAGGAGATGTATGATGAAATAATCGATCTAAAAAAGGTAAAGCTGCTCTCTTGCGAACCCACTCAGTGACTTAAAAGTGTTTTTGAGGATGAGTTTGTAGAATTTTGATTACATCCGACTGCATGTTTTCGAAGAATAGGACTTTATCTCAATTCTACTGTCTGTCCTATATGTACAACAAGGATTAGTGGTTTGGATTAGTTTGTCTTACATCAAAGTTTGTTAAAAATAGACTGCCAAATGTTCCTGGATAGTGTATTGTCTCTGCTGCAGTTTTGAAAATATTAATCCATGCAAGTTTATTTTTAGCTATTATTATGCATCATTTGTACAATGCAATAGAAGGAAATGGTTTATTGAAATGTATTTTAGTATTTCGTAATATGTCTAAAATATATCTGGCTCAAAGACAATTTAGTTTCTGTTTTATATATGTATATATTCCACCAGAATAAAGAAATAACAATGTAATTGACTTTTTTCTTGTGTTTTTATACTTATTTTGAGATCAGAAATATGACGTTAAAGAGGATAGTTCACCCCAAAATTAAAGTTCTGTTTTCATTTACTCATCCTTGATTTTTTATTTTATTTTTGCTCTGTTAAACACAAAAGGAAGATATTTTGAAGAATGTTGGAAACCTGTAACCATTGACTTAGTAGGAAAAAAGTACTATGGATGTCCATGTTTACAGATTTCCAAAAGTCTTCAAAATATTTTCTTTTGTGTTCAGCAGAATTTTGGGTGAGCTAGCACTTAAAAAGATACTATAAATTATGCAAAAAAATAAATATTGCCAAATTTTTTCCTATTTTTAATCTGTAACTTTAGCATCAATTGTCTTGAAAATATCCTTCAGTTCAAGTGTATTTCTTTGCATTGAAATTTGATGCTGCTCTGTGTTTGTTTCTTTTTTTTACCAGACCATCCAAACCCAAAAAGCTGAATCAGACAAGTTGAGAGCTAAGCTGCGGCGTTTTGAAGAAGAAAACTGTAAGAAAGACAGGCAAATCGAACAGCTGCTGGACCCAGCCAAGGTAATGAGCAATCCTCTGCAAATCCAGCCACAGAAATAATCTGGAATTTGATGGCATGTACAGTATAAATGCTTCACACCCCACACATAATGTACACACGACACAGAGCTGTAGAGTAACTTGCAATTTTCTGACTGAAAAGAATTGAGTGTTTTGCTTTACAGTGGCTCTTAATGATGAAGTGTTTATAAATGAGTGTATTGATAATAATTAAAATTTTCACTCTGATTCAATTTTTAAAATATTATTCACAGGACAGATTTCTGTGTATTAGGCATGGGCCGGTATAAGATTCTGACAGTAGAATAACCTTGGATAAAAATATGACGGCTTCACGGTTCACAGTATTGTGCTCACAGCCCTAAAATATATTCTTTTTAAATGTCTGGGTAAAAAACTAAACCTTTTTTCTCCTTTGAAAACAATATTTTCTTATTTTTGAAAGGTTTATGATATTTTGGAACAGTAAACACTTTAGGCTAAATAATTCAAATGAATCACTGACCTCTGCTGTCTTCATTTGTTTCAAAAACACAGATTTATATTCCATTTAAAACAGCATCTTTGGATATTTTCTCTGCTGAAGATACTGTTATCCTAAAAAACAAAAAATAATGTAAATAAAAAATCTTACACTCAGCTCAGGAACGGTATTACCGAAAATTTTGGCGGGTTTAAAACCTTGACTTTTCCAAACCGCGGTATACCTTGAAAACTGTTATGGTCCTATGCCTACTGTGTACTCAGTGGCGTAGCGGACGGGCCCGCAGGGCACGCACCGCGGGGGGGCCCCGCGTGATTAGGGGGCCCCATGTCGTCGCGATTTTCAAAAATTGAAAATCCAGGAACCGCAATAATCAAACTCTTGGGAACAACTGTGGACGGAACCAAAGTTCACAGGTCTGTGTTCTCTGAACACCTCTCAAGCGGTGGACTACTTCATTCTGATTGCTTGCCGCCGAACCGCGTCATAGCCAATGAAGACGCGCCGCTGTTTCTCGCCGCCGGTTCTCGTTAAAAAATGAATGACTTCTGGCTACTTTGACGCTATCGCCGCTTTCGGTTTGTGATCGCTCCTCAGTTTGTGAAGGATTCCCCGCGTTGTCGCTCCACTCCGCCTCCTTTCCCCGCACCTCAATTTGTGACATAGATATATACACTAGATATTGTATAAGGACCCTGAGCATGCGTCAATAGCGCCGCCACATTGGTACAGTGCTCCCAGGACAAATGTCATTCAGTCGCACTAGACAAGTGTTATTACGTGAAGATGCGGGACTGTAGCGCTGTCTACGAGTGTAGTAACGAGCAAACAAAGAAAACAAAGCACAAAGGCAGAACATTCCATAGGTAGGATTAAGTTTTTTACGTTTTTTGTATGTTCTGAAATTTGTGCTAAACAGGTAGCGTTATTGATAATAATACAGCCACTTACTGCATTCACTATAAGTCAAAGTAGCTCCAATTCGCACTAAATACTCGGCTTATGCTAGCCTTGTTGAATAAAATCAGCAAACAATGAAAAAGAAATATGACAACGAGATGATGCGCTGCCAGAAACTAGTATTATTGTCGGCTAGTGAAGGAGTCGTTCATAATGGAGATTCATTCACAAACAAATCGCTCCCTCCATCAGTATGAGAAGTGAAAGCAGGAGAGGAGGTGTGTTTCAGGACATGTTTAGATCAAATTTAACAGGGAGGGTGAATAGTACATTTCTGTACACACAAACACAAGCTTTTTGTCAGGAATGCCCATGCGATCACTGATCCATCAATGTAGAAAAGTGATGTAAAATTATAATTTTCATAATTGAAATAAAAATAAAAATACTAACATCCAGGAAAACTCCCGATCATAGATATATGTGTATATCTCTGGGTCTGCCGCCCCCAAACCCCCCCGACCCCCTTGAAAACTGGGGGCCCCATCTGTGATCCCTGCAGGGGGGCCTCCGCATTTTGCGCTACGCCACTGTGTGTACTCCATCATTGAAATGTATCGAGCCCTTTTCTAAACAGCAATAAAATTGTATTTGTAAGGGAAATTAGAAATGTAGAAATCCTAATAGTCATTTTTTCCCCCACACTTCCTCCACACTTTTAACTGATCAAATTTGACAGTAAAGATTTTACTTTTATTTGTTACAATAAAGATATTTTCAATAAATGTTGATCTTTTGAGGTTAAAGGGATAGTTCAATCTAAAATGAAAATGTAATTACTGTTTACTCACCCTCAAGTGAATCCAAACCTTTATGAGTTTTTTTTTCTGTTTAACACAAACAAAGATACTCAGAAGAAAGCTGAAAACCTGTAACCGTTGACTTCCACAGTAGGAAAAACAAATACTATGGAAGTCAATGGCTCCTGGTTTCCAGCTTTCTTCAGAGTATCTTTTTTTTTGTGTTTAAAACACAAAAGAAACTGATAGTTTTGATAAAAGTAAGGTGATGACAGAATTTTATTTTTGGGTGAACTATCCATTTAAGATTTATAAAACAGTCCTGAACAAAAGCATGCAGAACAGCTGTTATCAGCCACATTAATAGTAAGAGTTGTTACTTGAGCACCAAATAACCATATTAGAATTATTTCTAAATGATCATGTGACACTAAATATTGAAGTAATGATCTGAACATTCAGTGTTGCATCACAGGAAACATCTTTTAGACCTTAAACCTTTGAACAGTACTGCAAATAAAATCCTTTTCTCTGAGAGTTTGCTCGTTTATAATTATTTTGAAATATTTATTTTTGCATTTAATTGCATAGGACCCAGAGTATGCTCGGAGTTTAGTGGACAGAAAGACCGATCCTAGATCAGTGAGTATGCCCTTATAACAACTGCACATATTCTTACAGTCATATTTGTTCAGATCAATGATTTAAAGTAAACAGCAAATCTGTTATTAATAATATGCAAAACTGTATTTATGATCTTTTTAGATTATTAATGGACTGAAACAGAGGATTCTGCGACTGGAGCAGCAGTGCAAAGAGAAAGAGAATGCCTTGAGGTTTGATGCTATTTTTTTCTACAAACTTATTATACAAACTTAAGGAACTTATTTATATTGTACAAAACAGGTTATAGTGATTCAATACAACACATTTCATAGAACTAACCCAAAAATAAATGTTCTCTCATTATTAACTCATACTCCACTAAAGAAGACGAATTTTAACGAATGTAACACCTGGATTTATTGACTTCCATAATTTATATAATTGTTTTTACAATGGATGTCAGTTGTGTTTGTATATAACCGAAGAACGTAAGGTTGGTTTAAAACCACTTGAGGTTGAGTAAATGGCGAATAGAATTGAGAAATACAATTATTAAGACGAAGAAATAGACTGAAATAAATTAAATGTCACCTCAAAATAAAGTTTTAGGGTCACTAATGATTCTGAGAAATAGTGAACAAATCAGTAACGACTTTTCTTGCTTGTATTAATGACCAGATAATTCTCAGATCTTACAAAAACCTGTGAAGTCCATTCAGTTTGATTGCTGTTGTCTATAAAGCAAAAGGGGACCATATAAACGCTGAATATGACTAGCATTAGCAAAATTTTGTGAACACAAAACATCAATTGGCCATAATAATTTTGTGAAATATAAAGCACTGTTCATGCCCACTTATGAAACCCCCAGATATTACAGATTCCTATTGGAATGAGCAGATTTTGCCTTTTTTCAAAATCTCGTTTTCTGTTTAAATTACCACTAAATTATTTTATGTTGATACAAACTAGATACTTTTAAATGCTTGTGTTAGTTGTACTTAAATTGAGGAGTTGTGTATTTTCCTTTGCAGTCAGCTTCAGAGTGACCACAAAACTACTAACATGCAGGAAATGAAGATCACTGTTGAAACCTATTTTGAAGAGGTAAGTTGCATTGTTTTTGTTATGTAAAATATACTTAAAGGAATAGTTCACCCAGAAATGAAATTTACACCGTAGTTTACTCACTTCCAAGTCATACTTGGTGTATATGAGTTTGTACTGTCAGATGAACACAGGCTGAGTTTTAAAGTGAAAGTTAAATGTACAATGTTTGCTGACCATTTGCTTCCACATTTGGAGTGGCGCCTCTACTTTGTTGACGTCAGTTTAATGACTTCTGCCACAATATTTTTAACCACACCGTTAGATTGCTACTTTGGAATGATGTTCAAAAAAAAAGCCCGGCTCCTACTCAATATTCCGTATCAGTTGAAAGTACATCAACATCCTGATTTAAAAGTTTCAGCAACTTCCGTATTAGAGTATTGGTCCTTTTTTAAATTCCAAAAGCAATTTAATCCAGCATTAACTAACCCATATTCTGTCAGGGGGTTAACACATATATTTTTTTTTAAGTGGATCCATGTGTTTTTGTAACAAATATATGTATAATTTTAATATTATAAACTCAAATCACTGACTTCCAGTGGCTGTCGAATGCTGAATCTCTGACTTAAGATGCATTCATAGCAGAGGCTCCAGGAACATACATGTCTTGCAGGAACCACTTACCACACAGTTTACCACAGAAGACAATGATGAACAAGAAAATTTGTAGGCTTAGCGTTACTGTATAATGCTATTCTCGTTCGCCTACTCTAACCAGAGCTTCTGCTACAAATTTATCTTACGTCTGAGGTTACAAAAACACAGTGATCCACTTTATAAGACATGCGTTTACCACCTGGCGGCATATGAGTTTATATAGTTTGTAGTTTCTATTGTGTAGAATTTAGAAACCCTTGTTATTAGTGACACCATTGGCCATTTAGTGAACTGCAGCCAGCAAATTGGGCTTCCATTTGTGCACATTTACAAGAGACTGAATGTGATTCAATGCCCCTGCATACTAACAGCGAGATTCATTTTCTTTAATGAAAAGAAGGTACAGTGGAAATACCTTTAAAACATAATACTTATAACAACATCAGATGCAGTTCACACCACTGAGAGCGATATTCAGATGAATATGTATTTATTCTTCCTTCAACATAAATTATAGCAGACTGAAAACATTTGATTATGGTGATGATGACTGATGAGGTCATTGAATTTACAGTGATTATAAATTATATTTTAGACTGACAATACATGGGGCACACAAACTTTTGTCAGTTCTTCACATAAAAAATGTTTGCAGGCTTTCATAGATAACATAGGAGGCTGGAGAAGGTCTTGTTTTGAAGTTTTTTACAAGCAAATTGTACAAACAAATTCTATCATATAGACCTCTCTACATACTTCTTTTTTTGTGAATATTATGTGATACACTCTTTATTTTTTCATGCTTAGGTTCAAAGATTGCGCACACTGTTAGATTCAGCTGAGAGAAGGTAAATACATCACTGCTTTTATTCAGTTCAATGGTCTCTCTTAATCTGATATAAAGAATTTATTTAATTATCCGTGTTTTCTTTTTCTTCTCAGTAATAAGGCTGAGAGCAAAGAGAGCAGAAGGCAGAACAAGACTCTTAGTACCACAGTTCTGAGACTCACAAAGACTGTTCAACAACTGGAGGAAGAGAACCAGGAACTCAAAAAAGAATTGACCCAGGAAGAGATGAGCATGACGGACAGCCCTGCATGCAGAGCCAAGGGTACTTACATTCACAACAGAACTGGAAATATTTATCATATGCCATGATATGTTAATTGATTAACCAGAGTTTCAGTATGTTGACATACTTCCAACTGAAACTGAATATTGATTAGGGTGCAGAGCTTTTTTTATGCGCATCACTTCATCTTAGCAAACTAACATAGGAGGGGCATGGTTAAGAATATTATGACTGAAATTGTTCATCAACAGAGATAAAACACCGCTCCAAATGGTCAGACTTTGATTAAAGATTAGCAAAAAAAAATTTTGGTAGCAAAGTAAACACTGTAAATTTTGGTTTCACACTGACTTTAAGTTTTGAGGTTTTGTTAAATGCTTGTTTTTATGTACAATACTGATTACATTTTTTCCAAATTTACACTACAAATGCAATTCCGAAAAACGTTTGCATAAAATGACATCTTGTTCAAATAAAAACCAAAAAACCCAGAACAGAATATATGTGCTTTTTCAGCGTATCAGCTATTAATTAATCATTTTTTAAACAAATTGCTTGAGTAAACATTTCAATAAACAGAATCATGAGAATCATTTTAAAATGAATCAACCATTTAAACAAATCATTTGAGTACCTACTGTGATTTTTAGTGCCGTATTTATGTATATAGAGGGGTAAATAAATAAGTATTGAAGACATCATTTTTCTCCGAAAATATACTTCTAAAGGTGCTGTTGAGGTTTTTCCCCGGATGTTGGTAACAATCCAGAAATCCATATATATGCAAAAAAAGCAAATCTAATTTGTTTACAAATGAAGTTATGCATAATAAAGCCTGCATTTACACTGCAGATCCTGATGGTCGATTCCAATTTTGTGACTGTATCTGATTTTTTTTGATGACCTGCTTTCATCATCTTTTGAAAGGGACTCATAAATCGTCTGCATTTACACAGCACATGGCAAAGGCGCAATGACCAAAAAAAAAGAGCAGGCGCTGACTAACAGCTGATCTTTTCTCTATTCCTGTATGTAATCTGTTTGCAGCTTTTGACAAGCTGTTTTACTATAGCTTATTACTGAAAGGTTCTCATTTGTCCATCTTCTTTTGATATATTTGCTTTTTTTAAACTTTAGGCATTTTAATGTAATGTCCATGGCGTGATTTATGCACGTGATGTTGAAATGCTCTAGTTTTGTATTAGTTTATATTGGTTACGTGGCAGACATTGCGCTCTCTCGCTCTCGTTAACATGCTCAAATACCTGTGCTATATGACAATATAAAAGCTGTTTAAGTCCTTGTGTATGAGATTTAAGGTTTGGGACTCTGCTGCTGTCTGTTCTGAAATGAAAGTATCAGACTTGACATCATTCGCTATAGTTTTTAATGACGTGAGACTCGCATTGACAGGTGAAAATCCGATCTACCTACTTACACTGCAGACACGATGGCACAGATCCAATTCATATCAGATAAATTTCCACAAATGAACAAGGCCTGAATCCGATTTAAGTAAATCGGAATCCATGTGATTTTTTTCTGCTTACATGTACATGGGCCATATAAGATCTGTGCCACACGGGAGAAAAAAAAAATCGGAATTGAGTCACTTGAACAGTGCAGTGTAAATACGCCAAAAATGAAATGATGCAACGAAAAATTATTAAATACATGAAGAAAGGAAGGTGTAAAAAGGCAGTGAAAGCCCTGACAGCAGCTGAAATCTCACAATAGTTATTCAGCAACCCTCTGCCCTTCGTCAGGGTAAATGAATATTAGCTGCTTCAGTCCAACATCAACAGTACATTTCCAGAAGATGAAACCAGGGTGGACATTTCAGCAAGACAATGTTCCAAAACACAGCCATGGAAACTCTCAAATGCTTCCGGAGAAAGAAAATCAAGCTGTAGAATAGCCCAGCCAATTACCTGACCTGAATCCAATAGAAAATATAAAATAAAGATCAGATTTGATAGACGGGACATAAACGAAACTTCAAGATTTTTACACTCTGATGAAGTCTGAAAAACTCACACCTGAGCAATGCATGTGACTTCATTCTCCATGAGAGGCGTCTTTACACTGTCATCAACAAAAAGTCTTTTATATAAAGTATTAAATGTTTCAGTAGTTCAGGGCTTTCTCCTTGTGTCAATCCATTGTTCTTACACAGAACTAATCTTTCAGATTTTTTGGTTTTGTTTTATTTTTATGTCTGTATTGTTTGGCTTTTTATCAAAATCTGGTTCAATTTCATGTAAACAGCTCCTTTAGAAATATTATTCCCAGTAAAAACATGACATGTTCAATACTTATTTCCCCCATTCTATCTACCCCTGACTGGCCTAAACCTGTCAAATATCAGCATAAAAAACACACTATGCAAAATATAGTTATGATCGCCACTAAAACAACTATATTGAGGTATCCGTTTTTGTTAGCGCTGTTCAGTCGTTTCTGCAATAAGAACTGAATTACTGATGAAAAAATTTGAATCAACAACTACTTCTGGTTAGTGGTTAATATTTTGTCTTGGCTGGTTAAATGTACTGGAAAAAATTAAGTCTGAAAACATTGATTAAATGTTGCTGCACCTGCAAGACTGCCGAATTTAGTCACATGACTAACCATATTTTTTTGCTTTCAGGTTATATGGATTGGAGTAAACAGAGACTTGTGCGACGAATCCTGGAGCTTGAAAAGGTTTTTATGTTACTTCAAACTTTATTCGCAAAACTGAAGATCAAATGTATCATAAAAAGTCATTCATTTATCTCATTTTTTTTCAGAGATTGGAAAGGATGAAAAATCTTCAGATCACCAAAGCGTCACAAAAGAGCCTAGACGATACAGAATCAACGAATCAGAATGCAGAGACCGAGCCATCTATGATTACAGAGAATGATGTGCTTTTGAATGGAGTGGTTACGAAACTTGGAGAACAGAAATCAGAGCTAAAGCTAAAACTGACCCAGAGAGAGTAAGTGCACTTCTAGAAAATACACTACAGTTCAAAACGTTTGGATTCAGTAAGATTTTAAATGCTTTTTTTATGATGCTCCTCTATTTTATTATACATTTAAAAAGCCATAAAAAGGCATTACTCAAGTCTTTAGAGTGGCAATTAAAAGAATGCTTTAAAAATAAATGGTCTGGTTTTTATATAAAAATTCTATATGAATTTGAATAGAAGCAAATACTTTATGAAGAGCATTTTTTATAACTACAGAAAATATCAGATTAAATAACGGATAATATAATGATAACTGCATTCATGTCTCATTTATCATATCTTTAGAAACTTTTTTGAAGCCTTTTGAAATGATATGAGATTTATTCTGATTGAAATTCTGATTTTGTCTTATAAGTGAGGAGATAAGACGTTTATCTGCTGAAAAGGATGAACGTCTGAAAGAGGTAGAAAATGTGCTGAAGGAGCAAATCCGAAATCACGAGAGCCTGATTCAAACACACAGGTGTGTAATATTAAAATAATGAAGGAATCATTCATTATAAACTATGTTGTATGTTATATATTGAACATGTTTGTCCTCCTTTAGGGATGTTTAGAGCAATTATTTCGAGTGATCATTGTATAAAGAGTTCAATTTATTCATTTTATTATTAAACAATAATTACATTTTTATATTTCTGTGACAAATTATCTTTAAAATCGTAATATTTGTGGAAAAATGTGCCAAAATACTGTACTGTATGTGCAAGGTCAATTTTGAAGACTTTAAAGGTTTATCATTATTTTATAAAATAACACTTTAATATTTTCAATCTAAAACAACATTTTATCTCATTGCAAACTTTACTAGCAAAACAATTGCAAATCATTCAAATAAAATTATATCACTGTATTTTTTACCCTTTTTATTAATTAAAACATTGTGAAAAATTATTGGTGAGTTTTTTTTTCTTTGTTTATCGTTTCAGTATTAAGAAAATGTTTAAAAATACATCATCTGAAAATTAGCATTATTAACCTCTTAGAAATTAATTGAATTTACATAAATTCAATTTAACACATTTAACTCATGAATGCTAAAAAACATACATCCTAAACCTACATATTTATTTCTAACTTAATCAAAACAGTTACCTTGAATGCTCTTTTTAAACAGTGGGGGAAATAAGTATTCAACACGTCACCATTTTTTTCAGAAAACATGTTTTCACCAGGTGTTGGTAACAACCAAAGAAATCCATAAATATAAATAAAACACTTTACAGAAAACAGTTTACAGTTAGTTTACAAGTTAAGTTATGTGAAATAAAATCAAATGACTGAGAAAAAAATGTAGAACACATAAAGAAAGGAAGCTGTAGAAAGGCAGTGAAAGCCTAGACAGCAGCTGAAATCTCTCAGAAGTTCTTCAGCAACCCTCTGCCCTTTGTTATTGTAAATTGATATCAGCTGCTTCAGTCCAACATCTACATTACCAGGTGGATGAAGATGAAACCAGGGTGGATGTTTTAGCAAGACAAAGACCCAAAACACAGCCAAGGAAACTCTCAAATGCTTTCAGAGAAAGGCAATCAAGCTGTAGAATGGCCCAGCCCATCACCTGCCTTGAATCCAATAGAAAATAGAAAATAAAGATTTGATAGACGAGACACACAGAACAAAACTAATTTTATTTTACTAATAGGCATGCCTAATCTTAAATGTAAAATGTAAAAATATAAGTGAAAAAAACAACTACAATATAAGTAAATATGAGTGGTGAATGATTATTGGGTCTAAAAGCATTGACATTTTGATGTATTATTTATGTATGTGTTTCAAATATAGAATATAGAACTCTTCCTACGATAATCACTATTAAATAGTTGCTCTGAACATCTTTAACGGAGGACAAACGTGTTCGATATAAAAAGAGCTTCAATTTAAAAGTCTGAAAATGTAAACAACATGCTTTGTTTTAAAATAAAATACATACCATCAAACATGTGAGGACACGTCTGAATTCATATTCACATTTTTTATTCACAGACAGGAGATGAGTGCACTGATTGTAGAAATCACTTGTTTAAAAGAGAAACTAGAGGAGGAGAGAAACCTCAAAGTAGTGCAAGATCCAATTCAGGTAATGCTTTCAAGATACTTTTTTAGAAGTGTACACACACACACACATACACACACACACACATGTATGTTTGTTTTTGTGAAAAGTGGGTACATTACATAGGTTTCCATTCATTTTATACTGTCCAAACCGTATATTGTATTGCCCCCACCCCAAGCCCAACCATCACAGGAGACTGTGCAGCTTTACTTTCCGATTAAACTCATCCTGTGTGATTTATAAGCATTTTAAGAAATGAGGACGTCACCAATGTCCTCATATATCACCTCCTTTTTGTAATACCTCTGTCATACCCATGTCATTATACATATTTATGTCCCGATATGTCACAAAAACACGTATATACACACACACACACACACACACACAGAAATCACTGAACTCATTAATATGATATTGTCACAATCCATCTCACAGGTTCGAGACAGTTCTTCTTTGTCAACAGAACCATCATCGCCATCAGATTTTGGGACAAAAAAGAAAAACAAGGCAGCTGAGATAATCCAGAAACACTGGCGCTCACACCGTAAACGGGTCGGTGCAACCCCATCAACACATACTGTACATTTGCAATAAATGTAGCTTATTAAATGACCTGCTTTGTTCTTTTGCACATCTGCACAGGATCTAGTTCTCTTGCAGTCCTGTCTCAGAGGACATCTGATCAGACAGAGGCATCTGGAGGGACAGAAGCAAGCTGACCTGGGAACTGTCCCTGCTTCCATGGTAACTGCTTTTGGCATTTTAATGGGACGCTGTATTATACACAGCTTTGCCCCTATTGATTTTTGCAGTATATGTTGTTATTGTGCTGATTGGCTGCTTTATATTATTACCAATCTCTAACGACTGTATAGTAGTATATGAAGCTAATATAAAGCCGTGAAAAGGATTTAGAGGCAACTTGAAAATTCTCAGTTTTTCTGGATTTATGATTTATGGTTATTGTTTATTTTATTATGGAGTCGACTGTTGGTGTTTCATTCAAATTAAAAATGTAATTTGTATGAAATTTTACAATAGGTCAACATGCAGTTGAAGTCAGTATTATTAGCCTCACTGAATTATTAGACCTTTTGTTTATTTTTTTCCAATTTCTGTTTAACGTGAGAAGATTTTTTTTAACACATTTCTAAACATAATAGTTTTAATAACTTATTTTTAATTACTGATTCATTATCTTTGCCATGATGACAAAGGCTTATATATATATATATATATATATATATATATATATATATATATATATATATATATATATATATATATATATATTAGGCTTGGGCGGTATTACGGTATTATGGTATACCGCGGGATCTAAAAATAGCAACGGTGTCTGTTTCAATACCGTTATACCGTCATAAAATATTAAATATCCTTTATTTAATGCCTACAAAAACGTATGTGTGGTTGGCATCACGGGACAGTGTGGAGGAGAGAGGGAGAGGAAGGGGGAGAGGGAGGGAGAGAAGGGGGAGAGGTGACGTGACGAGTCGCGCTTCAAAGTGTCCTGCAGTTTCGACTGAACAGAAGTGAGATGTGGTTAATATGAACGAGAGGTCTGCATTAGAGCTAAAGATCTTTGCCCGAACCCGGCGAGACACGAAAAAATCCAAATCCCTGCATTAAAATCCATCCCTGCAAAGGTGAAACAAATGATGACGAAGTAGTAAAAAAAGCGAATTTTGACGGCGGTCAAGTCAGTCACTAGCTCATAAGGAGCGGTTATTCCAGCCGCGGTCGCTCATACACTGCATATTACGGTAGAGCATTAAACCGCAAGATGACAGGTAAAATAAGAGGCCATTCGCTAAAGTAAAACTGCTGTCATGGAAAATTAAATGCATGTTCCTGACTGGTAGAAGATGAACAAAAAATCAGCCGGATCAGAACTCTGCATCTCGACCTGTAGCCGCAGGAAATGGTGTTCAGCTGCTGGACGCACCATGAGTGAGAGACTGCGCTAAAGGCAGTGGATTTAATAATGTTCCTCCACAAACACATGTAACCTAATCTTAGTACGTAAAGGGTTTTTAAATTATAAATAAATATTAATTAAACCATATAATCATAATGTAGACAGAGTATACAGACTAATGGTGGCATTATTCTTTTATTATTCAGCTTCACCGCCGCCCTAATGCCAGATTGTGAAGAGAAGTGGAGAAACACATCTTACAGAGGCTTTATCTTAATTTTGTTATTGCCAAAATACCCGTCACCATTTAGAGTTTATTTTAATTTGATTTGTTTAGCAAGATTACTTTTCATTGGTGTGTAGCCTAATTTAAAGGCTAAGTGCATGTAGCCTACCTAGACCTATAGAGTGCTGAGATGTTACGATGTTACAGCTGTAGGACTTATTTTATTTCTTTGTTCCAACTTTCAAATGGCCTATAGTCTACGCTTGTTACGAATAAATGATGTTAAAACATATAAATGACTCATTCTTGAAAATAATGCATTAGAGCTGTGTGCATGAGCACATTTTAATGTAGGCTGTGAACGGGTTTGGGCTGTATAAAGCTGTCAATCAAAATGTACCTGTCGGACTCGGGACCTATCGGGTATAATTTTTATTGCCCGATTACAGCTCTGCATTCCCGCTGCTGTTCCGCGGGAGCCGGCCAGATTTCTTACGGTGTGGTATGTGTAAAAGGGAGAGAGAAAGAGAGAGGTGCTGTGCGTCGCTTTGCGCTCTCTCTCTCTCTCTCTCTCTCTCTCTCTCTCTCTCTCTCTCACACCGCGAGCCTAAGGTCGCATAGAAGGTATTCAGTTTCTGAATGGTTTAGGCTCAAGCCAACAGTTTGGTGACGCTGTCTGAGCCTTACGTCATAATTTTTTTTATTACGCCGGTAATACCGGATACCGGGGTAAAATATGGAGGCAGTTTGACGGTATCAAAATTTGGATACCGCCCAAGCCAAATATATATATATATATATATATATATATATATATATATATATATATATATATATATATACAGTTGAAATCTAAATTGTTTGCCCTCGTTTGATTTTTTTTCTTTTCTTTTTTAAATATTTCCTAAATAATGTTTAACAGAGCATTGAAATTTTCACAGTATGTCTGATAATATTTTTTCTTCTTGAGAAAGTCTTATTTGTTTTATTTCGGCTAGAATGAAAGCATTTTTTAATTTTTAAAAAACATTTTAAGGACAAAATTTATAGCCCCCTTAAGGTATGTATTTTTTCGATAGTCTACAGAACAAACCATCAATATACAATAACTTGCCTAATTACCCTAACCTGCCTAGTTAACCTAATTAACCTAGTTAAGCCTTTAAATGTCACTTTAGGCTGTATAGAAGTGTCTTGAAAAATATCTAGTCAAATATTATTTTGACAAAGATAAAATAAATCAGTTATTTGAAATTAGTTCGCAATTAATAAAACTGTTATGTTTAGAAATGTGTCTTCGGTATATTAAACAGAAATTGGTACCATACAAAAATACACAACATCCCATTTTAAAAAGTCAAACTGGAGTGTTGTATTACCTATAAAGTATTTTACACTGTATACATTTACCTCTTGCTTATTTTATATATCTTTTACTATAGATCTTCCACCAAAGATATTACTAATATCTTTTTGCCAAATCAATCTTTAATGTTTAGTTTTTATCATCAATCTTTGAACTCAATTTGTAAAATGTAGAAACTATTTGAAGATGTTTTGGGAGTAAAACTTTTGCTTTTATGAATCTATGAAGTACATTTATTTAAAAACCTTTTATGCATGCCCCTCATGGCATAGTCATGTTTTTTTGTTCCATCGCAACGTTTATTACAATTAACAATAATATAATTATCTTTCTGACAATCTTTCAGAGCCAATCAGGTAAGAGCACTCAAGCTGTACAGGAAGAAGAAGTGACTCTACTGCAGTCGGTCTTTAGGGCTCATCTCAAACGCAGCACTATGAACACGGACAGGTGATATACTGTAGACATAGTCACATTTCACATACACTGTATATACTCTATATATATATATATATATATATATATATATATATATATATATATATATATATATATATATATATATATATATATATATATATATATATATATATATATATATATATATATATATATATATGTTTTGTTATTTATATATTATATTATAGCACATTGGCAAATGAATATAGTCTGTATTTATTTTAATATAAATGCATTGTGCTTACAAGAATATGTTGAAATGACTCTGCAGGGCACAGTCTGTATCTTCCATACATCAGAACAAGCAGCATGTGTTACCCGCAGGATCCTCTCAGGCCGTGTTCACAAGCAAAACCCAAAGCTCAGGTGATTATTCTTCTTTAATATTGTGCTCTGTTTGCATGCAGAGATTAATTTTATCTCATGCTGTTATTATTCTTGATTGTTAATGTCAGATTGATACACCTGTAAACCTGTAAAACAGGTTAACAAACAGGTTTAAAAAACATTCAGTGACGCAATAATGCATATTGTAAATTAAGATTCAGATCAAATCATTCCTAAAATCTTTTATACTTATAAGCTCCCTTTAAAACTTGCAAGTGGATCTTTTTCATTCAATCTTTTTGGTGTTACTCTGAATAATAGCGAGGAGGCCACAGAGGAAATAAATCCTACTTATCGTGATAAGCTACAAGACGAAAGATCAATACCAGGTTAGAGTACAGGAGGCCCATAACTTATTTTTATTATGTTACCGTGCAAAAGTTGGAGGTCAGTATCATTTTTTTTTCAGCAAGGACACGTTAAATTGATTTAAAGTGACTTTAAAGACATTTGTAATGTTGTAAAAGTTTCTGTTTCAAATAAATGCTGTACATTGAGCATTGTAAAACACACACACACACACACACACACACACACACACACACACACACACACACACACACACACACACACACACACACACACACACACACACACACACACACACAGTCAGATTAACTGTTCAACCTCAATAATAGGAAGAAATGTGTATGCAGTGACAAATTCACATATTAGAAGGATTATGAAGGATCATCTGACACTTGCCATGTTTTTTTCCAGCTATTTTTTTGCACATTTTGGATCATTGCATAAAAAATGCTTGATGAAAATGCTAAGATTTTTAAAATGAGCATAAATAAACGTATATGCATTACTGAGTGGGATTTTCTTTTATTCAGTAAAAAAAATGCACATAAACTACGATGAAAATACTTTTAATGAAAAAACTCCATTATGCGTATTAAAAAACAATTCATGTCATTTTTGTCATCAGAGATCATGTGATGATAAAAATGCGTTGAGGCCATAAGCAGTCGAGTTCGTCAATTTTTGGGGTTTTCTGACTCATTTCCGTTGTGGTCAGTGCTATTTGCAGCATGTTTCGGTATTTGCATGTGTTGTGAGAATTTATGTGCACACGGGCTGTTAAATTGATGAAGAGGCTTTCTGTGTATGTTAGAGTTTTTGTCCAGAGATTTCTTAACTCGTAGTGCAAATAAGCTTTATTGGTCTTTGTAGAAATGACTAGAAATAAACAGTCAAACTAATGGCTCTAGGAACAAGTGTGGTTATGACTATAGATAAAAATAATATCATATAATATGAAAATACCAGTTCTGAACACCATTCCTCATAACGAGCTGTTTTTTACAGCAAAAATTATTCAGGATGGAAAAAGGTCAATATTTCTGATTAAATAAATGCACATTTGGTGAGCATAAGACACTTTTTTATAAACATAAATTATTTTTTTTCTTCTCTGTTTTCTCTGTTTTTTCTTTTCAAAGGAAGATATACTGATGTACACTTACCAGCCACTTTACTAGTTACACCTCTCCAACTGCTCGTTAACTAAAATTTCTAATCAGCCAATCACTATGCAGCAACTCAATGCATTTATGCATGTTGACATGGTCAAGATGATCTGCTGCAGTTCACACTGAACATCAGAACGGGGAAACAAGGTGATTTAAGTGACTTTGAACATGGCATGGCTGTTGGTGCCAGTTGGGCTGATCTGAGTATTTCAGAAACTGCTGATCTACTGGGATTTTCACGCACAACCATGTCTAGGTTTTACAGAGAATGGTCCGAAAAAGAGAAAATATCGATTGAGCGGCAGTTCTGTAGTCGCAAATGCCTTCTTGATGCCAGAGGTCAGAGGAGAATGGCCAGACTGGTTCTAGCTGATGTTATGGCAGCAGTAACTCAAATAACCACTAGGTACTATCGAGGTATGCAGAAGAGCATCTCTGAACGCACAACACGTCAAACCTTAAGGCGAATGGGCTACAGCAGCAGAAGATCACCCCTGGTGTCACTCCTGCCAGCTTAGAACAGGAAATTGAGGCAACAATTCACACAGGCTCACCTAAATTGGACAATAGAAGATTGGAAAAACGTTGCCTGGTCTGATGAGTCTCGATTTCTGCTGCAACATTAAGATGGCAGGGTCAGAATTTGGCGTCAACAACATGAAAGCATGGATCCATTCTGCCTTGTATCAATAGTTCAGGCTGGTGGTGGTAGTGGTGTAATAGTGTGGGGGATATATTCTTGGCACACTTTGGGTCCATTAGTACCAACTGAGCATCGTGTCTACACCACAGCCTACATGAGTATTGTTGTTGACCATGTCCATCCCTTTATGACCACAGTGTACCCATCTTCTGATGGCCACTTCCAGCAGGATAACATGCCATGTCATAAATCCTCTCAGACTGGTTTCTCGAACATGACAATGAGTTCCCTGTACTCAAATGGCCTCCACAGTCACCAGAACTCAATCCAATAGAGCACCTTTGGGATGTGGTGGAACAGGAGATTTGCATCATGGATGCTCAGCCGACAAATCTGCTGCAACTATGTGATGCTATCATGTCAATATGAACCAAAATCTCAAAAAAAAAAAAAATTTCAGAACCTTGTTAAATCTATGCCACTAGGCATTAAGGCATTTCTGAAAGCAAAAGGAGGTACAACCTGGTACTAGTAAGGTGTACCTAATAAAGTGGCCGGTGAGTGTACGTTGAAAAGCAGTAGCCATTGACTTCCATAGTATTTTATTTCTTACTATAGATGTCAATGGCTACTGTTTTCTAACATTTATCTTGTGAGTAAATGGTAAGGAACTTTTTAAATTTTTTATATGAACTGTCCCTTTAATCTTAATGTGTGGTGTAACGCCAATAATGTGTGTGAATAATCTGCCATAATACAGTATAGTCACCTGTTTAATGTAATGATAAACATGTTTTTCGTTTTGTTGGCGTGAATCAGGCGTGAAGATCCACCAACAGGAACCAGCCACCGAAATCCCAAAGAGCGTTGATTCAGACGACTCTGATGATATCATCGTGTCTCCTTCAAGACCACCGAGGAAAAAAGAACAGCCTTTCAGTTGTTTTCCTTTCAGTGCCGATGACTTGATTTAGCTCCTTTTCAGCTTTTTGGTTGATTCAAAGGCTGCATTTTCTCTCATAACATGGAACACACATTATTAGCTGAACAATGGGAAATTGAAACAAGCAAATAAGGACTTGTATTGGCAATAATCACTGTTCAGAGGTTGATATTTATTTGATTTTTAAGATTTTAACACTTTATTTCCTTCTGTTAAGATCATATACTTTTAACTATAAATAAGGGACACATTTCTTAAAGGGATAGTTCACCCAAATTAAAAATATACCAAGGTTTATGAGCTTTGTTTATTTGTTGAACATAATAGAATATACTTTGATGAATGATGGAAACTGGTAGCCATTGACATTCATAGTAAGAAAATAATGTACAATAGAAGTCAATGGTTACTGATGTTCATCATTTAGGTTTGGAACTAGTCAAGGGTGAGTATATGATGACAGAATTTTCAGTTTTTGGGTGAACTATCCCGTTTAAACTTTGTCTTCACACTCCAAAAGTGCCTTTTGCTGAATGATCATGTTTCAATGAGGATCAGGGATTTAATGCTGTTTGTTTACTTCTCATTGTAGATTAAATGACATACATTACTCTAAACATTACATCCTCTGTAAGGTCTATTTAAGCCATTGTGTGCTTTTAATGTGCAACTCAGATTGGTACAAAACTGCTGTGAATTTCCACATGTATAGTGTAACTTTTAATTGCATATGAAAAACATACAGGAAATTCTGTTTAATGCTGTCAGTGTATTTCGCTGGAAATGTTTCTAAACAATAGTAGCACTGAAAAAACTTTAGATTTGGTTGAAACTGAGTTTGCTCTGAGAGTATGTAGTGTTTTGTGGGATTGTGCTTGAATTTGTGTTATATCTTTCTTTATTAAATCTGTTTTCTCTGCTCTTTTGACATTTGTGAGAGGGAAAATGTCTTCATTCTTGTCTTGACTAAACGTTTTGTTTAATATCTGATTTTTATTTATTTAACTCCACACAAAGTTCAATTCTCAATAAATATTCTCAATAAAACTTCTTTTATAAGTAAATATAAATTGACATTATCTTTTTTTCTCACCACCCACTGATCATTTTCACAAAATTTTGTTGTTGGAATCTGATTTTATATACTTGAAATTGACCTTTGCATGCTAAAAGTACTTGAGTAAGAGACATTTTACTTGATTTGGTTTATTAAAATAACTCCGACTACCAATATTATGATATAGGTAGCCTGCACCTGCTGTAGTCAACCTAGAACCTATAGTAGTTTGACATAAAACCAAAACAATAACCAATTTTGTTTTAGGACATTTTTATTAGGCAAAGTTTTGAATAACAGTAAGTGATATAGATAGTAAAATCTGTATTTCTTAAACATACAGAATAATAATAAATAGTTATGTGACAACCATAACATTAAGATTATGTCTTAGGACATATTTGATTAGCTTTTTGTTACCTACACCAAATGTTGACTAATGAAGGTCCATTTATAACAACTGTTTATTAGTTAGACTACTGTATTGTCAAACCATGTTGCATACAAACACAGTCAACAGACTTGCATGACAGTGTATTGCTGTAGAGGACAAATAAAACACGAGACAGGTGTTTAGAAAGAGTAGTTTATTTTGTTTGACCTGCAAACTTATCTAAACAAGATAAACTTTCAGAAAACAGCACGGAAACATTAATAATGCGCGCGCTCATGGATATAACCCGCGGTTGTCTTCAATAGTCCGTCTTTGCTCAACAACTTTGCTGAAAAACAAAGCAAAACATTACAACAGCCAGACATACAGTTAAAACATAACAGTCACCATGGTTTGTAATTTAAACTATAGTAAAATAAAGATTAAAACTATAGTTTAAAATAGACGATGAGCGAGCCCCGCTGCTCCCACCCACCATAACCCTCGCAGCGGGGTCCCAATACCGGCCTCCCGTGTTTCCCTCAGGGTCCTCAGGACTCGTATTGATCCCTGCCAAGGGTTCACGAGTACCGCGCCCCAGGGAGTGCACGAGCAAACCGGGCGCCAGGCCGTGCCAGTATTCACTGGATGTTGCTCGGCGGCACATTTCGAGCAACAAACACGTAATATTCTTCGCGATATTGCGTTTATGTACGCAAACCGCAAGGAACTACAACACAGACGGGCCCGAGTGAAGCTTCACGAAGCGGACTTCGTGAGGTTGGCGTGGCTCCACTCGTACCGTCAGGTATTGAACTCACCTTGGTCAAGTACAAACAGCAACACCGGGCGAACTGACAACACGGAGAGAGAACCGACGAGCTTTATAGGAATGCATATGCAAATGTTTACAATGCTACGTCACTGCTGTGAGACTTGTTGTCATGGTGAGCGCTGAGGAAAGCACATCTCATTGGAGCTCGGGAGTTTTCGTCACGGCGAGTTCCGTCGGGTGTGGATAAAAAAACAAAATAAATATATTGAATATATATTTTTACATTTTTGGTGCTGTGTAATATTCTGGGATGCAGTAAATTATGGATACAGATAAATATAATTAAAGTCAAATGCGGGACATTTAAACAAAAAGTGAGCCTGGTAAGCTTCTTATTATCCAAAAACTCCATCTAGCGGTCACTAAACCTAATAGCATGTTACTTGCTACTAACCACCCCACTGCCAAAATGTCCAGCGATTGTCCTTTTAATTTTTTATGTAATTTAATATTATGTAATATATTTATTATACAATTAATATAATATATTTATATTCAACATATATATTCCCGTCACGTCTGTGTTTATGAGGGTGTTTCCTCACTTCATTCGTTTAATTCTGATCCGATTTCCGATCGCTCAAACCACTTCAGAAGGTGATGCATTCCAGATGAAACTGGACAGATATAATAAGTTTTAGACAAAATTAATATAAACAAAATAAATGATGACCTGGAGAAAATCGGACCTGCGCCTAAAACACCTGTATGTGCGCTTTTACAGTCAAAATTCTATTAAAAACATGTTTACCATAGGCATAAAACATGTGCTTTAACGTTTCAGGCCTGTAGCCAGGGGGGTTGGGAAGACCCACCCCTCACTGACAAAGGTCCAGAATTTGTCCCATCCATGAGCTCATTTGTCGTATTTTGACTGCTGTGCCATCATAAAAAGTAATAAAATTAATAATCCATCGAAAAAGACTTTAAGACCAAACGGATCCTCTGTCGGCTGCTGCTTCGGTGGGATTATAATCTGATGCAAAAGAAGTCTTCTTTCACTACTGTATTGATTTTAAACAGAGAAAACATTTTACAGGTAACTTTACTCTAAATCTTGGACCTTTTTCTGAAATAAAAATAAAAAGGTAAAATAAAAAGGTGTAAAGCACCAGAAGCGGACCATATTAAATTAATTTTAATATATTTTGGCTATATTGATATCCAGGAATTTCCAAATGTACTTTTTTTACTAAAGAGACAAGAAAAATTCTAAAGAATTCATTATTATTATTATTATTATTATTATTATTATTATTGTGTTTTAACTATAATTTTTAGTGGCCAAATTGTGACTGAGGACAGTTGCATGTGCTGGCCAGTTTGCTTTTGTCTCATAAATGATCGTGGGCTACAGTTTTTTTTTTTTTTTTTACTTTAAAACTTTAACAGATTGCTAGTTTTTCCTATCGATATATAATGTAACAAATTTGTATTTTTAAAATTGGTCTTGTTTTAACTTTTTATTGTAATTTTTTAGGAAATATTTTTAGTACATCAAAAAGTGTGGTTATGATGACATCTGACTAATCCAGCAAAAAAATAATAATAATAATTATATATATATAAATATATATATATATATATATATATATATATATATATATATATATATATATATATATATATATATATATATATATATATATATATAGCTAAAATACAGTATTTAAATCTCATAGTTAAATAAAAACTGAGGCGTATATGAGAAAAAAGAACCAGCCCTTTCACCAGGCTGGCTACGGGCCTGCAGTAGATTTGTATAAGGTCTCTCTCTTTATATATTGACCGGAAGACATGTTCATTTATTGATTCTTTGTTATTTAAATTCTTGTGGAGAAACTAGGCTGAATATGTTAAAAGAAAGACATTGGTAAAAAATATTTCAGAGGGAGGGGTAAGTGCTTTATACTTTACTACTCTTAATGAGGTTTTCAAAATTGAGAGACTCCAAAACTACATCTGACTAAAATCTGTGCTTAAACAGACTTAAAATGTGAAATGTCAAAGTTAGCTATTGGAGTGGTGGAAATTACTGATAATAAATGTAATAATTGGTACATTAGAAGACATTTTCTTAATAAATCTAGCATGTACCTGAAAGCTTTTTTTTTAAACAGCAGAAATTAAATTACCCGGTTCTGTCCACCATTAAAACTTGGCCTGGTATCAATACGTTTTAAGGACCTAATAAGATGAAAGAACTTTATTTTAAAATCCTTCATAATTACTATCCTTGTAACTCTTTACTGTCTAAGTTTAATATAAAAAAATCCTCAAAATGCACATTGTGTAATTCTAACCGGGAAACAACAATGGCGCATTCATTTTCCAGAATGCAATTTTGTAGAAAAAGTTTAGACAGAAATATCTTGGCTTGTCTTCTCAGCCTACAAAACACTTTTTGATTTTAGGACAACTAATTAATTGTTTTTGATTTGGGAGTCAGACTGTAAGGAAATGGACAATATGTAAAAAAAAATTAACTCTTGTGGCCTTTTCCATGTTCACAAATGCAGAGTTATTCAGTGTTTGCCTATAGAACAGTTTAAATTGACTTGAAACTTTATTATGAATCTGTCTATCGCAAAATAAGACAGCTGATAAAACAACTGAACTGCTGAAAAAATAATATTATCATTATAATTATTACCTTTACATTATCAGATCCCTTTGGTATACATAACATTCCTAATAATTTAAGCATAGTTTGAGATATTTATCTTTTATATCTTCTGATTTATATTTATTTTTTATTCAGTTTTATATAATTGTTTTTCTTTTTTCTTATCCCTTGTATCATTGTTACTAGATGTATAATGAATATGTGTATTTTGTATTCAGGTCACACAATGTTAGCACACTTTAATGTTCTATGTATTCCGTTACTTATGTTAATAAAAAAGTACAACAAAAAAAAGATTTGTATAAGGTCCTTAATACCAGTAGCGCAGCTTAAATATACATCTGAATTCAGAACAAGAAACAAATGCATAACAACAAGGACATTTCTGGAGGAAAACCACAGACTAAAAGAGAAGAGCCTGAGAAGAGACGACCTTTTGTCAAATGATTTGACTCGAGGTTTCGTCTTTTAACCGCTAGAGGTCAGTAAACATACTAATACATTACTGTATTGATTGGAACACATGGACGTGGATGATTGACAATTCCGCCCGTTTCTAACCGTATGCTGCTCATAAATCTCTAGTTCACGCTCGTAATGCGTGATACCGTCGTGTATTTCATAAATCTAATTTTTAACGCGACATAAAAGCACAAGCGTTGACCGCGCGCGCTCACTGGAAGAAAGCGGCGCGGGACCACCTTAAAACAAAAGCGCGATGACCATCGGACGGGTTTAAAGCGCTCGCTCGCTTCAGCTCCAGCGGATAACATGCAGACGACGGTGACGCATGGGCTGTGCTGGACAAACCACTCCGACTGCTGATACACCGCGCTGATAAACCTGCTAAATACCTCTTTTACACCAAAAACATCGACGGACTCGAGGCGTTAGTGTTGTTGCGACCACTGCAGGGTTTTGCTGGAGCCATGGTTTAGTCTGATATAACGGGTAAGGATGCGTTCTCGATAACAAAAGCCTGTCAGATTCCAATCGTGGCATATAGACAGCGCGAGTGAATGATTGCATGTAAGAACAAGTGTAATTAATAACACAAGCTTTAGGTGAGACTGTTATTTACAGGGTGTTAAATCAAAATGTTCATTTGTTTGTTTGAGGGTCTTTTTGGTGCAGATTTTAACCCCTGCTTTACTGCATGCAGCTTCTAAAGACACACTTTAAAGGCATTTGATGCAATGCGACGTGATGAAGAGGCTGGTATTTCCCACTGAATGCATCATCGTGTTTTCTGTGTGTGTTTTAGTCACAGATCTGGATGAACGCTATGGCTGCAGTGGTGAATTATTCTCCACCGTGGTGGGTTAACCTTTTCCATCGCCTCCCGCACTTCAACCTACAGTTTCAGCAGACCAGCAGTGATTTCCGACCGGATGACTCGGATTATCAGAAGGTAGGTCGAGTTCAGGTGCTACATGGTTTGGAAACGCGAGTCAACACATTCAGATGCGTTCGTGCCAAGCGGCAACATCAAAGGATGTTCTCTAACATGACGTCACCCTCTGAAGGCTTTTACTGCAGTGTGGCAGCTAGTTATGGTTGAGGTATTAGATTGTCAGGCAGTCTCACAAAGATATGTATGATTGATAAACTTGACATATATGATTTCAAACATTGATAATGCATCACTGAGATGTTTTCAGAGCATACACTAGTATCTCAATGCTCTCAGACAATACTTGTGGATTACAAAGTAAAGCACTGCTGCTATATCTTCAAAGCAGAGTGTCTTTATCATATAATAACATGATTATACCAATCCAATATCTTGATTAGTACTAACCTAAACAACCACACACATTTCTTCTGGTCAAGCTGGGATGTATTTTACGCTAAAAGAGTAGCATTGATTTGCAGTCAGTTTTAATGACTTCATCCTACTGAGCTCCTCATGTTGCACATGACTGCACAGACTGGCCAATCAGTGAGCAGTTACTGTCCAGAAATGATGTTATGCTCTGGAGCTGGGTGAAGACGCGCTTGCGTGTTTACCCACCCACAGAAAAGAAATCAACACCCAGTAAGAAACGGTGCATATATAATGCAGCTCTACATGCATATGCAGCAGCCATCGGTTGTGTTTATAATGCAGAGGCATGTAGTTTTGATCTTAGTCACGCAGCGTTATCAAGGGACTGCTGCCAAAACATGGAAAAGCAACCTGTCTGTCAGTATGGGTCTTAGAGTAAACATTTAATTAGATGATTTGCTCGGTGTTGACATCATGCTATTTATTGGTATTACTGTTTTTTTTCAGTAGTGTCATAGCATATGAATTTGGAAATTATTATTCAGGAACAGATAATTATAGCTAAATATTTCTTTTGAATTTTCTGAAATCTCTGAAAAGATTTTGGTTTATCATTCATTTGTTATTATGATGGTTTTAAGCAATCAGACATTGTTGCTGGGTAGATTCCAACTACAAATCTGTTCCTGGAATTATAAATGGAAGTACCCACTTTTTGGAGTGTTTACAAAGCAGGGCTCGAAATTGCGACCATTTTGGTCGCATATGCGCCCGAAAATGAATCTATGCGACCTCATAATATATTTGGGCGCATTAGTGCGACTGCTGATAATGGTTGTAGTGCGACCTGTTTTGATTTTTTGTAAAAACATGCTGAATCGCTCTTCCCTGCCGCTATATTGGTTCATATTAGCTGTCAATCACTCAAGGTATTCCGCTGTCAGATGACAGCGAAGGAGCTTTTATGACCACGGGAAATGCAAACGGCAGAAGAGTAAAAACTTAAAGCACACAGGTTTGCAAACCCCACCTAAAATTGAGGTGCAGATGAGAGCGATCATGACACGTCACGTGGTGAATAATGATCCACCAGCTGAGATCAATCAAGTACGCGCTTCATGGAGAAGGCGCCCGAATCTCCATGCGTTGCATTCACTGCGTGTTCAGCGCAAATGTCCGCTAAAAGTCAAATCTAATACTGTACATTTCATTGCCAAAGAAGCTCGCCTTTACTAAATAACAAACATAACAAACAGCGGTATTCCGCCGGTGGTCATCGCAAGAATCTTGCGCTGCCTGCTCATAAATTGGGTCGGCTGACTCGCCAGCTTTTCCACTAACACAGAAAAATGAAGATCATCTCAGACTGAACCTTTAAATTGACACTAACTGAAACCAAATCTTTTAAAGTGATAGAAGTGAGACTTTACTTTCTTTCTTTTGTCTATTCTTTTTTGAGGTGTATATTATTTTTATTTTTTTATTTATTTACTGATTACTGCTTTGCAGCTTTCATCATTGAATTAAATGATTTATTATAATCTTTTGTTTGTTTTGTAGCAGAAATTTTATTTATTAAATTGACATGCATATAAAAACAGCAGTACCAAATAAATATTTCTTACTGCAATGCTTCATTTTTGTTTGATGCAAACTATACAATTATTTTTCATAAAGTAACAGACTTTTTATAGCAGATAACCTACATTCATGCACATTCAAGGCAGTATCATAATGAGAAATGTAATTCATTTTTACTATTATTGTCATTTTCATCATCATTAATATTCTATAATTATTAGACATTCATTTTGGAATTATTGCACACAAATATCAATGTCTTCGCAGCATTAGTTAGATAGTTTTTTCTGGTTTTTGTCAGTCCTATTAATGTTGTTTTAAAATACAATAAATCCCTTAAAAAGCAATTTGCAGTGGTGCTCAATCATTTTTGGTGGATGCTCCTAAATTTTTTCTGGTGCTCCTAAATTTATTTTGGTGCTCCTAAATATTTGAAGTTGGGAGCACCGGTGCTACCAAGTAAAAAAGTTAATTTCGAGCCCTGCAAAGCAATAACTGGGAAACAATTCAGTTATAGGAAAGCCTTTTGAAACCTTCTTCTAATTAGCTCTGGCTCTAATCCAGCACAATAGGAAGTGCTACCTTTGATTAGTCTTGATTGAAGTGTATGCTGATTTGGCCAAATACTATGAAATACTAGCAAAGTTGTTTTTTTTTGTCTCCTGTCCATGGGCATTGCTAGGCCTATTTTAGGGGGGCTGCCTAGCCCTCAGCCCCCCTAATTTTTTTGCAATTAGCTTATAAACTGTACACTAAATTATCGCCTAAGTCCCTTTTAAATTTGATATGCAAACGGCGGCAGAATTCAGCTCCTTCCCGTTTTTTGTTTTTCATTTGATCAGCAACCCACAGCCGTGGACAGCTAGAGAACGAGGTGTGTGTTTATTGATAAATTGTTGTAACATCTGCTTATTTGCAGTTCTTTATTATAGATAACCTTGTATCACCTGTATCTCAATGTCACAGAGGAGCAGGTTTTCTCGCGTTCACCTCATCAGCACAGCTGTTTCTTCCAGCGAAACATGTAACTCTTAACAACCGCTGTGGATGTATAATCTTGGTTGTATATTCGTAAACAAATACCTGCGATCGGTTCATGTGATTGGCCAGATCATTGAGTATCGATCAAGTTGTGAAATGTGATTACTGATCTTCGACTGATGGATCGGAGCATGCCTAATTTTGATGTTTGGCTCTGATCATGCATTTCTTCCACATTCATACATTAATTTTCTTTTCAGCTTAGTCCCTTTATAAATCGTTGGTCGCCACAGCGAACCGCCAACTAATCTAGCACATGTTTTATGCAGCGGATGACCTTCCAGCTGCAACCCATCTCTGGGAAACATCCATACGCACTCATTCAGACTCATACACTACGGACAATTTAGCCTACCCAATTCACCTGTACCGCATGTCTTTTGGCTGTGGGGGAAACCGCAGCACCCTGAGGAAACCCACGCAAACACGGGGAGAACATGCAGACTCCTCACAAAAACACCAACTGACCCAGCCAAGGCTCGAACCAGCGACCTTCTTGGTGTCAGGCGACAGCACTACTTACTGCACCACTGCGTCGCCCTTCATCTAATTTTTGAGCAAAATAATTGTAAATATTATGTTCATTTTCTGTACGTCTGCAAGCCATATTTAGAGATGCAACGATTAACAGATTTCACTATTAACGGCGCTTTTAATTCATCACAGTTAATTAATCGCTAAGGATTCTCAACACCACATTACCGCACAGAACAAAACTGCTGCAACTAAACAAATACGCACACACACTAGATTAACTCTGAGGCTATTAACTAAGGGTCGTTCACATATTGCTTCTTTTGCACACCCAAGTTCATTATTTCCAATGGAGGCGTGCAGCTTGTGCGCACATATTGGGAGTGACGCGTCAAATTATCTAAAAACATCTTTTAAGAATGGCGCAAGCGCACCATGCTCACTTGACAAAAACTCACCAATCAGCTTCATACATTGTATGGAATATACATCTTTCTACTCTGATCCAAAAGTGAAAACACCAAACATTTTTGTAAAATAGTTGATCAAAGGTGCCTTTTAGGTTCAACAGCCTTTGACAACATGTGTTCTCTTTAAAAGGGAAATACTTCCACTACATAATTAAATACTTTTAAAGAGATTTACATTGGACCAAAAATGTATTCTTATTTTTCTTTATTTATTAATTGTTGTCATTTATATTATGTTTAAATGCTAATAACTCACATTCACTTATTTTTTAAGTCCAAAGAGAAATGAATTATTGTTTGTTTTTATTATTATTATTTTGAGTTGTATTATTTGGTTTCTGAGCAGCAATAAATAACACTTAAAAGGAGTTTTCATGTGGTTTCCTAAACTGTAGAGTTTTAAAATTAATGAATGCATAATAATCATAATAACCGTGAAATCTCAGACTATAATCGTACAACCAAAATCTGTAATCGTTGCATATCTAGCCATAATGATATCAATGGCTTCTAGCACACAGTATGTTTTTAGCTCTTTTTACTGTTTTTGAGTATCAGATTTCTTTCAGACAGAGATGGAGGTCACAGAGACGCCTTTCGAGTTCAAATGTCAAGAAGTGTTGTTTACTGTCCACTTCATAAAATGAGGCTACTTTGTCAAAGCATCCATTCTCCAGAGGACCATTAGGAAATGGCATCCAGCTGCGTGAAATTGCAGTCATGGTTGCCTTTGCTCACTAGCTATAGCTGTCACTTCAACACCGCAGGATAAAATGGCCAACAGCAGTGACTTGTTTCCAAAAAGGAAATCTGTGATGAATAGAAACTCAAGGTCACAGCATTAGAAACCGATCTCAAGTTCATAACATTGTTTCATTTAGATATGAAGTATGTAGTAAATAACATCCGATTGTAAAATCTCAATTAAAGACATCAGCTCATTCATCGCAGGAGATTTGGTTGAATGCTTTTGGCTGTCATTTGAATGGTTTCCCAAGGTCAAGACACATTCTGCGTGATTCCGGAGTGATACCGGTGTGCTTGTGTGTGAATGTACTGACACCGTGAAGACCAGCT